CAATCATGACAGTATGGATAATCATGAAAACAATAATAATGAACAGGTGTAAATGTTTTCATCCGGAAACATAACACTAACAAAGTTAATCAGAGAAATAAGTACAGTTTATAAATTGAATAACTTATGGAGAAGGAAATGCACCTAGAGAAAAGGAGGAGAATAGGTACAGAGTGAGTGACAGAAAATGTTTTTCCTACTCCCATATTATTTGTTTATTTCAATTAACTAAATGATTGATAGTTGAGTGGTTAGTGGCTTTTCTATTTTAAAGAGTGTGTAAAGAGTTGATTAGAAGGGAAGATTTCTTTTCACTGAACCATTAAAGTTCGTAGAAGTTTCAAGGAGGCATTCAACTTGCCTCTGGTTGAATGATATCATTTTAAGACGTAGGCTGATATCAGCCATTAAGAAAACATATTACGGAACGAATTTTATTATTGTGGAAAAACCAAAACATATGCTTCATCAAAAACCTAAACATTGCATCAATGATTACGTCACATCTCATTGTGTTTACCAATTTACATGTATGTGTGGTCATATATACATAGGGAGGAGTAATCGAGTTATTCAGTTGAGGGTAGGAGAACATGTGCCTAAATGGCTTCAAAAACAAATGGAGTGTAAAACCGTGATAAATGCTGGTAGGAGACGACCCTCTTCATCTATAGCTAAACATATCATAGAAACAGGTCACAAAGTTAATATTCAAACAGCTTTCAAAGTTTTATACAGAATCAGTCAGGGATGTATTTTGAGATTTGTGGAAGCCATATATAGCCTTACACAAATTTAAACCACCTTTATATTTATAAAAATAATTTGTTATTACACTACACCTACCTTGATAAACTTTGTTTTCTTACCAAGATTAGGATCAACTATGTCACTTCCCGTTTGTTTTCATCTTTCTTAATTTTAATCTTCTATTGTGTTAATTGGGGTATTTGTCCTCGTACTCTTCAGTTTAATAGTATACTGAGTTGATAAGTAAATGTGTGGTCAGATTGTTAGAAATGTATTAAGCAAATACATCACATTGCTCAGATAAAATTCATCTTTTAATTACATTATCAAAAATTATGATTTAACCTAAATCGAAAATATTTGAATGGATTTTTCAGGAACTAATACAATACACAGTGATAGAGTAATATTTAAGCTGAAAAAATTCCGAGACTTGGTTTTTGTGATACCTTATAATTTCTCAATTCTTTGGTATTTGGAATGCGTATTAAATTATCTGATAACTATGAACACCAACTATCTGTTTCATATAGAGTCACTGGGAAACTCACTTTACCTATGCTATGAATACATATAAGATCATACATGATAACATATGAGATTTCCTTTAGATTCTAAAAGATACATCAGAGTTTATCTAAACAGAAGTTTTCAGATTCAGATATTATGTTAATCCTAACACGGTTTATTCAACGATTTGTATATCTTGACATCACCTCGATGTATGATAAAGTTATAATGATTTTCAATTGTCTTTTATTCATGTTACGTGTACTGCTTAAATTAATATATTTTTTTTGCTTAAAATTTCTTACGAATCGGGTAATAAACATCAGAGGATAACTGTGTAGAACAACAGTTTTTCTTCAATTTGTTCGTTGTATTTCCTTACTTAGATTCTTTACGATGGTCAGATTGACTCTTGGTTCTCTTCTCTATAGATTTAATGGAATTTTTCTGCATAAAAAATCAGGTGTAATGACAAAGGCTAATTACTTGTTAGAATGTATAAGTGTGAAGGTTTTTATTCAAATTTTTATCTTAGTTTCGTTTTATTCAACAGAAATGTACACTTAGATCTACTGGAAAAGATTCCCATGGATTATTGTTCACAACTACTTGAGTGCCAACAACAGTGATACTTTAAACAGGCTTTGCAGTGGATTAACGTCTACACCTAGGCTCTTAAAACTAGAAAAAGGGTTAGATACAACAGTTTTGTTCATTCATTCTACCTAAATTATGGACATATTCTGAAAGTGAAATTATTCAATAGTAAAGAGCTGTCACTTGAAGAAGTCTTATTTTAAGAGTAAGCTTAATGAAGGAAAGTAGCCAAAACTTAAATCAACATCTTAAGTTTTTATTCATTAAGATAAATGTTTTTCAGCTTTAAAATTTGATTTATGCTGCTGATTAGTAAACATAGTGATCACTTTAGTGGATGGATCAGTTTTCAGTTTGTGTATTTGTATGTGTATAGTCCCTGACTAACAGGCCTCAGTTCATTGGTTTGAGTCCTGCCAAAACAAAAGTTTCCTCTCATACTACATTTCATGATTACATTCACATAACGGAGAGATCATGTAACTGTTTACCCACTCATATTGTGCTACAAAAAGGAAATATTTATTGAATTTCAGCATTAAAAAACAGTTAATTAGTCTGAGTCCCAAAGGACCAGCGAATGAATAACAATATGCTCTCAGTGAGACCGGTTAGTCCTGGGATCCACTAGTCGAGAAGTTGGGGATGAAAACTGTTAAGGAGGTCTAAACTATAACAAAAACAAATGTCTACTTCTACATGGTTATAAATGTTCCTCCAACTGAAATCAGTCACTGATGAATACTACCTTGAAACCCATTAATAATAAGCATTAAACTGATAAAGCATACACTGAAACAGTATTATTTACTTCATGGCATTTTGAGAATAAGTTATTGCTCATGATCATAACACAGTAAATGTATAATGTGCAAAATCTGGTTTTGTGATCATATCACCTCGAATTCTTTGTTTCTAACAGTAATGGACAGACAGTGAAATCAACTTTGAACCTCACACAAACATCCATAGGTTCAAGTTGCCCCACTGCATAGCAGTATTTAAAGTTCAAATCAATTGGAAAAAGGTGATATTAAGGTGGAAAAAAGTGTATGGAAAGAGAAAAAATATGAAAATCAAGGTAAGTGAAAATGTTCAACCTTTCACAAATGTCAGAGTGAATACATCTGAGCCATTATAACTATTTTTAAGCCGTGTCACAAAGTCTCCAATTATTGATTCCCATCATGTTCAGGAAATCGGTCAGACAATCTACACTTCACTACGCGGTTCAAACCAGCAATTAAGGCATCCATGGACTAGTGTCACGACTTGGTCTGGCTATCCTGACCCTTCCTCCTAGCGAATCCTATTTAAGCTAACATCGTGCATCAAAGTAACAGCTACCTCAGGATGTGCAACATACATACAAGTCGTCTCAGTCAGTGAAGATTCACTGCCTCATCAGCTACACCTAACCTCAACACTGCTGACGTGGTGTTTCCATCATACGCGAGCACTACTATGAAAACACCTATGGTAAAAGTTCTTTAACACTTAGTGTCTCCTATGTTCAGGAGTCATGTCTCACAGCCATATAATAGAGTGAAGTTGAGCGGGTTGCAGTGCAATTCATTCATCCTTCTATGCTTGATTGGAAATGTTAAGGGTGGTAGAGATGGTGTGAATTCGCAAATGCCGAACAGGCCTTTTGTATCCGATCTAATACTTTGTCAACAAGCAACCCATTTCGGTTGATAGAAGTTCCCAAGTAGGTAAAGTAGCCAACGTATTCTACTACTTTACTCCCTATGCTTAAGTTAGAAAACTGTGCACACCACTCCAAAAGCCTCACCATCTGCATGAGAGATGCAAAAGCATTCCAGGTATTCTCAAATTTGTGCTCAAGGCGTTCAACAGACTCCATATTTTGTAAGCATCTTCACGTAACAGGACCATGTATGTTCATATTAGGAGGAAACCAGATGTCTCCTTAGAAACAGTTTTATCCTGGAAAAGCCAAAGGGACTAACTGAATTCCTGTTCAGTGCTTACGAATAAACTACTTTAAAAATGCGCGAAAGCTTCCTACCGTTTGGTTAGCCTTCAAATGTTAAACAGAATCGAATACATTCTTCAGTGCACTGAGGCAACTACAGTCTTTATGCACAAATCACTAATCTCAGAATCATGCCAACAATCTTTAAAATCTGAGACAAACTAGTTTACCTTAAAATATATAAAACCTTGCATCAAGCAGCTGATTTTTCTACTTCTTATTAAAAGTGAACCATCCTGCAACTTTACTGGGTTTACCTGAAGAATTACAGTTGCTCCTTGAAAACTGAGGACGCTGTCTTGAAATTATATCAGTCTGAAATAATGAATTTCAAATTTCCTTATCAATTACATGTTCAACAATTGCTGTTCACCAAACTGTTTCGTAATTCAAGAAAGGTACTACTGATGAAAAATGAGTAGCATATCTGTAATATGAAAAGAATGAATCATCATTGAAGAATATCATTATCCCAAATGACTCACAAGTATACACATTGGCACACAAGTAAAAACAATAACATATCTGAATAATTCATGGCAAACAGAATCGATGATCATAACGAAATGTTAGTTCGTCAGTTGTCTCCATGTCTTCATTACTTTATCATACAATATGCTAAAAGCAAACGGACTGGACCACATTCAAGACTTCAGAAAATGAAATATCAGTAAAAAAAATAGCACAATAAAGCAATTATTTACGAAATGTTTGTAAGAAAAATAAGTTTGCTTTAAAGTTTAAGTTAAATCACATTATTATCATTATTCTTATTAAAGTAACCGGAAATATTTTGATGAGTAAAAAAATAGTTGAAGAAACAATACAGACATGGGAAAAAATTTCAAAGTTGTGACCTTCAAATTGCAAACAATATGATTGGTGGAATGTACAAAGAAGTGTTAGGAATATAACTAATAGAATGTTACGAAATACTAATAAATTTACATGGATATTTTATTCATACAGTAAAACCTAGAGAGATATGTACAGAGGGTAGACATAATTCTCTGAAAAGTAGAACTGAAGTTAGTCTGCATTATAATGATACACAAATATTGGGACACGGGAACCCATTTACAAGAGTACATGGAAGTAAGACTACTAAAGTTAATTATTATACCCACCAACTTTAGTATCGTAATTACTTATTTTTCCTTCGAACTGATCTAAAGACAACTAAATCACTATTGACAAGAGATATCATGAGATGGAAACCTTCAATAAGATGTCCTCTGGCTGTTAGGCTTGAAGCCAAAGACATATCAGTAATTCCTTCTTCTAACCTTAAACATCGTATAGGTACCAATGTTTCTGCTAGCATTATAATCAAATGTCCTGTGTTGAACGATATGAGAATATGTTGGGAAATAATACACCTCTGATTATCTGTATCCGAATTATCTTGTTTTTCAGAGCAACTGTTATCATTATTATTATTATTATTATTATTATTATTATTATTATTATTATTAATATTATCATTGCAATGACTTCTTGATGTTATTGGTGTTGAAGTAAGCGACATTCTAGTGACCACAGCTTGTCTACGTTCTTGAAGACTTAGTTTTGCATAGTCATCAGTGTAGGTTAATGGAGCTACTTCTGATAATTTCTCACCTGTAGGATTGAATAAACTCAAATGCGGTCCAACCTCTTGTTCACCAATGGATGATTTACTTGCAAATAATTGGGGAGTATAATTCCATTGTACATAAATTAAACCCAACCTTGGTGCCACCAATAAATGATGCACAGAATATGTATATGAATAAGAGAATATCTGTGACTTAGGATGTGTATAAATTGGAAAATGTAAACCATCAGCTTCCATTGCAACATCACCTAACTTTAGTACACGTGACCAAGTGGACAATTTTGCACTGAATAAATAAACTTCTCTGCTATAATCTGTAGACATTAAGGCAGTATCCAAGAAGATATTTAAAGCAACACATGTGACTGGATTGCCGCATCCATTCCCATGAAAAAACCTAATAATTTTTGCTAATGACTTAGGTTTTGCATAATTCGAAGAAATTGGTAATCTTGGAGGATAGAATGCTATACCAGCATTTTTATATTGTATAATACAACCTGTTTGAGGTAAGCATATTTTATTCGAAAGTAATTTTGTTGGTAAGGTTTGTTCACTAGACTTATCCTCTACAATATTTCCAGATGATATACTTCTAGTTCGTGCTAATGTAGCAGATCGTGGACCCTGTCCAACACTAGTACGTGGTGATTCACTAACATATGTTGTAATAGATTCAAGACAATCAGCACTACCAAAAAATTCATTGTTCTTTCGTGATACTTTTTGACTGAAAGCAGAAAACTGTGATTCATTTACACTAATGTTAGATAATGGTGCTTCATCAGATCTAGTTTCAGTGATTTGTTCATCTTCATCACCATCTAACATATCGAAATCCCAAATAGCGCATGTCCCATCACGACTACCAGTGATGATATATCGTGTTCTAGTTGTATTCATTACTTGACCTGTTGTTGATAACTTATCCATTTTTTCATAATCACCACGATTTATAAATGGTAGACGATCAATTAAACTCCGTGCAGAATCGATGTTGACACAACTTATAGTATCTGAATGTGGACTAGTTAGAATGGCTTCCACTTGAGATTTATGCATGTTATAGATTGTTAAACGTCCATCCCAGCGTCCACCAGCAAAAAGCCATCTGTCATCAAGACTTAAGGTAAATAACTGTGAACCAACAACATGATTTGTAAATAATAATGATGATGAAGATTCTTTGATCTTATTTGAATTCAAACTAAAAATACTGTCAAGGTTTGTGTAATTTGTCTTCAAGATAAACTGCATCCATGAGTGATCAAGTGGTCCAATAGACCTGTTTAAGTTAAAAATATATAAAGAATCTGTGAAAAAAAGTCTAGTAAGGAATTTTTATTGAACAAGGGTGACCTCATGCAGGTGGGCTATATAAATTCGTGTATTACTGAAAAAAGTTTCCTGTAGACTAGATAAAGTGGATAAATGTGAAAAAATCATCACTAGGTCTAAAAATTGTTGAGAATCGAAAGCAGTTTATCTACAAGTCAGTAAAGTGTCTACGCAACGGTTATTAACTACGATGGGCCGGTGAAAGCAATTCCTTGGAATTATGCAATAAACATATTTACTTAGGCTAGTGGTTAGCTAAATTACCTTGTAAAAAAAAAACTGTTAAGTGATCCTCCTATATAGAAGGTAACATAAGTAATGGATAGAACAGTTCAAAGATCATTTTGGCTGACTTATAGCCACATATCAGTTGCACACTCTTTGTACCCAATTCAAAAGATATATTGGCATCAGGCTACCATCTCCTTTTGGCATGGAATATATCAATTTGATGAGCTACAAGCGACAAATTTTAAAGATGGTGAATTCTGAAAGTTGAACTTCATTTTCTCCGATCGGTGTCTATCAGTGACCACGTTAGCTACTTGGAAAGAATATAAAGCTTCCTGGGATAACCGTATGTTAATTAGCATACTTAAAACAGTTTCCGAAGTTGTAGGGTTTATATCTAAAGTATACAGGTGATTTATAGTGAGAAATTGCCATCTACTGAAAACTACTAAAATTTCAGGGCAGGTTGTTCACTTCCAGAAAGCAAGTTGCTGCTCCATGGTTAGTTGGTGCTCCCTGATCATATGATAATAAAACGATAACTGCTACCTTGACGTAGTGGTCCGGCATTCACATCATAATGGACCAACGAACGCTCGCTACCTCGAGATCCTACCATATCAAAAGCGTCTATTAAATAATGATAAGACGAAAAGTAGTTGCCGTTGTAATGTAAAGCGAAGTCGTACTGCTGGCTGGATAAGGTGTGATAACAGTAAGGCACTTCTCTTGGATGACCAGCATAGCCACGTTGATGCTACCTTCCCTGTGGAAAGGGGGAAGGGTTTAAAAAAATCGGTCCTCAAAGTAGCACACTGCTACCTGCTCCATGTTCTTTTGGTGCCGGCGGTATGGGTTTTTTCTGTCCGGCGATAAAACAACAACCCACAAAAGGCCGCATGTGATGAGTTTCACGTAAATATAGCCTAGGCTCTTCCATCACACTAGTCTTCTCCTCTTTCAGGTACCTCTACAAGAAACTGTCTTTCATGATGTTGGCAGCCAGGAATTGTTAACCACCCACACTCATTCAGTAATACTTACCTGCGTAGTCAACCACATGACATAGCTAAATATCGACGTAGTGTCGTGAAATTTGTTAATAATTTGTAAATTTATCATCTTTTTTTTAAGGTAAATTGGTCCAATGAAATCAGTCAACTGGATTTAACGGATCTGATCAGTTCAGCTCTTGTTTGAGCTGAATTTCTTCAGGTACACCGCTAATGAGCTTGACTCAAAATGAATGAAATTACTATCTTGTTGTATTTTGTGTACTAAACCAAAAATTGGTAATTTTTAAATTTTAATTTATCACTATGGTCATGAAGGTTATCAGTTTTCTCAAATTATCTGACAATATGTATTGTTCGATATTTTGGGGCAATCAATAAAAAAGGAATATTTACTGGATTCAAGTTGTATACTTGTCAACATTCTTAATGAAAGCTTCAACTTTACTTTGAGAACTGAACTCTTGTTAATCAGTTCTACAATGAGTTCAAATTGAAATAAATCATGCCAGTAATGCGTGCTTAGAGTGAGATATAACTGAGCTATACGCTTTCTATAGACTAGTAACAAGCTAAGTAAGCGACTGGCATCGCTCTATTTCTACTTCAAATAGTGTTTAGGATATTGTTGTGATATATACATATTAGTAAAATGGTTATCACATTGATAATGCTTCTCTATATTTTTTGTCATACCAACTCACCCATATTGTTGCTGGTGGTTAGAATCACATAATAGATTATATGGTTCCATAGGTTCATTGTTTCCTGTGTCATCCATCATTTGCATCTGATCAGATGGTATCCAAAATATCGATTAACAACACCTCGATTGTTTAGCATAAAGACTGCTGAAGCCAGACGCTCCCAATAGGATTTTGATGTACCTGATACATTTGGACTTTTAAATAAAGATGATGGACCAGGTGATTCAAAATTTACCGTTGAAAGTAAACGGGCCTTTAAACCACTATTACTACTAACTGACTGATGATTCGATTCAGAATTTAAATTATTCTCTGAAAAATTAAATATATTTGAATCTGTTCTTGGTGGACGACAAAACGCTGGTACAACAGCAAGATATACTGGAGTCAAATAGGTTAATACACTTTTACTGGCAAATTTCAATACTTGTATAGACAATGCTATATTGTCAACAGAAAGAGATTTAGTGATAGTCCAATTTTGATGAATTAATTGTTTCAGTGAAGTATTATCTTGTGGAAGTAATTCCATCTGATCAACTAATGTATGTGTAGTCAAGATTGAATTGAAATATTCATTTCCACTAGTATCAAATAGCATACGTTGAAAGAATGTTGATGTTCTAGAGGAGTTCGGTGTATAAACTGTTTCTTGTTGTGATTTTCGTTGAATTGATTCACTGTGTTCCAAATTCAAATGGTCAATATTTGATCCGGTAATTGTTAATAAATTGATCACCGGTAATCTACGTTGATTAATTAAGCTTGATAACCATTCAGTATGAGTTAAACGTTTTGGATGTTGTACCTGTAATGAGAAAGTTATTTACAAAAGTACTTTAGTAATATATAATATAAAATAAAAAGCAGGAAGACTCACTTGTTATGATCGAGAACACTAAGTAGTTATAATTCTTTTTTTCTGTCTCCTGATTCCATCATCCCATCTTTTGGAAATAACCTACCAATAGGAATCCAGTACCTACTACTACAACTACTACTACCAATAATAATAATAAACATACGTTTTGACTCTTGCTACTCAAACAATTTAACTCAGTTTGAAGTGAAGGTTGTCACATGAGTTGGCATCAACTGCAGCATCATTGTAAACAACAAGTTATCAAAAATATATGATATCTTCTAATTCGTAGGATTGCTGGCATGTAGTGGGATTACCACGCAAGTAGTATCCAGGTTAACGCTATAATTATTAGAAGGGAAGCTAAACTATTTTATATGTTTGTAACCTTCAGTGACTGACGTGACTTGGATATGTGTTACGCAAGCCAAACCACCGCCCATCTCAATACAGCACGTTAACAGAAGTAAGACTATGTTAGAAGAAAACTATAGATGGCCATAACAAGTCACCAATTTATAAAGCCTCTGACTGTAGGCATAATCCTTTTAAAGAGGCACACTCTGTCTAGTTGGCATATTTGAAACAATAGGAACCAGTGCACGCAAATCAGTCGCACGTACTTTGTTGTCTTCGACACCGTGAACATCTTCACTAACCTTCTTTTATTTCTCCTTATTCTTTTCAATACCTCATTTTTGGTTTCACAACGAACAAACATTCTTACTATTATTCTTTTTTCTGATGGTGATTTGGTGTTCATTGAGTCTTGATTTTTTGTTGTGAGTGATACATCACCATGCTTTATGAAATGTTCAGCACTTATTTCATAAGGAAGTGAACCATATTCGAATGATGCATGCATGTTTAGACAGGGCTTTTATTTATAAACTGAATGGTTAATGGGGGGTAACCAACTACATGTTACCTAACGCTTAGGGTTGACAGAATAAAATCGATCACTTTAGAACGTGGCCAACCCGCGACGAGAACTTATCCAGTAGTACAAGTGGTCAAATGCAGCCCGAATAGCCCAACGGTGACTCCACTGACTTCACAACTGGGTGACATAGGTTAGAATCTTGCCAAACGTTTGAAGTAATTCACTTCATAAGGAAGGAGAGAGTCAATAAAAAGATTATATTCTTAGATATCTTCGTCAGCAGAATACACGATGAAGCTTTATAGACTCAATTCTACTGGAAAACCACGCGAATGGATCAAATGTTGAACTACGTTAGCAATCACTCAACAGTCCATAAAGCAATATTGTGTGTAAACACTGTTCCCAAGAGCTAAACACAGTGTAGCATCGAAACACTATGGAAAGTTGGAGGAAAATATCCGTGCAAAGTGTTCAGAGCCAATGATTAGCCATTCATCTTTATCAAAAAGTGTTTATCAGCAGGAAAGAAGATAGTCCAATCAGAAGTCACGTTATGCTACCCTAAATCAAAGAAGTTACATAAAGTGTTAACCGACTGCTTCTTCATTTCGGAATTCGAGCAGTACACAAACCAACGAAAGTACTACACAGTATGTTGTGCAAACTAAAGGATTCATGCCACAAGAAGACATGACAAATATAATTTACAAAATCAATTTCAGAGATTGTTCACAATAATATGTTGGCCGGTCTAACCGTCAGATTGTTCAAAGAATAATTAAAGACCAAGTAGCAGTAAAGCGACATGAAGCAGTACCTTCGGTTTCAATGCACACAGACAATGACGATCGCCAATTTGACTGAAAGAATGTACAAATTTCCCAAAGAGCAGGTTCAAAGCTGTAAGAGAATTTCTGGAAGCATAGCATTCCAACAAAAAGTCAGTCAACAAGCATGTAAATATTAACCTAGTTTACATTACTCACCCTGAGCTACAAATCTTTTCCGTCATTTCTTATTTCTGTAATCTATCTTCATTTCATCGACTACAATGTTACTATATCAATTGTAATCTTATACCTTCACCTGCTTATAATATTCTTTTATTTAATCGCTAAGTTTACTGAAAAATACCAGCAGTGAACTTATAGTTGGGAATACTCTCTATATTTCGCAGGATTAATTCGTCAATTCTTTTGTTAGCGTTTACCACTGAACTGCACAGATATGATAAGGAGTTACGAAAAAAGAATTCTCATTGAAGTTGGTAACGAACCAGATCCCTAAGCTTCAATTTAGAAGTCAACAGCACAGAGTAAATAGTTCATAATCCAACAGTTGAAATTTTGTGGACTAAGACTTTTAAAAGCATCACATCACAATAAAACCTCTCCTCTGGAAAAAAAGTTACATTTCTCTAGGTAGACAATATGTTCCGCCAGATTCAGAGAAGAGGGCAGTCTAACACTAAAAGTTTTTCCCCAATACCTTTAATTATTTCTTTGTTTGATAGCAAAAGGATTAATAAACATTCAAAAACGACATTACCTTACTAAAAGTACACAAAAGGAAACAATGTTGCTGTCTGTATTATCCTGTCGTTGAGTGAACCGAATTGATCGGTTTCTATTGGTAGAGAGGCTACTGCTTAGATGCTTCGATATTGCCTGTGTTTGAATTATATATTAATGATGGATAGTGGCTAGCAGAGAAACCCAGGACTCGATGGTCTAGTGGATAACGCTCTGGCGTTTGAAGCGAATGGTCCTGAGTTCCAGTCCTTGCGAGAGCAGCATCGCTCAATAGGAAGGAGGGTGTACCCAGCTGACGAGTCTCAAACAAAACGAAACTTGTATCCTGAACTCCACTTCTAGCAAGTGTCCATCAATAATACAAAAGGAAATAACGTATTGATGTTTCATGCTTTCGATGCTTCCTGGCATATTACGCATATTTTATCCACGGAATTCATAAAGTATTAATGATGGATAGTGGCCAACAGTGGAATTCAGGAAGCGTGTTTTTTCTTGTTCGAGACTCGTCAGCTAAATCTATCTGCCTCTTAAGCAACAACATTGAAATCCGTAACGGATTTCCAGGAGTGGAAACTTTATTTTTAAGAAAGATAACTAGGATGGTCAACACTAGGCTTCTCAGACAGTAACTGACCTGTTTCAGAAATCAGTTGACTAATTAGGCTGCAGAATGTGCACATGTATATGTAATAGCCTTTAGTTCCCCGTCATTGATTAGACTGAACTGATAGGTTACTATGCGAGTATGGGCTTCTAGGCGGATGCCTTGATATTGTCGGTAGTTTGAGTTTTAGTGAATGTTATTTGGTTGGAGGCAATAGACAGAAAGCCTTGGAACTAGGTTTCGTGCCTATTGGAACTCGTCAGCAAGGAGTATCTGAAACCTCGAAGGAAAAGATGTTCGATAAAATCCAGTCAGTACTCAGGACTAGACAACTTGAGAACAGTTGCTGTCCAGTTACCAATCATTCTATCTAATCCAGTCCTACTGGAGGTCAACTCTGATCCAAATAGTTCAGTGTTAACGTCTCTGTTTGCAGTATTGGATGATCCGCGTTCAATTCTCAGGCAGGATAGCAGTCCCATTAAGGTTGTAAATGGGACCTATTGACGACTACCAAGAGCACGAAACCAAGGTCTAAGGTTTCCTGCCGATTCCCTTCATCTAACTAGCATCTGTTTCAGTGCATCACGATAGTGAGTCTTCTAGCCTGGTGGTCACATTCCTAAATGATCGATAGAATTCCGTCAATTTTCAGGACTAGGCAAGCGAAAATCGTTTTAGACTAATAATTAATTGCAGCTAGGAATGAATTCCTGGATGTTCATTTCCTACTACTTCTGACTCTCTAAGCTTGAAGCGATAGATGTTAGTTTTGAGTCTCAGAGGAAAAAATATCACTCACCGGAAGACAGAAACATCTAGCTGGCTAATCCCAAACAGGACAAAACGCTTATCCTATTTATCATTATCCATTATTATTGAACACAATTATTCCTAAGGCAACGTATATTTCTTCAGAAAGTCTTCTAATTTGACCATCTTTTTTCAATACTCAACGATTATCTGAAGTTATCGAGACTGCTTTCAATGCTATGCAACATTTCTTCAATCACTTTTTAGACTTGCTATGAATGTTCTGTTGATATTTAAATACAAGTTATTCTAGAACTTTCTATCCATTTGCTTGTTTATCTATGTATGTACAGCTGTAAGAAAAATTCTTGCCGAAAAGATATTCATTACATTTGTAAAGTGTGGTGAAAACTACAAATAACTCAAAAAACTTGTTCCAAAGATTTTTTAGTAAGCTGAATGCAGAACAATTTTATTCACAGGATTTATGGACACTGGAAATAAAATCAAACAGTTAGGTAAGTGTCTTAATATTCATCCTAATTGTAGTAAACAGTCTGTAGACTAATTTAAAATCAATAAATTAATAAATCTCCACAACTCCCTCAAAATTTAATTGAACTGGTGCTCATTGGTGACTAGTTTCGAGAAGTATTCCCGAAGTTCCAATGACAAGTCGTGACCGGTGGAATCAAAGCCTGATGGCCATGAGGACAAATACTCAGTGATGACATTGGGTGGCGGTTGCGCTATATATCGTTAGCTAACAGAAGTTGGAAATATGGAGCATTGGATTGTGACCCAGTGGCTCAATGGTGACACGCTGGCCGCGGAACCTGAAGGTCGCGGGTTCGATCCCTGCTGGTGGGGTCGTGGGTGCGCACTGCTGAGGAGTCCCATACTAGGACGAAACAGCTGTCCAGTGCTCCCAGGTTTCCTTTGTTCCTCCAACTGATGTCAGTCTACGATGAATAACAACTTGAAATAATTCCAAATCTCCACAACTCTCTCAAAATTTAATTAAAATTAATAATCTAATATATGACATCTATATATTTGTTAAAACAACTATTACTTGAAGTAACTTTTCATTAAGGGATTGTCAGTAAATAACCGTGTTTGCCTGCTTAAATATATGTTTATCGCTACAAAGAAGCAAAATCAGACATGTCATGGAGTCAACTTTAGACATTCAGTCATCATCGAAAAGAAATAATGACGATTAAAAACGCACCTCATTAAGACTAAAACAATCATAGTTATTTGAATATAAGTTCATAAACGGTACTGGTTTTTAAGGGCTCTGTAAGTTAATGATTGATAAAGGATTATTTTTGGACATGAATTGTAATCATGCCACCTTTTGTAAATAATTCTTCAAAAACAATAAAATCAAATACTACTTTTACAACTTATAAGTAGTATAAAATTTTAGGTTACTTTTATCCAGTTATATCTGGCTTTTTCTCTTTACAATATGTATGCATAAAGTGGACACACACTCATATACTTACTTAGCACATAGACGGTTTACAATCATAGAAACAAGTTCATTTGTGTCTATTTATTACGCCCGTTAATTAGTTAGTCGTTAAACTGTTAGGACTAGTGTAAAGAATAGTTAGTTTGACTGATATGTACACTGGAGTGAGAATTATATACGCTTTCTTTATTTTCTTTATGATGAATAATTCAAGATGATGTGAACAATCATAATGGTTACATTTACGATGAGATACTTGTTCAGGAAATAAAAAATACCATAAATTGTAAATACTCCTCTTGTAAACATTAGTTTATTCGTAAAAATACGTATTGTTTGACTTGACCAGTTTTATTAACAATGGTATTCCATATATATGATGTCTCAGCAATACAAAAAGGTATAACAATTTCTATGACCATCAAAACTATACATGTAAGTAATGACTAATTAATGACATTACTTCAACTATTGTGTGAAAATAATAATGGGAAATCCATCTTCAGTCTATTATTATTATTATTATTATTATTATTATTATTATTATTATTATTATTATTATTATTAGTCCCTTGGGTTCCTAGTGGAACATAGGGCTTCAGTAGCACGTCTCCAGTACACTCTGTTCTCTACAATCTCTTGAACCTGGTTCCACGACAGCCCACAAGCTATCATTTCCTCCTCGCACGACCTCCTCCATGTCACCCTCACCTCGGACGCCCAACTCGTCGCTTCCCATAGGGATTCCACTCGAGTACCTGGCCTGATGCGTGATGTCCCCAGTCGGCCTTCTCAGTGTATGCCCAATCCATCTCCACTTCCTTCTACATATTTCCTGCGTGATAGGTTCTTGCTTAGTTCGTTCGTTCCCAGAGCTCCTTGTTGCTTATTCTTTCTGGCCATCCATCTGATCTTCAGTAGCGAGCCAGCGCAAGCAGTTGTTGATGAATGTCTGTAGTTTATTGGAAATCCCTTTCGTAACGCACCAAGTCTCTGAGCCATACAGAAGCACTGACTTGATGTTGGTATTGAAAATCCGTATCTTGTTCCACATGCTGAGTGCAGAAGATCTCCACACTGGTTTCAGGCTAATGAACACCTGTCTTGCTTTTCCGATTCTCACTTTGACATCCTCGTCTATCCCGCCTGTAGTTGAAACAGTGCTTCCTAGATAGGTGAAGGAGGTTGCTTCCTTTAAGTTTCTCCCATTGATGGTGACTGGAGTTTGTTGTTGTTGTTGGAGTTGTTGGTGCGGTATCTTCATCACCTCCGTCTTCTCTATATTCACTTGAAGTCCCGTCTCCCCTCACTGCCCTGCCTCTTCTGCCAACTTGTTAGTTTTCGCCTGAAGATCTTCAAGTTTATGTGACATCAGGCACAAGTCATCACTGGCGAAATCCAAGTCTTCTAGGTTCTTTTCCGTAGTCCAGTGTATCCCCCTCTTCTCGCTGCCCACTGTTTGCTGCATGATCCAGTCGAACACAATCAGGAATATCATGGGGGATAGTAGGCAACCTTGTTTCACTCCTGTCTTCACTTCACTGCAAAAGCATCACTGAGCTTCCCATTGTGAATTACTTGGCAAGTGGCATCTTCATATAGTTGTTGAATGAGGTGGATAAAGGTTTGCGGTACTCCGTAGTATTGAAGCAGTTTCCAAATTACTTCTCGGTCGACGCTGTCAAAGGCCTTCTCAAAGTCGATGAAGTTGAGGCAGAGAGCTGATTGCCATTCTATGCTCTGTTCTATGATGATGCGTAGTGTAGCGTTGCAATTTGGTCTGCACATGATTTGTACTTCCTGAAGCCTACCTGTTCTGGTCGTAGTTTCGAATCCAGTGCATCCTTAAGCCTCTCCAGGATGATGCGGCTTAATATTTTACTTGGGGTGGACAAATGAGTGATTCCTCGCCAGTTCTTGCAAACACACAGTCTATAAGAAACCATTAAAATTTATTAATCTGTAATGGATTCTCAATGGAACACAAATACACAGGACTACATTAACATTACAAGGTTAAAAGATCTCCATCTCATAAGTGTGTCACAGATGGAGCTGTAAAGTAAATCCAAATACATTAAAACAAATGACTCGAACAGCACACATCAGTTGCTGGAAGACAGCTTCTAGTTGTGATCAAGTACTTCTGAAGGTGTACTCTAACAAAACAGTATCCTTTGGTTTTTAAGAACCATTCAATTGATATCATCTTGTGAAGAAATTAATGTTCAAATCTTAGTCAATTTATTACCTTAGTACACGATAGCACCAAGTGTGAAACTAAAAGGGAAGAGATGTAAAGGATTTCTCTGCTGAAGTATACAATGTGGCTGACATGACAACTTTTTTTAAAATAGGATTTTTCACATATACTACTTACAAGCTGTAGCAAATAGTAGTGGGATCAGATGAAATAAAATAATCAGCAATTCTTATTCACTACATATTCTACTGAATCGCCGTTAAAACCTGAAATCCATTCATCTCATATGACTCATTGGATGTTCATTATGCCTCATATTTCCCACTTCTAACCTTTATGGTGTAAGATTATCTGGGTATAGTTAGGAAAATTAAAAGGTTTTGCACAACCTGGAAGGTAGATAAAGATAAAGTAATTGTGATAATGGGTTCTGATATTCGCGTCTAAAAACCCTATATGAGTGGGTGAATTTAGGCTTTTCAAATTCTCAGTTAGCATTGTAACAACCTACCAGCCATTTTCAAGGTAATCAGTACTTCCCACTACCATGATATTCTTAGCTGTTATGACTAAATACTGGCTACGTTGTAATAAAGTTAATATTGACCTACCCACGATGATGATTAGTACTGACTTAATTCAAAATACAAAGAAATATTTCAAACAGAAAGATTAGAAAAGAAGCTCAGTACCCCCCCATCAAATGTGCAGATTAGTTAATTTTCACATTGTCATTAGGCAACACATTCTTAAAGATTACTAGTAAGGCTGTGAGGAAAGGTAAACAAGATAAAGAATATTAGCATTCATTTACCAGTATGAGGTTAGTCAGTGCATTCAGCTCCACTTTAATGTTATAGTCAGTGCCAGCACAATACGATGTGTAGGTTTTTCAAGCCTTCATAACAATAGACAATAAATCTTATAAATATACGTAAATGCCCAAATGAAAATTGGTAAAGATGTTGTCTAAGCCGTTGTTTCGGTAAGCATAAAATCATTCGTCAATACATACTACTAAACACCTTGAGTAGTTTGAAACCAATGAGGCTGGTCTGTAGATTTCAGCACTAGCCAAATCAGAGTGATCTAAGCAGCGAGCGGCTATCTCGCTTGCTCGTTTGGAGCAGAGCTCATCAGTAATGTGTCCGGAAAACTTCAGCCCACAGAACTAAATTATCCGGATCATCTGAATGTGAAAGAATCTACAGATTTCGTTGACTAGTTCCTAACTAATCATATTATTCTGTAATATTTTTCATAAGTTCATGACTCTTTAGCGTAAGAGATCACATCTTGTGATCCTAGATGACAGGTGGTTTCCAACGGGAACTTTGTTGACGCCACAGCTGAACAATTGAACAACTTCTCAGTTGCAAGAGTTGTCAACGTGGAACACAATTTGTAAATCATTTGTAAAAAGATCATTCTGTCATTAATTGTTGGATGTATCATGGATAGCTATAACTGATGACTCTATCCGTGTATAGTCTATTGGGTTATTGTTGTTATACGTTATTGACATGAATAAAATGTGATTCACTGATTTACTTTATGAATGACTGTCACAAAGAAATGTAATCATGCAACTGACTGATCTAATTTGCTTAAATGAATTTCATAGATGTTGTCTAAACTTAATTCATTAGGATTACTTGTTTGATTAATCTATAAGAGACTGTGTCAACCGGAATCCTTGAAACCTTCTCATAACACACGACAACTTATAAAGAAATTAAACAAAAATTACAATTTCCCTTACTTTGAATAATTGACTTGGTGTTTGTCCAAAATTTTGTATCATACTTTCCATAGCTTCACGTTCATAAACATTTTCGATCTTATCCAGATCTATAGCACCTTCATAAGTGACAAAATTGAATATATTCAGCGCTTCAACTGCAGCTGGACCACGTTGTTTGTAACTATATGCATAAAGAGAAAAAAATAGACAATCACCGATTATGCGCATTTTGCTGATAATTTGCAGCAATATACCTCACTTTATATGTGAATTGGACTTGTCAATACATATTATAGAATTATCCTGTACATTGATGCTAAAGCCATAGCATCAAAACTATACCCATGAGCCATCATACTTCACTGTCCCAGCGGATGACACTCTGACATTTGGAGCGGTCGGTTCTAGGTTCGATTATTTGGGGCAGAAACACCAATCACTTGAAAGTAGGTAAGTCAAGTTGAAGAGTCTTAAGTATAGTGCACAGTGCATCCTAGATTCCACTGCTAGCCACTATCTGTCATCGTCTTGTACACTGTTGCTGACCTAAATTGGTACTGTTGGAACCCTAATGCGTTTAAATGTCTTAAATCCTTGAATCCATCTCAAAGCCTAGGTCTTAATGCGTTTCAGGTATTACATTCAAAAGATGTGCAGATATTTTATGTCATTCCCTTACAGATATCTTCAATGCATCATTTTTCCAAAATACAATACTTGTTGCTTTCTCTACCTTGGTCTTGCCTATTCATTTTAGTTACTTTGTCAACTTCATTTCACTTCATTTTGGTATGCTTCTTTTTCATTATCACCAGTTCTCACTTCATTGACAGCATACGATCCATATTTCACTACTTAGTATCAATTCGTTCCTTATTCATAGACCCATTTTGCATACTTCAGTTAAATTACCATCGTTTTACAATTCTTTGACAGTATATGTCTCTTATCACACCACTTGTTGTCGATTCTTTCCTTATTCAGTGACCTATTTTCTATTTTCTCCACTTGAACAAATACCCCCACCTACACCGATTGTATATTTTGTATATTGACTGAGCAACTTTTTAGTTCGATTATCTGTCATTTTAGAGATCACAAATACAACTGTACAGCTTACTAATGAAGCCATTGGAAAGAAATATTTCTTCGTGAATAAATGGGTATATTTCGTCAAATCAAAACTGTACCTGTGCCTAAGTCACCTTCTGGATCATATATTAAGTTTCGACAATCTAGCAATTACTTCTGCTTGTGCTTGAACCTTCCACAGATCCAAAACAATTTGCTTAAATACAACCGAGAAGTACCTTAGATGCTGTCACTATCTCCCATCATAATAATATTTCTAGTCTAGACAAAGGTGTTAAGTATATTTGTTGTGCCTACTTGGATTACTCATCAGCCTTTGACTGTGTTCTTAGACCAATCTTAATAAATAAGCTTGCCTAAGCTCATATTGAGCCACGGATTACAAAGTGGCTGTGTTCTTGTTTATCAGAAAGGAAACAGCATATTATCTATAAAGGAAGACACTCCACTTGATTGCTTACTGAAGCTGGTGCAGCTGAAGGTGTAGTACTTTCTCCATTTCTGTTTTCGTTCTTTTTGTATCGTTTACTTTATTCCGTTGAAATTAATTTTATTAAGTATGCTGATGACCTGATGGTGTCTATTCCAGTTAAGTCTCACTCAGATTGTTCTGAATTAAATGGATTCTTGTCTGCAACTGGCCAATGGTCTCAAGTCAAACCTTGTTAATTTTAGCCTAAGGCATTAGCAAGTCTTATGTGAGCTATTTGAGTCCTATAATGGCTGTTACATTAGTGCTATTTCTAAAGAAAGCAGAACAAATTTGACCATACACTGTTCACATACGAAAATGAGGTCAGTATAAAAGGATAATTCTACTGACTAATTGTTTACTTTTGCATAAAATTCGGTAAAAATGTTAAGATTGTTCATATCATCGAGTAGTACATTTGAATTATTTAGTATACAGATAATCGTAACTGTTAATCAAAATGTTATCAAGAGGACTTCTTGAGAAAGGATAAAACGTACCCAAAGATTAAATCAATCCACAAGTGTAAATGGGCAGAAACATAATCGGATTCCAAAGCACCACGATGTTTACGTATAAACTCTTCTGGAGTAGACGCCCAAGCAGGTAATTCAACATTATTTATGGGGAGTTGATTGTGTTGACGGCAACCCAAATCAAAGTCTTTTCGATATTGAGATAGGAGAAAAGAACGAGGGAAAGGAGATGTATGAAGGTTACTGATAAGCTCAGAAATAAACTATGCAAGCTAACTCTCAATGCCTCATTAGAAAGAGTTTTCATGCTGTTAAAAGTTTTAGCTGAAATCATGATTTAAATGTATAATGAGGCAGTCATGGAGGAGAATTTATGTAGACTTGAACTGTGGATAGTGACAGAAGGACATTTTTGCTTCCTGGTCGTTGTGCTCATTGGTGAAGATTGTCTGAGGAATGAAGACCTGCATCCATGTCAATCAGTTCTATTAGCAGTAATGTTGCGAATCAGTTTTTCATGTTAAGAATCATCATTTCAGGGGTAAGCTGTGTTTATTTGTTTCATATGTGAAACAGCTCTGCCATAATGTTTACTGTTGGAACTGGTAAAACGGCTAATATGAAACTAAAATGAGTGGCAAGTTCATTAGAGATTACAGATTGTAAAACTTGCTTTCCGAAATTTTCGTAATTAGTGTTTTAAAGCTGCCGATTCGAACCAACCATTCACAGATTACCATGATCACCATGAAATTTCAAAGTAATCGATTCAATCTCAGATGATCACGACCATAGAATCCAAAAGTGAATCAAAGCAGACGTCCCGTCCCTCACTGATCTTCAACAGTTTTTGTCTATTAGATTACAATACGTAATGAGCTAAAGTAAGGATGATGTCTTGTTGACACTAAACTGACGAACATCTTCGAACAATGTAGAAATACTACAATAAGCAAGCTAAACCACTAGAGAAAGTTCCTATATCCATGGTACTCCAGCCAAATAGCAATCAACAGACATATGAACACTGATCCAAGATACGAACTACTGAGGAGTTGTCAGTTAACTGGGAATCAGTCACATAAATCAATAACCAGACATTAAGTGAACAGCATAGGTCGAACGATAATAACAGTTATAAAGGTGAACCTTTCATAAAAGATAATGATAGGGCACTCCTACCGAAAAGCCAGTAACCCTTGACGTTGGCAAATATCCCTTATAATCATTCATGTGAAGTGAAAATGAATCACTTCATTATGAAGTAAATGTTGATGAAGTCGGCTAACCTGGTGATGAAACTGTTGTGATGTCCCAGTCTTGTACAAAACATTGTTATTGATCTGAACATTTTAACGTGTCATTACCACACCAATTTTTACGGTATGACTGATAGTCTATTTTCTGCCCCCATTGTAATGTAAATCGCTAATTGGTTAATATCTTTACTCCACTATGCAAATGTCTCAAATTGAGGACAAGGTCATTTCTCATGTGTATACTTACTCACGTGTTTTGGATTGATTCATTATTATATTCTCGGAATAACACACTCTCCTATTTGCCAGCTTCGGTCTTCTCTCTATTCGTCCCGGGGTTGCAGTTAGTGGCTCTTGCGTACCAAGTTAGCTGTCAGCTAAGCGTGCGTATTATATTCCTTCCGGAATATATAATATATATATATATATATATATATATATATATATATATATATATATATATATATATATATATATATATATATATATATATATATATATATAACCATTAGCCTTCGAAACCGTAACAGAAACGTCCAAGAACAAACCCTAAAGCTCAGAGAACACTAAATAGATCCCAAAGAATTTATTTCTAAAGCTTCCAGCTGATTATATTTTAACAGATCATTATCCAAACACAAAAAGCACATTATATTTACAAGGCAATTACATACTCCTATGAGAATAACTTAACTTTATTGTTTCTCTTTGATTTCCAGGCAGGAAACTAACTAATTAGGGTTATTACTGGTAAAGTATTTACCTCATTATAACAGCACCACTCAAGCGAGTCATCTTACGCGGATATTAGGGGAGTCATTAGCATATACAAATGAAGACTATCTACTAGAATTTATGAGTCGTGTTAAGGCCTATGGAAATTTTTCCTTTGAGGCGCCAAACCTAGTGATGAAAACCATAAACACTGATGATTATCATTCCGCATCCACTAATATATAAATATGCCTAATAAGGAGGCCACTTTTCACCTTAATTCTTCGGGTTTAACCATCTCTCCGAACGTATATTGATCGACCTAGAGTATACTTAGGTGGCATATTTCGGTTGTGTAAGATAGCGACAAAATGCAGTCTTCATATATATATATGTACAGCTCGAGAATAAATTCGCTGGATATTAGCTGAATATCTTGTTTTTGATGTATTATATTCCTTCGGAATATATAACCGTTGGGGTTCAAAAATATAACAGTTTTCATGACAATCTTCGATAAATTTGGGAAGTCATTCTTGTTGTGCATCGACGGTCAGACAGAGAGAATCAATGCAGAACTTCGTACACAAGTGCATCGGCTCAAGGTGCCACACTTCACAGTGGTATACAAAGACAGATGGAAATAATAAGAGTGGTATTAGAAAGTACAAAGCTGTGTTAGAGAATAAGCAATTTGAAGATAGAGGTTAGTGCGAATATTCAAGCTTTGAGAGAAGTAAAACAGTGAGTACATCTGCACCCTTGTAATCGATTTTCAGCAGTTCAAGGAGTTCTAACGCATTAATTCCTATCTTCTTGAGAACCCAGCCAGGATGTCTACATTCCCCTATATGACTCAGAACAACGGTCACTAACTTCATGGACTGGTACTAGGTTTTGTTCTAGCCACCTTCAACTCTCTTCCAACCTAATCAAGCTTTTCGTAGCGTGGCACATTGAAGTAGGTGATGACTTGGGATGCCTACATATTTCCAAGCCATCTCAGCCGATGAAGGTTCAAAACCCCATAGATGGCCAATGGGCTTCGATCTGCTATATGATTATAAGATTTGACCCACATAGTTAGGTTTGAGAACTGTCGTAATTCAATAGCTGTACATTCTTAGTGGAATCACTCAACAAGAAATGCTGATTTTGGCTATAGATTATTAGATAAGAGTGGATGGTAAACTGATAAATTGGCAAATCCATACAAAATGAAAGATCAAGATATGTGAAAAGTATTCTCACCTCTTAACCTCTATGAAGTCCGAAGTTGACTTAAGTAGAAGGGGAGTAAAAAAAGACACGGATGGACGAGGCAGAGAGAAAGAATCAAACCTTAGGCGTACTTTAACTGCATATATATACCATTACAGTTCAAACCTCCAGGAAGCCATCAGTTCCTCAACTCTTTTAATGATACCTTACAGATGGGGTGGCGTTTGAAAGTACCAAAACACAAACCAATAAAGCATATTATCATTAATCCATCAGTTATCTAACAGTAGAATAGTCAGTAATAAATTGACTGATCATTTTGTTAAATTTTGTGAATTAGAAAAAACAACACTTACTATCGTTGTTTCTCAGGAATTCAGGAAAGAAGAAAAACTCTGGAATTAACTCTTTATTATCATTTGGACTGTCAAGTATAAATTGCCAAGTACTTGGTATAGAATAGAATTGACGATCAGCAACATCAAATCTGTAATTTGAAAATTAATCATAAAAGTAACATTGAATGTTGAATTGATTTCTCATTGAGTGATTTTAAAACCAAAAAACAGTGATATTCCACAGAAAATAATCTTAACAATGTTTCGATAACGCTATTAGAAAACGAAGATTATCTGAGCAATGTGATGTATTTGCGCAATACATTTCGAACAATCTGACCACACATTTACTTGTCAAGTCAATTTATATATGAAAATTAAAGGTCAAATATAGTGAATATGAAAAGGTTGTGATACTAGTCTTGATAATATAATCAGATTAGCAAGGCTTACCAAGGTAAATTAAGTGAAACAACAAATTGTTTTTGTACACACAACGGGGGATTAAGTTTACGAATGGCTAACGCTTCGGCAAACTTCAGTATGCGCCCCTGATTATTCCTGTATATTATCTCCAGTGTGGAGATCTTCTGCACTCCACTCAGCATGTGGAACAAGATACGGATTTTCAACACCAACCCTGTCAAGTCAGTGCTTCTGTATGGTTCAGAGACTTGGCGCGTTACGAAAGGGATTTCCAATAAACTACAGACATTCATCAACAACTGCTTACGCTGGCTCGCTACTGAAGATCAGATGGATGGCCAGAAGGAATAAGCAACAAGGAACTCTGCTTGGGAACGAACCAACTAGGCAAGAACCTATCACGCAACAAATATGCAGGAGGAAGTGGAGATGGATTGGACATGCACTGAGAAGGCCGACTGGGGACATCACGCGTCAGGCCAGTTGCTCGAGTGGAATCCCTATGGGAAGCGACGAGTTGGGCGTCCGAGGTGAGGGTGACATGAAGGAGGTCGTGCGAGGAAGAAATGAGAGCTTGTGGGCTGTCGTGGAACCAGGTTGAAAAGATCTCAGAGAACAGAGGTCACTGGAGACGTGCTACTGAAGCCCTATGTTCCACTAGGAACCCAAGGGACTAATAATAATAATAATTATCTTAAACGCTGTTTTCGTATTAACCCTGTGATTCATTTCAATAATATGTTTTGTTATAGATGACGATGGATGTCTGCCACCTGCACTTATCAAAGTTTGTGTGTTAAACTGTTTTTCTAGCCATTTGGGGATGTGTTCACCCACCCTAGTCTGCATTGAACGATTACTCCTCCCTATGTATGTATGCCCACACATACATGTAAATTGGTAAACGCAGTAGGATGTGATGTAATCATTTGTGCGAGGTTGAGGTTTGTGGTGAAGCAGGTGTTTTGTCGTCTCAACAATGATAAGCTGAGCTGCATAGTATGTTTTACTGATAACAGATTTTAATCTCTGCTTCAATAGCATACTACTTGTTTCCCCTCTGTATGGTACTTTAAGAAATATGCTTTTCTTCGGGACCGAGGAAACTGTAGGCTTTGGGGTCAACTTTTTTTTTACAATGGTTGACAAACTGTAATGGATAACCGTTTTCCACTAGAGTGTCTATCAGAAACTTATTCTCATCATCCATCGTATCAGATGTACAAATACGTTGGATTCTATTGAACAAGCATCTTACCAAGCCTCTCTTATATTTCATCGGACAAAAACTATGGAAATTCAAATACTGTCCTGTCCAAGTAGACTTCCTATATATTGATCGTTTTATAGATCCGTCTTCCCTCTGGCACAAGAGTATATCAAGAAATGCAAGCTGATGGTCTTTTTCTTCCTCACATGTCAGACTGATATGATCTTGTACGGTATTAAGCCTTCTTAATAATAATATGCAGGAATAATCAGGAGCGTATACTGAAGTTTGCCGAAGCGTTAGCCATTCGTAAACTTAATCCCCCGTTGTGTGTACAAAAACAATTTGTTGTTTCACTTAATTTACCTTGGTAAGCCTTGCTAATCTGATTATATTATCAAGACTAGTATCACAACCTTTTCATATTCACTATATTTGACCTTTAATTTTCATATATAAATTGACTTGACAAGTAAATGTGTGATCAGATTGTTCGAAATGTATTGCGCAAATACATCACATTGCTCAGATAATCTTCGTTTTCTAATAGCGTTATCGAAATTTAACAATGTTTGACATTATAATTGAACATTGATGGCTACAGTTCCCCAATAATTTCATGTGAATCAAGGAATTCACAGTGATAAAGCTTAGGAACCTCTTTATTGACACACTGAAATTTGAATGGATAGACATGACTTCATCAAACGATATTATTATTATTATTATTACTATTTTTCCCTAGGGTTCCTAGTGAAACATGGGGCTTCAGTAGTACATCTTCATTACACTCTGTTCTCTGCACTCTTTTGAACCTCGCTCCACGATTGCCCACAAGCTTTTATTTCTTCCTCACATAATCTCTTCCATGTCACCCTCACCTTGGATGCCCACTTCGTCGTTTCCCATTTGGATTCCACTCGAGGGCCTGGCCTGGAGCGTGATGTCCCCAGTCGGTCTTCTCAGTGTATGCCCAATCCATCTCCACTCTCGTCTCCCGCATATTTGTTGAGTGAAAGGTTCTTGGTAGGTTCGTTGCTAGAGTGAGTTCCTTGTTGCTTATTCTTTCTGACCATCCATTCGATCTTCAGTATCTAGTGAGGGTAGGCAGATGTTGATGAATGTTTGTAGTTTGTTGGAAATGCTTTTCGTGACCCACCAAGTTTCTGAACATTATAGCAGCACTGACTTGACATTGGTGTTGAAAATCCAGATCTTGTTCTTTATGCTGAGTGCAGTAGATCTCCACACTGATTTCAGATTAATGAAAGCCTATCTTGCTGCCTTTACGATCCTGGCTGGCTCTGACATCCTCATCTGTACCGCCGCCTGTAGTTGAAACGAGGCTGCCTAGGTAGGTGAAAGAGAGTACTTCTTTTAGGTTTCTCCCGTCAACGGTGACTGGTGTGTGTTGTTGATGTTGCTGTTGGTTGGGTATCTTCACCACCTCCATCTTCTTTATATTCACTTGAAGTCCCGTCTCCCTTCGCTGCCTCGCCTCTTATGTCAACTTGTTAGTTTTCGCCTATACATCTTCGAGTTTGTGCCACAAGACATTAGACATGAATCATCATCGTTGGCAAAATCCAAATCTTCTCCTGGGGTGTTTTCATCGGTCAAGCCAGCGCATGCCCATCTTCTCGCTCCTCACTCTTTGCTGCATGATCCAGTCCACCAAAAACAGGAAGATCATCGGTGATAGTAAGCAGCCTTGTCTCACACCCGTCTTTACTTAGAAGGCGTCACTAAGACTTTCATTGTGGATCACTTGACATGTGGCGTCGTCATATGGCTGTTAAATGAGGTTGATAAAGGTTTGTGGCACTCCGTAGTGTTGAAGCAACTGCCAAATTACTTCTCGGTTGACGCTGTAGAAGGTCTTTTCAAAATAGATGAAGTTGAAGTAGGACGTTGACTGTCATTTTATGCTCTGTTTTAAGATGATGCGTAGCGTTGCAATTTGCAATTTGGTCCGCACATGATTTGTTTTTCCTGAAGCCAGCCAGCCAGCCAACTTATTTCGGTTGTAATTTTGAATCCAGAGCATCTTTCAGTGTCTCCAGGATGATGCGGCTTAATATTTTGCTTGGAGTGGATAGCAGCATGATTCCTCGCCAGTTCTTGTAAAGACTTAGGTCGCCCTTCTTCGACAGTTTGACAAGGTAGTTCTTCTTCCAATCAATCGCCAGGTACCTTTCCTTGCTTCCAGACCTTCTACAATAGTGGTGTGAACATGTCCACTGTTGTCCCTGCATCTGTTTTCATTGCTTCTGGAGGAATTCTATCTGGTCCTGCCGTTTTCTCGAATTTCAGCAGTTTTATGGCATTCAGGACTTCACTTCTGCTTTTGTCGGAGGGCTTGTGTTGACTGGTAGTTCTGTGGCTGGGCTGCTGGTGGTATTTCTGGACGAGTTGTAGATGATGCGGGTGGTCGATTCAAGAGCTTTTTGAAGTGATCAGCCTATTTTTTCCTTTATTTCTCCTCTTTGGTTACTAGCTTTCCTTCACTATCTTTCATTGGTTTCGCCTGCGTTGATCTCTTCCCAGACAGTAACCTGGTTATTTGATATAATGTTGTCAGGTCTGTGTCTCTCCTACCTGCAGCCTGTTCTTCTTTATTTGCAAGTGTGTCGCGGAAGTGTCTATTGTCTTTGCGCATACCCTTCTTCACTTCTTTCTCCAGTTTAGTGTTTTATAGGTTGTACTCAGTTCCTCTTGTCGTTATGCATCCTTGCACTGGTTCATCTTCTACTTCACCATCACCATCTTCCTCTCCCTGCTCTATCAGCTTCCATTTGTCCATGGAGGTCCATTGCTTGACTTGTCTTGTTTCCTTTTCCTTCCTAATACAGTTATGCAGGTTTCTTTCAACATACCTTTCAAACAGTTCCAGTGTTCTTCCATGCCCGATCCTTCAAGGATGTTGCTCAATATCTCCCATTTTGTTCTGATGGCTGACTGACATGAAGATGTCCTTTGTAGTGTCGTTCTTCAGTTTGTGTTCTAGGTGTTCAACTTGAACTGTAGTCTATCACCAACTTCTTTGAAGTTAAGGCTTTCAACTTGATTTGAAAGGTTCCTTGCACTAGATAGTGAGTGGTCTGAACCTATATCTGCTCCTCTTCTTGATCTGATCTTGTATCCAGTAGGCTACGTCTCCACTTCTTGAGATTGAGATGAAGTCGATCTGACTTTTAGTGTAGTGTGTGTATCTGGTGAAGTCCATATCGCTTTGAGATCATCCTTGTGTTTGTACACACTGAGTCGCCTCCAATCACCAAATCGTTGAATGCGCAGAAATTTGAAAACGGTTCTACATTCTCACTCATTCAGTTCACCGGGTGCTTCTCAACCCATGATCAGTTCTCTTCCTGTGTTGGCCGCTCCGAGTTTGGCAGTCATATAACCCCACCCATTAGAATTTTGATGTCGCCAAATGGAGTCTTGTCTTGTACTGATTGCAGTTGTCTGTAGAATTCCTCCTTCTTCTCTTGATCTGTATTATTTGTAGGTGCATAGCGTAGCATTGTATGATTGTGACCTTCACTCCTTTTGAGTTGAATCTAGCTGTCATGATCCTCATGCTGCTGGGGCTATCATAATAGCCACTCCCTCCGTTCGCTCGTGGTTGTCGTCTGAGTGACAGTATCGGAGCAGATTATTGACTCTTCAGCTGACAGTTTGGAGAGTCTACTTGCATTCCATCTGCTTTCGCACATTCCAAGCACTTCCATGCCATACCTCCTCATCTCTTTTACAATCTGGGCAGCCTTGATAGGTTCGTACATGGTGTTGACATTCCATGTCCGCATCCTTACCTTCGCTTTCATCGAGAGAAGACACATCGGCCGGTCGGCCGAAGATGAACTATAGGATTCTTTTTAATGATAATATCTAGTTTTTTAAAATATGATACGGACATTTGATGGCAATCTGTAGTAACACAGGAAATACTTTTTCTTACAACTGCCATTTCGACAAAGGAGCCAAGGTTGGTATACTGAAAGTGTACCACTGTTAAGTCAACAAGGTGTTCAAACTTTTGTTGACAGTAGCTAACAGCAGGTTTTTACAGTGTTTTCATGCAATATTGATCTTGCTTTCTTGAAAAACACTTATCAATGTATAAGTATGTACGTCATTCAACTATTGGTTGCAGCCATGTACATCACCTGCATTCGGACTAAGTGAAACTAGCCCGAAATAGGAAATTTTTTCGCCGACCATCTCCAAACTCAAAATATTATAATCCCTTGAAAAATCAGGTCACCTAAACGACAGTGAACGAATTCAGTATGTGAGGATACAAAGTTGGTTTAATTGTTAGCCCATAAAATTGATCGCGTTGTTGAGGATCGTTGATGAATTTAAGCAGTTAAAAAAAAGCAGGAGTGATTAAATTTCTTTCAGATATTTCCATTGTTTCTGGTTTGAATCTAATTTACTCTTACTTTTCATCCGGTTGCAACTGCCTAGAATCGTTGGGTTAAATCGAAGAGCACAGATCAAGACACCTTGCTTGAATAGTGGGAGTTTTCTCCAACATATCAACGAAAATACTAAGAAATTCAGGTTTACTGGATAGATTTCAGGACACACTTTTCATCCTATTTTCCACTCATCAGTTGGATGTGAGTGATGGTTTTTTGCAGTGAGATTCAAAACAAAGACTCATCGCTTCAAATACCAAATATTTCCAGCTGATCAGTCCTAAATAGGAAGAAATACGCGTCTTGAATTCTCCTGTTAGCCATCAACAAGCAATTTTTATTAAAATTAATCCTCAGCTAAAACCGAGGCATCTTAACGGGAGCTTATGGAGCAACAGAAACTGACCAGTTTGGTGTAGTATAACAATCAATGGGGAATTACTAGTTTCAATTGACAGTATTGACCACTTCGCATAGATAAATCTGTCTGAATTTCTTGCAGAGGTATGTCACTTACAACAGTGGGAAGCTACATAAATGCCTGAAAGTATCTTGCTACGCTACAAGATAGAAAGCCCGATAACACTGGATAACTACACGAAAGTCATTCGACATGAACAAGAAATAAGATAGATAACCAAGGCAAATGGTGCGTTTGTTGTCTGTGATGTACTTGAAAAACGCAGTCGAAGCAAATGCCCATTCTCGATCACCTTTATAACTACATTTAGAAGTTATCCAGTAAACACATATACTATTACAATCAATACCGTTTGAGTTTGAGCACATGAATTTGAGTAAAAAAATAAAGGTGATAATATCAAAAGCAAAGTCATGAAACAGCTCGGTAATCAATCATTGAGTGTATTTTAGATGTGTGCAGCGGTAGAGAGAAACAAGTTATTGATGCATAGCAATTAGACAATAAAATTCTTAGATTCCTAGAAAGTTATGAAACTAAGGGAAAAAGTATAAATTTCAATTAAGACAGCCTATAACGATAATGTTTATACTGACATTACGAACAAAGATTCTACTAAGATTTTTTCTGTTTTATCGCAAAGGGGGATTATTGCCATTGAGTCCGAGCTAAAGATGGGGGGTTTAGGAGGGAAAGTGATCAAAAAAACATCTTGTGTATACACAAATAAAGTTAGAAAATTTCAGTAGCCATCGTCGTTGCCTTACTCAGTAGTCAGAAGCGTACAAACCTAGAAAATTGTTGTGCCATCCAGTGTAGAATGGCTAAAGTAAGCGTTTTATCGATGTTGTATTCACTATGATCAAAATGGAGTTTTGATTGACTTCACTGCTTCTTTACCTAACTACTGAAGTGGACTGTGTTCAAAAGAGTGACGATTTTTAATGCAGTCAGTGATTTGATAATGATAATGTCTGTAATAGATTTTTATATAAATAGGGTAATTGACTAAATGGACCTTTAAATGAGGATCAGTTATGATAGTTATAGTATGCGGTTAGTTTGTATGCTGGAATAACCACTACGCTACTCAAACCCATCCACTTCATGGAGTTACCTGGAAAATGTTACATGAAAACGTTAATAACCTCTTACCTATGGAAACGGGGTTGAAAATAAAAAGTGAGAAAGTCTTACCATTCACCTAACCAACAGAAGATTATGTCTTAAGGTAGTATTCATTGCAGTCTGACTTCAGTTATCGAACCACTGAATATCTGGCGACAGTGGACAGACGTTTTGTCCTAGTTTCAGGCTCACCAGTAATGCTCACCTATAACACAGAAATGGATCCAACATACCATCCTCAAGTCTCACATCAAACACGGTATCATTCAGACACTGACTTAGAATAAAATGGCTTACATTTTACTGCCTGTGTGAATTCGAAAAGTAGAGTGACTATGATCTAATGTGATTGGTGAGTGTTTGTCCTCATGGACGACTCGGACTACCCCACAGGTGATGGCTCCTCAATAGAACTTTGGGGAAATGATCTCGAAGCCAGTTGCCAATAAGCGCTCAGTAGTCACATGCTAATTGAAGTACTGTTCTATAAAGTGTTGTAATTAGAGGATTGTGGGGTGGTTATGACCATGTGAACAGACAGATGAGCTTAAGTTGGACTGATTAATTAACCGTGCATCCGATACATTTGGCATCTACTTACTTATTGTCATTACCAAAAATGTATATCAGTCACAACCGAATTTCATAATGCATAAGAGGCTGAAACCAGGAACACTCAATACTGCAACCAGAAATGTGAATATCAAACTACTCACATCAAAGATGATCTTCACAAAAACATGAACAGGAAATCATAATCAGAGAGAAAAAAATATGCTCCAGCCTTCAGTACCCATCAAATGTATCACTCCACCAAAGGTTAGACAGAAACCAACAATAAAACACCGTAATATTACTCACTTATTTCCATGCAAGTGTATATGATACGTTGTAAACGGTTCCATACGAACAAGATAGTGAAGTACACCAGCAGCACTGGAATAATGCGTTCCATGATGAAATTTCTGTATCATTCCACTAGGATCTTCAAATGAATTATATCTAATCATGAAGAAAGAAAAGATTAAGGAGAGTTAAAATGAGATTCCAGAGGGAAAAAAAAACCCTCACTATTATTGCCTTGAGCATATCCATGTATAATTTCACAAGAAATAGTGGAATTCTTTAAAAAGATGATATTAAGCAGAATTTTTAAACTAGAAACTGTGTCTAATTTCAAACGTGTTGACGACAGGGTGGTAGAATGATTAACACAGGACCTCGTAGAAAGTCCAACAGTTCAACTGACCATTATTCATAGCAGCATGCAAAGAAAAAGTGGATAGAAAAAGAATTATTCTAAAGTAGTCATAAGAGTATGAGGGGAGAGGAGATGGATAAACAAAGATGGTTACAAAGGTTTAAAGATCTGAAGATCACAGTGAGGGTATATATCTGTACCACTGAGACCGATTTCAAACCAAGTCACACACAGACTCCAGGCATTGATCCCTAGTGACTTTGAGACTCTAACGACGCAGTCTACACCTGCAAAATACGGCTCAGACTAGCAGTCACGGGTTTCATGAATTTGTGCCATTTCTTTGTCTGGCAATCCTAAGACTCAGTCTCACTTTGGCTGATAACAAGCATCACGGTAGATGGTGACTTGGAATGTGCAAAATACGTAAGTGTCACCTAAATCAGTAAAGGTACACAACCTCATTGACTGACTTATCTTATATGTCTAGTATTAGACGCTTAACCTCAACAGTGCTCATATAGTGATCCCACCGTATTTGAGCAATGCTAGGAAGAGATATATGCTTCGAAAATGTAGTTTCCTGATATCATCTTCTTTTAGCATTCATAACTCACGACCAAACAATAGAACAGACCGGACTGCTCCACTTTATAGGCCTACTTGTAAAGGTAGATGCTAGCGATATGCTGAAAATCTATTTTCGTGTGTAGTGAACTTATTATACATTTAGTTTTGAGATAGAAAAAAAGAACAAATAATTTGAAAAGTTAACTCACATCTAGGTTACAGACACAAAACAGTTGCTGTCAACCATCAGTTTAACAACAGATATATGCGTGGATAGGAAAAAGTGAAATAAAGTATAATTGCGAAACTCTACAACTTACAAGATCTTACGGTAATGTAATGAGGAAATATTAACCAAAAGAAAGGAATATTGAAATTATTCAAGCAATAAGCAGTGTAATGGGAGCAAATTTGCACACAGCATTAAACTGTCAAAGATTATAAGGATTATCAAAATTGGATGTGTTTGAATGACTGTGATTTATTTCGTGTCAATTCATTTACACTCAGACAAAACCAATCAATCCCTTATGTCTATCAGAAAGTTTTCATGAAATGTTTGTTTTAGAGACACCATAAATCAAGAATCAGTGACTTACTGGATCAGTTTCAAATCTTTTCCCGGCAACCCCTATCCTCTTGGTCATCCTGTTTACCTATAGCCATCCTAGAACCTTAACAAAGACACTTGTTCAGTATGCTTAACAAGTGCTACAGTTAATTGAATCAACGCAGTCATGAGACTTTTCGATCGAGTTCGTTTACTGACATATATTATTTTACAAGATCTAGGAAAATTGCTGGCTATCTGTTAATAACAGGTAGAAAGGGCTTTATAGACATAGGTGACCAGCCAGTTACGGTTATGTTAGATACTTGCACTAGTACAAATCTGCATTAGAACCCTAACGGAAGTAGTTGTTTAGTCCTTCGTGCTCAGCTCTGATGGAAGTTTAACAAACAAGTTTGCAATGTAGCCATTAAGCTATGGCACTCAACACTGCATTACCTTGTATGCTGACTCCTAACACATAGCACTGAAACACAGTGTGACACTTACCTTACTGGTTACGTTTTAAAATTGGCCAGTTGACTTCAACCAGCACTGGGAACAAAAGACATGACAACTCCATCGGTTACCGCCTCGTGAGTAATTCTTCTTGGACATAATATTTAATCTTATTAGAGGTCAACCGTGGCTCTAACAGCTCAGTTGTAAAGTCACTGACAATGGAATACGTTATCATTTCTAGCATCACTAACAATCTTGCAAAGGCTTACCGTGACATCCATCAGACTATTTTTTGTTGTTGTGAGAATTATTGAGTGCGATCTACTTTTATCACTGTAACCTACGTTGTCTGTGACCTGCCAACATGAATAACACTTTTCGACTTAAAAATGTTTGAAATTTTATCACTGTGTGATTTGAACAGTTTCAGTACGTAAAGTCATCGAAAAACGCTTCCATTTCCATCTTTCCAGATATGCATGTTGAAATGAACTTCTTGGATGAACTTTTTTCCGTTGTCTCAAATAATATTGGGAAATTGAAGAAACATAACCTTGTAATATTTATCATATTATTCTTTGTAAGTGAATTAACTACCTCATCACTTCATGAGAAAGACATTTCCAATAATATGAGTACAGAGGCAAAAGAAAATCAAGTGGAATTATTTTTCGACCTGATATCCTGAAACCAAATATACCTTCTGTTTGTATTGTTGTGTACTTAGAATACATAGAAAAATTTGTTATATGAAGTTATCCTTTAAAACAAGAATTGGCAATTTCTACTGAAGAACTTGTTAGATAAAACATCTGCATAGTTTCTATAGGTATTTTGGGGTGATAAAATACTCTTCTTTGTATTTAAAAACAATGAAATGAATAACTGACCAAATAGACGTACTTGTCTCTAATTTCCTTAATGAACTTAGGATTCGCTAATCCTATTGGACGAGATAAATCACGAAAAGTATGCTCCGAATTTAAGTCAATCTCAGATGAAGTGTAGTTTGCCAAAATCCAAGGGAACTGAAATGTATATTGAGAATGATATAATAGATAACAATAAAACTGAACATTAATACTGACAACAGTCTAATAGATGTCAGAAATAAACAATTTCACTGAGGTTATTTGAATAATAACTTTACCAAACGGTTATTTCGTTTTAGTTGAATGAGTATACACTTGTAACCCTCTTCAAAACCAAACATAAGACAATTCATATCTCGTGGTAGTCATCTGTTTATCTATGCAACTCATTAACCATGTATAATTCTATGAACGTTCATAATGCTAGGATCATTGGAATCCCTAAGATATCCTCAGCTGAGTCAGTGAAGTACTAGTTAAAGATTGAGTTTTTAAGCTGATAAGTTATACCCCATTATTATTATTTAGTAGAGTGTATCAGTACCCAACAGGTAGTATTTCCTAATTTCTATCGACTTATGACATAATAAAATCTTACTCTTAACCAGATTCACTGCAAGAGTTGAAAGTGAAATCTAGGTAAATAACTCTACAGCAGATACATGTCAATTTCTTTGAGTTTCCACCCAACCGTTCGCGCTTAATTCAGTCTAATCAACAATCGTTTACTACTTAAAAGTAGAACAATCTACTAAATAGAATTTGAAAATATATACACCATACAATCGTTTATTGTCCAAATGCTTAGCTCATCTATACGTTTGCTTTCATATCTCTAAACAGGTGTATATATACAGTTTACAGCTATGAATAAATCAAGGGATTGGTTAACTGACCATTTTTCATGTGCTGGATAGACCAGAGGATGTGCTGGATTCAAAACGACGACCGAAATAGCCTGCCTGACTGGATTCAGGAAGAACAAATCATATGCGGACCAAATTGCAACACTACGCTACGCATCATCTTAAAACAGAGAATAGAATGACAGTCAACGCCCTATTTCAACTTCATCTATTTTGAAAAGACCTTCTACAGCGTCAACCGAGAAGTAATTTGGCAGTTGCTTCAACACTACGGAGTGCCACAAACCTTTATCAACCTCATTTAACAGCCATATGACGACGCCACATGTCAAGTGATCCACAATGAAAGTCTTAGTGACGCCTTTCAAGGAGGACATTATACTCCAGGCCAAACCCTTGAGGGGAACCCAGATGGGAAACGACGAGTTGGGCGTCCGAGTCAAAGGTGACATGGAGGAGATCGTGTGAGGAAGAAATGGGAGCTTGTGGACAGTCGTGGAGCCAGGTTCGAAAGATTGCAGAGAACAGACTGGAATGGAGATGTGGTACTGAAGCTCTATGTTCCACTAGGAACCCAAGGGACAAATAAATAGGAAATAATTTTCATGTACAACTACAAAAAAGGTCCATCACAGGTTCACGTTTTAGGTTTATTGGTTTCAAGGTATCAAAAACTGTTAGTTGATCTAAATTTCGACATCAATGTATTTTTACTCTCGCTGGACCATCCCAGCTACGTTGGTGATGTTGACGAAGTTATTTCATCAGCTGTAGTTTATTTATGCCATCACCCAGACCTTCTTACATGGTGCATACATGGTATGTGACAGTTAGTCGGTTAAAATCAACATGGGACCTAAGAATACTGCATAGAGGTTCAAGATAACGTGTCTCACATCACTTCACCAAGATACAGAGAGTAAGATCAAATATGAATAAGTGCTGACCGAATTCCATCGATCCGACACTAAATGACACCGGTTTCAATCAATAAGGGATTGCAGATACGCCTTGTTGATGAGTGCCAACAAGTGCGAAAACCAGATTAAGGGATCTTGCCGACTATCTTCAACCAATTATATGGATGTATATGCATAAAAATAGGAGTAACTATATAAAAACCAATGCAGAATTTAAATTGTGCAAATCCAAACAATAGTTTTGCACGGGAATATATCTCAACTTCTTTGACTTATTGATTAAAAGATGGACTAATGACACAAATGAGGTGACTGCTTATACTAGGAATGCATGGGATAAGGAATATTTAGCGTGAACTAGCTTTTATGATTTCAAACATATGTATGGCGGTAGACTACTGACCATAACGTCAAATTATACCCATCATAAAAGGAACTGCTTGTGTAACTCGGTAACACAGTCATTTACTCTACGGCGTTTGAAGTGATGGGCACTGGGTTTGAGTTACAGTGGTAATACAAACCAGTAAGCTTAGGAGTTAAGCATATACCATAGGTATACGTGTAAAATTTGGGAACTGTGGTAGAATCTAATTGCATACTAGATTCGTTTATTTGATTTATAATACAGTGATCTAGTATTATTTACTTGAAAATGTTTCGAGCATAAACTACTGCTCATAATCATGTCAATGTGATCACACTAATTTCGACATCCAATTTTCAAAGTCATGTCACCTTATATGATTTGTTTTCATTGGTAATAAAATTTTCCATATCCCTGATATAGGTGTTGCATCATTTCTATTACATGTGTTGTGTATTGACTCGTTGAACAAAGATTCAGTAATCAATCTCTCTCTCCACCTAGTGGTACTGGACTCAATTACGGTGGCTTTATCCCACACACTATTGTGTGGTTGTGTGTCAGTGCATGCATTGCAATAGCCGATTTTTTCCTAGATTATTGACCTTATTCAAGTCTGTCATTCTGTATTTAGCTCAATTCCTATGTTCGGCTATTCTAACTAACCCCGACCGGCTAGTTTGACCTATGTACTTGACCTCACAGTCATTGCACTTTAACTGAACCGATTCGATTGGCTACTGACAGAAAACTACAAACTAAAACACCAAACGCTTTTCGTTACACAAAGATTGACTATTGTGACTCTGTAACCTTATTAATTACTCCGTAACATTTGAAAAGATGGATACTTGTTTCTCTTCTAAGTGGAGCTATCATCTTTGGTAGATTTTAGGTGGATGAAGGCAATCGGCAGGAAGCCATGGACCTAGATTTCGTGCTTTTAAAAACACTCGTCAGAAAGGCGTATCTGCAACCTCTACGGAACTGATGTCCCGCCCGGGACTCGAACCTGCATCGATGTTGAGCCAACTAGCCTGGTGGCCACACTGTAAAATGATCGATAGAGTTCGATCAGCACTTAGGATTAAACAACGTAATGTTGGTTACCTTCCAGTAACTAATCAATGTGGAGTTATCATCATTCACTGGAACGCAGGTACAACCAACCGATGCCTCTAAAACAGGACGAGGAGTGCTCTGTGAATTCCACTGCTAGCCACCATTCTTCAGTTTCGAATGCTCAGCAAAGCTTTAGTGGTAGATAAAACCCTTCATAGTCAACTGTAGCTGAAATACTGATCTGTGTCTTGTACAACTTAGATCAGCAACACCTCTATTTTATGCATTATCAGCTATTCACATAGGGTTATTAAATCATCAGTGACGTGAACTGGTATCAACAGAAATGGTCTAGACCTAGAAAACACGCTGAAGAATGATAATAGGTTTCACAGTTGTTTTCTTTTGTAAAAGTAACCCTGAGAAGATGTTATTTCAATTTTAGAAGCTTTTAACTGATGAAATTTCTATCAAGATTAGTGAGAATATCATGCTACACAGGAGTTAAAAGAAAATATATTGAATATTAGGTGTCTAGAAATTGATTTCCACTTCTTGAAACATTTCTCTGGTTTAAATATCAAGAAAGATGTATATTACTGTATCGTCCAAATATTATTCTACTTTTGTCGGTACTACACAAGTGATAATGACTATATTCTTTTTGTGTATGTAAATGTTATACACAGACAGCTGTTGTAATACATCTTTTACATAATCTTAATATAGTCTTCCATGTCAATTACTTCTGTTTTTAAATCATATGAGGTAAAGTTGCTTTCTTCATCTAATCATCAAGGGGATTTCAAAATATTTCAAAAACTTGAATTTGTTAAAACACTATTTTAAAAAAATCTACTAGCTATTCATATAGTATTATAGTTCAAACTTTTATAGTTTAAGCAAGCATTGACAAAGTTTAAGTTGTAGTTGTTAAGACCATGTAAGAATTATCTTAAAGAAATTAGTGTTTTTGAAGTGAAAAGAAAATAAATTTGTAAGGATATATAAATAATTTCAACTTACTATAGGGTATTGGCCAAGATCATTGAACGTACGACCAGCTATTGTATTCAAACGCATAAGATATTCAAAATTTGATATTTCTCGATTCATCCAACGCTATAAAATCAATAAAATAGTATATTTATTAGTTTCGATGATTAATTGAAGAGGATAAGTTCAAGGTAAGTAAATCTGGACTGTTGAATAGCACACTGCTGTCATATTAACCAAATAATATCTGTCGATTTAGGTGACTTCATCTCATATAGTCAAAGGTAGTTAGTAAAACATCTTGATCGATATGAGTTACATATTAGCTAACACTCATTAACAAAACATATCTACATTACTGTGAGGATTGATATTCTATTGGATACCTTAGATAGAGTAATTCAACACTCATGCTACATCCTATGGTGTCAGTAAGGTGTTAACCTACTGACTAACTTCTTTTAACGGGAGGATCAATTAAATTATTAGATGTCTACTTTCAAATAGCAAAATATTCCCAACCAATCGGTAAGAAAAGAAAAAGTGGTTATAGTGAAGTTCATTATAGTATCGATGAGCGCTCATCTTTTAGACTATGAATTTGCAAACATAAAATTAAGATGTCTAGAAGTATTTCAAGAGTTAGTAATCAATAGAACAGTTAAGATAGATTAGGAAGAGAAATGTAGAGATATTATGTAATTCAAGGAACTGTTAAAAAGTATTGGGAAGTTGACGAATAGAATTATGATAATAAAAAAAATAAACATAAATGTTTTGTTCAAAAACATTTTGATTAATTGTCTATAGGAAGTTCACTGGAATTTGTGACTGAACAACTTCCAAAGTTAGTGACCTTAACAATTAAAGACTTTTCGTGAAGTGCTATTATACAGATTGGTTATCCGTTCAGATTTATGGGGAGAGAAGAAACTATTTTGACGACGAACATTTTCTTTATCTACGATATCATTTTTCAAAGCTTTATAATTGTATTTATATATATCACCAACGTGTAACAATCTAGTATTAAACAGTAAGATATAATTTCATCATTTAGTTAATGCTAATAACTGAAATCACGAATTGAAAATATTTGTATATTAATCTTTTAGATAACGGAAATAACGAGGAAGGCAAGCAGTTTGATAAGATGAAGATTATACTGGGTGATGATTGGAGACGAGATGAAAATCTGAACCACGGCCGGATTCTAACGATCGACCACCAAACTACAGCTGTCTCAGATGGTCAAATGATAATCAATATGATTTTTTCCCTCTCTAGTTCAGTTAGATTTGGATTTGGATTTAGCCAGCCAATGTGAATACGACCAAGTGGTAGTAACGCGTCATGAATTCACATGGTAAAAACTTTGGTGAATAGAATGAAATAAAATTGTGGTCAGCAGTCCGACTTCTTAGCTCAGTTGGTAAAGCACCGCGCCGGTAACCCGGTGGTCGCTGGTTGGAATCCGGCCGCGGTCCAGATTTTCATCTAACCTTTAATCATCACCCAGCATAAATACTAGTCTGCCAAACTAAGGCTGTCTCAGATAGTCAAATGATAATCAAGGTAAAAATTGTCTGTAGGTGTGAAATGTGAATATTAAGTGTCCACTTGATGGATATAAAGAAGGCGAAGAAAGAAACAAAGGTCATAATGAAGGTGATTCTAGTAGACTAATTAATTATAATGACACCGAAGAAAGTTGTGAAAGTGTTAAGACCGTGGTGAGACAAGAGATTGAATATACTTCTACATGCAGAGATCAGGCTTGAACTGGTAAATGTCCAGTGCTTCTACGGTACACAACTGTAGAAAGTGTAGTCCTTTTGAACTATTTCTTTTTGATTCCGACTTATAGACCGAAATATGAAAAAACAAGGTTACAGAATAACCCCCATCAAACTTTCAAGATTACTTCTATGGAACATTAAATTCAAAGGTGTCAATACCAATGGTATTCTGCATAAATGATTATTAAGATCACTGAGCATAACATGTTTTGTAACAAGTAATTGAATAATCTTTCTACACAATTAGCTGACTTTTATGTGTGAAGGATAAGTTGATACGTTGGGTGCTATCAGTGCCTATCAACAAGTTTACTTGCTTCAGTGAAATCAAACACACTTACCATACATCCAGTCATAAACTTACTCAGTAACACTACCCAGCTTAGTTTTAGAGAGGTGAAAAGAAAATGATATCCATCTTTATCGTCAAGAATTTAAGTAATTTAAGTTATAATAGTGAAACTGTTAAGCGAAAATTCAAAGCTATTATAGTATTACCATACAAGGAAGGCATTTGAGAGACAATACATAGGATTCTCAATAAGGCTAAGATTAGAATGCCAATGAGACCTATAAACTCACTTAGAAATAAACAAGCTCTGTAAGTTGAAACATCCCAATAATTCAATACGACAAAATAATCGAGTTTATTAAATCCCTTACAATGACTGCGAGATTAAACACATAGGTCAAATCAGTCAACCAGGATCAATTAGGCAGTTCGAACACAAAAAGCTGAATTAAAATTGGTACACGATATTAAGATTTTTTAAAAATATCTAATGAAGATTTGAACTATATCTCTGCATGCAATAACGCACTACCATACAACAGGATGGTACACAGTGATAGTCTTTAAAAATTACTTAATGGGGTGAAGGGAGAGATTGATCGAAGCAACATTAATTATATAGATCAGGAATGAATCAGTACGTGTTCCAGATATATGGAAAATTCTAATATCTAAATCATAAGGAATGAGAAAGAATGGGAACTATGTATATCATTATCTCAAAGTTGTGGGGTGACCTGATATAAATGTCAATAACAAATTGTGTCCAGAACGTTATACAGTAAATAATACTATCCTACTAAGTGACACATCTAATTGATCAACTGTAACAGAGTTAAAATCTGCCAAAAAGCTCAAGTTTTACTTCTATTTAGTTACTCCTTTCAAGATGTCATTTCAGGCCATTTCCAAGTCTAACCAAAAAAAAAAATGCGTAAACGCCAACTTTCTGAAGGCTTCTCAAAGGTTTCTAGTGTTACGTGAAATTTTCGTATTTCCTTTCTATAAATTGTTATACTGACTCTAACCTTTGAAAAAAAAATATTTTCTGAAGCTTCTTAACCTTCGAATTGTGTTTACGAATGCATAGTTTAAAAAATTTGTCATTGGACAGACTGATGGCAAGTGAATGTATATTCAGCTGGCAGATGTCAAAAAATAAGACGAAATGTGTACCACGGATTTCATTTGTAAACGGTATCCATCACTACCTACCTTAGTTTTATCTCAATAATTTAATAATTCCCATTGTAACATTAAGAACAAGATATTCAGCGAAGAGACTCTTTTCAACGAATTTATTTTCAAGCTGTACAATCGTATATATACATGGTATTTGGAAAAAATTATATCCTGTGAGGAAAACTAAACACTATATGGTGATGACAATAATAATAGAGCGGGTGATGACATAGGCATTTATGATTATTAAATTTTGAGGGGGTCGTGGAGATTTGGAAATATTTCAAGTTGTTATTCATCGAAGACTGACATCAGTTGGAGGAACAAAGGAAACCTGGGAGCACTGGACAGCTGTTTCGTCCTAGTATGGGACTCCTCAGCAGTGCGCACCCACGACCCCACCAGCAGGGATCGAACCCGCGACCTTCAGGTTCCGCGGCCAGCGTGTTACCATTGAGCTAGCCACTGGGTCAGAATCCAATGCTCCATATTTCCAACTTCTGTTAGCTCACGATATAGCGCAAACCGCCACCCAATGTCATCGTTGAGTATTTGTCCTCACGACCATCAGGCTTTGACTCCACCGGTCACGACTTGTCATTGGAACCTGAAGGTTGCGGGTTCGATCCCTGCTGGTGGGGTCGTGGGTGCGCACTGCTGAGGAGTCCCATACTAGGACGAAACAGCTGTCCAGTGCTCCCAGGTTTCCTTTGTTCCTCCAACTGATGTCAGTCTACGATGAATAACAACTTGAAATATTTATGATTATAATAACAATTGAAGTGCGAATGATAACAAATAGATTATGTAATATATGGAATGGTACATAGAGAGTATATAACTCAGAAGGGGGTGAAAAAATTGTTGAAAATGGTAAATCAATTAAGTATTATGTAATGGCATTAGACAAATTGGACAAGATGAAGTCAATGTTTTCTAAAAGGATTAAGACAATTAAGTGAAACAACACCGGAAACTAGTTGAAGTGAAGGCGATTATAATAACAATAATAGTGATAAAGGAAGGATACAAAGGTTAAATTAACAAAGTGGGAGGGGGAGCTAATGGGGTGGGAAAATGTTATGGCCATGATAAAGACAGTGACTGCACATACTTCTTTTGTACACACAGATCAGGTCTTAGTTCATGAATAGCTAAAGCCTCCGCTGTTTTAAGGAGTTGAAAACGAAGAGAACGTGGGAGGTTTGGGCGAATTTGATAAATAATTTCAAAGTCATCGTCTGGATTTGTTGTGTGATGGAAGTCAATCAAATGTTCTAGAATCGAACTTCTAACAGACTTTCTTTCACCTTTATAAAACCAAGCAGGAACATGTTCTCGTATACGTGTAGAAAGCATTCTCTGGCTACGGCCGATGTACCTTGCTCCACAAGAGCAGGTGAACTGGTAGATGCACATAGAGGCGGCCAAACGAGGAAGCTTGTCTTTGACGCAGGTGGAGAATAGGTTGCGGCTGGTAAAAGTCAACTGGAGTCTTGCTGCGAAGAAAGTCCTATTGATTGATCTGGTAAGACGATTCTTCAGTACATCCGATGCTAGGTCTCCTTTAAACTCTAGGCTCATAAACAATCTTTTCTTTGAGACCGAGTGGATGACTGGTTTAGTGTTTCTTTCCCGCATATTTTTATCAATAAAACGGCTAGGGTAACCGTTTTCGACAAGTATGCTTTTTAAAAAGATAGCTCTTCCTCGATACAATCGTCACTACAGATACTTCTTATTCGATAGCAAAGAGAGTGAATAAGATTTCTTTTTCTGTTGATGGGCACCCAACTATAAAAATTAGTTAGTTGTCCGTTCCACGTTGGTTTTCTGTAGATGGATCTTTTAAGGTATCCATTCTGACGTCGGGTGAGAAGCACATCAAGAAAAGGAATAGTTGATTCTGATTCCTTCTCTATAGTAAACTTGAGGGCTTGATGACATTCATTGAATGAACGAAGCACATCGTCGAGGTCTACATTTTTGTCGCAAATAACAAACGTGTCGTCCATATATCTTCTATAAAAGTCAAAGCTATCAATAGTTTGACGAAGTTGTGAATTTTTCAGTTTCGACATGAAGAAATCTGCTAGCAGTGGTCCCAATGGTGACCCCATCGCAATTCCATCTTTCTGTCTATAGATTTCATTATTGAAACTGAATTGGACATTAAATGTGCACCTCAACAAAAGCTCTTTCAAGCAGCTCGTTGGTAGTCCTACGTCTAAATTATGTGCATCAATATAGTCACATACATAACAGACAGTTTCGGTGAGTGGCACACTCGTGAACAATGAAGTGACGTCTAATGAAAACATCATCTTGTTTAGAGCATTAAAATCCTTAATACCCTCAACAAACTGAAATGTATCACGGATAGAAAAACTCAATAACAGTAGATTTAAATATAAATCCTATGTACTAATGATGGCTGACCAGTAAAACAATGAAATCCAATATTCACAATAAGCTAGCGAGCCAAGAAAACAGGATTAATAATAACAAACCTTTGACGAAGTCAATGGCAAACTGTATCTGATGAGATATCTATGTATATTATCTTGTTGTTCTAGACTTTATCATCTTTTCATTATTTACTTACCCACTGTTAATCAATCAACCTAAAGTCTTACCAGTTTTTTTTTCATTTAACTACGTAATTTATTAGCTGTTTAACAACTTCTCCTTTAAAACTCTTGTCTGTTTGTTGTCCCCCCTTTCTACAGCTTTAGGATTTTCTATCTCATCAGATACAAATTGCCATTAATTTTGACTAAGGTTTGTGATTAATAATCCTGTGTTGCCTTGACTCACTACCTTATGTTAATGCCAGATTACAAACTTTTGTTTATTTCATTTCAGTTGCAGGCTGTTTGCAGCTGATGAAAACTTATGAAATAAAATGATCTCATTTTATTCTGTAAATATCTTTCTTCTTACATAGTTCAAATTTTTTAAGGGGACTAAGTATATGACAATGAAGTTTATTCAGAAATTCATGGAAATATATATAGAAGAACTTTTGTTATACGGTAACTAGTAATTCTAATACAACTAAGAAACAATTTAAGGTGTCTGTGGTGTTAGCATACACCGAAAGAACAACAAGGCAGGAATCCAAATGGCATTCAAACCTGTGAACTTACTCAGAGAGGAACTTTACCCGGTTGAAAAAGATAATGTTTTAACGCAAATCATGCATTTTTTCTCAGTTAAGTTCATAGGTGTGATGAGTTGATTGAAGTCGATGAGATTATCAGAGCATGGAATAAGTAATGTAATGATTACAATGACACATAATCAAACAATAGGGAGGGATGGTTGGAAAGTCATTAACAACAGTCTGGTTACGTGGTTAGAGGGAGAGATTGATTACTGAATCTTTGCTCGTCAAGTTAACCTTAAAAGAGAGTAGAAAAACTGGTACAGCATTTATTACATATGCATAAGAAATCCTAATACCACTGAAACCGAAGAATGACTAGTGCAGAACTATGAAACTAGGTGTCGGTTTTTGTATTACTACGTTGATATGACTATGACAACCAGTTTGTGCTCGGAACATCATCCGTTAAATAATACTCTACATTATATGCTTTAGGAAAAAAAAAACTTGTTTAGTCTGCAAGACCATTTAGTTGTAAATTATTTCTGCCCTTAAGTGTTGTACATTTTAATCTACCCATCTATTCCAGATTTACTTTTGCCATAATTAAAATAAATGAACGTAAATTGCTATCCAAGAGATAAGAAAAGTTTAAAACATATATAATTCGTATGATTGACGGAGACAGATAAATCTTGTCTACTCTCATATCTACATTTTTTCATGATATTAGACTACCTTTGATAGTTCTGATTATCAAACTAGTATAGATAAGTGAGAGAATAATGATCACTGAAGCCTGAAAGAAAAACTGAACTCTAGTCAATAGCTTCCAGGATTCTATTTCTTCAGTCTTTATCTTGCCTCTCAATACTCTACTCTACCTTCACAAAACGCTTTTAATTACTAGAAAGATGAACAGAGAAAAAAAATCAAAAACAAGTTAACCACTGAATGATCACGAAGAATACAAAAACTCTTTACAACAAAATTTAGCTTTCAACATCATTACTAAACAACACCAAATAAGTAGAAAAACTCTAGAAGAAATAGCAGCTGGTGCCATAAAAAATAAAACTACACCGAAAGACTGCCATTACAAAAACATGATGAACAAAGTAAGTGGAAACATGCAAAGATGAGGAGGGGTGCGGTGAAGAAGAAGGACAAGAAAAATCTCGAAAGAGAAAATTCCGCGTCAACCACCCGCTGATTTCATGCTTTTTTAAATCTTTCTGTTGAAAAAAGGCGCTTATAGCATTTTGAAAATTGCAAACTATTCGAAGCTGACTACAATATTTGTTGATGAATTCACCAACGCGAAGAGTATATTATTTACTACCTGAATGGAGAGAATGCGGCATTCTTCCGGGAAAATGAAAAACGAAAAGACTCTCAAATACATCTCCTTGTGAAATCATTGGCGATCGGCAACTAGACATTGATGCGTTCTTAGTGATTCATGGAAAACGTATACACTATTAGTACTGAGCGATGATTGAAGGTGAAATAAAAAATTTGGGCCACCGTGGGATTCAAACTAGTTACCACCAGGTTTTCGGCCCAGTGCTCAATCAATATTAGTATGCCGAACCACAGCTAACTTAAATCGTCAAAAAGATAATCAACATGATGCTCTCTTCTTCTAATTCAAGTAGATTTGGATTGGGATGAGAAGTCCTGACTGAGAAACCAGTGCGAGTACAATCAAACGGTACTAACGCATCATGAATTCACATAGTAGTCTGCCAAACCACAGCTACCTCAGTCAAAAAGATTATATGTGGTTGTTAAATATTGGTGTCTTCATAGGCAGATAAGTAGACTAGAAGTCCGGTGTTCACTTGTTTACTCAAGTTACTAGTTGAAAGGCTAGATTCAAGGCTAGTAAATTCATTTTTACATGAGCCTGGATCTTTATCGGTCGCTGTCTGACCAACAATCGCTACCTTCATGTACTACTGACTACAAACAGATGGAATTATTCAGGATGACGGCTGTATTTCGGTGATTTCCTTTTAAACACCGGTGTTAAGTGTTTCACCTCTGTTCGCCTGACAAGGATTTCAGCAAATGATAAGTTTCATTAGCCACCAAGAATGAGTGGGAGTGAGTGATAATGAGGATAATGAACTGTAAGTGCTTCTTTAGCTACAATAATGTTATATGAGTAAAACGACTAGTTGAGGTCATACCATTTCGTATCTTTTAACTACCGAGTGGAACAAATGAACATAATTATTAGTGTCGTGTAATTAATCACAATTCCCGAAGTAGTATTAATCGTGACCCGACTCCGCTTGTTATAGAACAATTAAATACCTGGAAGCAACAGAAAGACTTTTCGTTCCAGTTTTGAATTTTCTACCTGTATGTATCGTCAGGTCTTACGGAGAATACGATACCATTCAGCCACTGGCTTGGAATACAATGGCCTACATTTTACTATCTGTGTGAATTCGCAGTGCAGTGTGACCATCACTCAATGTCACTGGTGAGTATTTCCTTTTCTGGCAGACTTCGGTGACCTTACAGGTTATGGTTTATCATTAGAACTTTGGGAAAATTGTCTCGAAGCAAGTTACGATGAACTCAGTAGTTGCATGCACACTGACGTACTTGCCTATCTGAAGTTGAAACTAGAGAAATAAGTCGGATGGTTATAAGTGTGTACCACTGAAGATTCCTAAACTAGGATGAAACAGCCGTCCAGATCTCAAATGGTTCTTGAATCGATGTCACTACGTGATGAATACTTAACTTGAAATCAATCTATCTCTATAAACAACGAAGTGAATGATAATTTTACCGGGGAATTGAAAGTGAAGTTTCATTGACATGATCCAAAAGTGTAGACAGAAATAGTTTCTCACTAATTGCCAGTGTTTCCAATAAAGCAGTAAGGAGGTGAATTTAGAAAAGGCCTGTTCTGAAAAAAAAGTGACTTATTGCCTTCCATTCATGGAATTCTGTCGCTAATGATCATATCCTTATACGTCTGAATGTAAATGACAGTAAAACTGTTTGCAAGCTAAACTTTAAAGATATTCCACATTTATGCATTATCTTATGGGCTCTTTTTTTCAACAATCAATTTGTTGCATCATCAAACAGATAAAACTTGATTAATACAATCAAACCTTCAGCATAAAATCAATTATAAATTCAACCACTTACTTCTGTTAGTCCAGATAATTTGAGCACTTCTCTAGGATTACGACCTTCAGTGTAAATCATTCTGGGTAATTGTAAACTCATAATAAGTGAGTAGAATTTATTACGAATCTAAATGGTTAAAAAAGAACCAATAAAACCCAAAATAAACAATATCATTCATATATACAAAACAATGTTAGACATATGTAGACTCTCTGTCATTTCACCTTGGACAAAGGCTGCAACTATTAGAGAAGAATAAAGGTACTCCTTTTTATGAATCCAAAAGGTTCATAATCTGTGATTATTTTATAAGCCAAATATGAAGTTATTGAGGCTTCAAGACAACCTTTTCATCATATTTGGAAATTTTTTTCACTTTCAATTGGAAACAATTAATGTTATGATGAAATTTTACCTGATGTGTTACATAGACAATCACCGTTATGAACTAGTTATTTGATCTTGATGATCATGAGTTCAAATCAGTTTCATTCTCGTATCTGTGAATTTCATGCCTCATAAAACATAGCAATGATCCAGTTCTATGATTTAATATTATTCTTAGTCAACCACTGAAAGCAATGAATATTTATGTGTACAGAGTTTTATTTTAATTAAGTATACCTGTTGAAAGCTACCAGCCGACTGTACACTTCGTAAAAACCTCTCACATACAATCCTAGTTGTAACCATTATTATGAAGCTGTCAACAGAGTGAATTCATAATCCTTAACTTTAAGTCCTTTTCAGCTAACCCTATTTTATACACTTGAACTTAAATGACCCACTAAGTATTTATTAGACTTCAAGACTTTGGTCTTGAGAACAACTTAGACAATGAAAGGGGGCAGATTGAAGATTACTCATGCTCTGCAACTTTTGAAAGGAAAAAACGGTTTTGAATTCGATAACGATACTGTATTTCTGTGGCTTCCTTTCACAAAACTGGTAAGTACTCCAAGTTGTATACATAATACAGTTCAGCAGAGGTCTTCATCAACTTGAATAGCTTAATGGTATGGTCTTTGACTTCCTCAGGATATTTGTTGGCTTCCTTAGAGCTACAGATGCACCTTGCCAATAAGTTTCAACATGCACGAATCCCACCTTCATGCCACCTGAATTTCAACATCCAACACTAAAATGGAGAGCAGTGTAGTGTCGCATCACTTACCTCACGAGTCAAACTGAAAACTTGGTTGACAGACTTCAATTAGCGCTGAGTACTAATGACTAAAACGTTGTGGTGGTTACTGTCTGTTGAAGAATTCAAGTAAACTTGTCTTTGTTAAAATGGAAAACATTTTTTTGAGGCAGCTGTTACAAGTAGATTTACTCAATGCTTAAACATTATCTCACTGCAGGAGTGGTGCGACGTTTTCGGGTTGAAGTGTACTACGTAAATTTAGCGATATCTTTCTGTAACCTACGTTCAATGAGCATACAGTTACCACTGTGTGTGACTAGTTCGCTACGATATGGACTAATAACTGACATGACTTATCAGTAATGCTGCTTATTAGCTGAATAGGGGTTATCTAGACACCGGATGGCTATCACGCTGTTTTGGGACTCAATGTATCAGCTGTTTCCCTTTACTGGTTCAGCACAAACAAAAAAATCCATTAACAGCATGCTGAAACTGGTAGTAACTAGAGATACTCAGATTTGACATTACCGGTTGCCTAGATTGATTTCGAATTACTCATTTCAATCTGTAACATATTTTGTAGAGCTGAGCTTGCCTTCTTTAAGCCGTTCTTATTGTCGATTACAACCCAAAACTTTCTTAAGGAAGTCATGAAGGAGCCTTCCGATAGAGGTTAATCCAGTTGTGCTCTTCTCACTAGTGACTAAGAATCGTACAAACACTCGCTGTAATTCTATAAAATACAATTTTTTTAGCTTGGAAGAGAAAGGAAATTAACCTAATTAAAACAAAATACTGACTTACTTTAGTTTCGAAATTAAAGAAGTAATTAGAATTGTTTTCAAGAAATATTTCAACAGCAGAACGACGCAGATTGTAGCGACGTAAGTGTATTTCGCGCAGTTTAGATAATGACCAAGTATACTGAATACACAGTAAACTGGATGCTACGAAGGGATACAAAATATGTAAAAAATGATATGAGTTACTGATAACAAGCCCCAAATTACCTATTACTAGTTACATACTAAACCTTCGTATATACGATATTGATTTGTAATACCTAACCTGAACTGATATAAAGATATTCTTATTATTTTATCATTGGACCTGGCAATATTGAGTAACGGTTCAAGCTACCACATTTCACCACCTAATCAAGATACAGAGCCTAGAGTGAAAGACAGAGAAGTAGAGAAAACAGTAGCTAAAAGTAGTCAAAGGAAAGTAGGCAGAGGGAGTGAACCAAATAGTGAAACGCAACTTGACAATTAAGATGAAGCTAACGTATGAATACATATGCATCATTGAGATCGATTCTTAGCGATGTCAATTTAAGTCACAAATCACCGATTTCATTTCTCATGTGGACTGCAACCGGAAAGTTTGCATTTCCTTACATGGCTCGGACCAACATTTACAGGCTTCATGGACTAATGACAGGTTTGAATCTGGTGTTTGTTAACCATTTTTAAAGCCTAGATCTAGTCCTCCTTGCACTCCACATCGAGGGGTACGGAATGACTAGTCTTGTGTAACACATGTTTCAGCTGTCTGGGTTGATAAACGTTATCAACAGCATCACCTGAATTTACTCGTTTACCTAAAACTCTTCTACTTTACTCAGGCGGCCGTTCCATGAAGTATCATCATTTCTACAAAGACGATTTCGTCCAAACACCTAAAGTCATTTCATTTCTTCTGTACTTAATGGTCATGCTTCACAGTCAAACAGTAGAGCAAAGCAATTCGACCCTCAGTAGGCAGTCGGATAGCTAACTGGTGCTATAGATGGTATACGTTGGCATAAATTAATCGAGTCTTTTGTATTCATGTCGAGATTTCATTGGTCACTAACCCATTAAGGTTGGTTAACTTCTGAAGCAGGTGGAGTCATCACGACGTCCAATTATTTAACTTCTCATTGTAAGATGACAGATTTATAAAAATCAATGCTGAAGTAATAACTTGCATTCTAGTGACGAGATTCCCGAATTACCACTCAGAATGCCCAGAACACTTTGCATCTTTTCAGAGTCTTCACCTTAAATGAAGTTTTTCTTTACATACTCTAATTTTACTAAACAGTATCTTGTAGCAAGGTTGCAAAAAAACAGCCTAAAACAAACTTGTAAACCATGTTTGTAATGCTCTTCATTTATCACTACAATGGACAATCAGATTTACTCAAAGTGGAATAGTCATTTTCGTGGAGTCCCGATTTCTGTGATAAATTCAAATAAAAAATAACTGATTTTCTAACGCTAAAATCTCTGATTACAGAAGTGGTTGACAACTATTTAAATGTCCTTATGGTTCAAGCCAACCTTCATCAGTGAATGTCAGTTAGCATAAAAGATAAATTTAAAAATCTGTGTTGAATGAATCTAATCGTCTATTAACAAAAATTTATTTCAACCATGATAACAAAATCTCAGGCATAAAGTTACTAAAGCCTATTACTTCTTGTCACTAGAAAGAGTTATTTATTAAGACATTATGCTAAGACAAAAGGATTGATAAGTCAACGTAGAAACTGACATAAAAGGAAGCTTAGTTTGATTCGCTACACAACACAGAAGCGTACATGGCACAAGTGGATTGAAAAAAGATGATATTGAGGTGTATGAGAGTAGAGAGGAAAAATAAATGAAGGCTAACAAAATATTCTAACATTGGAAGACGTCAATGGGGCATTGTGACTGGTTTTCACCCTCGTTACAAACAGTCTTCAGCCACTAATTTCTATCTTTTTCAAGATATTAGTCAGAAAATCTACACCTCAGTATGTGGTTCATATCAACAATCAAATCTACCAAAGTCACGTCTTGATCTAGCCTCTGTAAGCTTTCTATCGAGTCAATCCTAATTCGGTTGGCATCATGCATGAAGCAGCCGCTGCCTCAGAATGTGCAACATACCTCCAAGCCATCTCTGTCGGTGAAGAATCGCAACCTCATTGACTGACCTGCCTACCTTGCCTAGTACACTGCGCCTAACCGAAACATTGTTGATACAGTGATTCCACCATATTCGAGGACTGCTATGATAATATGTGGTCAAAGACCTATAATCTCCTCATATACTGTACTTAATCTGGCCACGTGTCACAGCCACTTAATAGGAGATAGCAGCATAGTATACTCGCTCTTTTGATAGGTATTCAGATATCTTCTCAACTCCAGAGACAAAGCAGGTTTTCAAATGTTAAATAGGCTTTTTGTATCAAAACTGCAATTTTGTCAATAATCGACGCGTTTAGGTTGATGCAACTCCTTAAATAAGTGGAGTGGTCAACATGTTCAACCACTTCACACTCTACCCTTAAACCAAAAGTTAGTGTAGATCAGTCCCGAAGCATCATCTTACAGCTGACAGATACTATGTTCATTCAGAAATTACCACCTGTGGTCCATTAGCTAGCTGATGACAGACTAATTTCAAAATGCATGAGGTATATAAAAATACTATTATCTCTAATTCTGCTACGTTGAACTAGTTAAAGGTAATATATTGGAGACATCATCAGAATGAAGTGGGATCTGAGGATAGGTGCGCGTCAAGTCAAGTTTACTGAAAACAAATGAGCCGTTCAAAGATGCAGTCAAGTCGTGTATATGATGGACTGGGTAACAATCTGGAATTATGCTTAAAACAGTGATGTTTATCGGCATTTACAGTTAGACCTCTTTGCACTTCACTTTATTTCTTGAAACGTTTAGGCCACCTCTTCGCTTTTTTCGGCTTTAAAATTTATATTACTCACTAATTATCAGTAGTAATATATGTACCTTTCATTTTGTTTGTCTAGAAGGCGTGTTTTAGTAAATTATTTGCTACGTTAACATTGAGGTTTATTCGTTTTTATTCCCACCTACTGAATGTGTCTACTTCTACCAGTTTACTCTACACCATCCGTATCATTTATTGATCTTAATCCCTTTTGTTAGCGCCTTGATTCCCAACTGTATTTTTGCTTTTATTTTCTTTATTGGCATACTTCACGTAGAGTATATTTGATCGTCTGTTTAATCAACACCCAACAATATGAGGTTTGTAATCCTGTTATATATCATCTCTATTTACAAATACAGTACCACCTTCCAGACAAACTTTACATTTGGACTCCGTAGTTTTACGTCTAACTCGAGGATTTCCCCTTGAATTTCCCAAGCTTTAGTTGAATGTTTGGTCATGAAATTCTAGGGTGAATCCTTCAGTAGCATTTTTTATCCATTTCACTCACTTCTCAATCAAATAAAAAGTTGTATAAGGTAAAGCTTAAAACCGTACTGGTAGTGGCTAAATACCCATTTATTCTTCAGCATAAGGCTTTCATTTTTACGAGTTGACAGAAACAGGAAAATATAGACCACTGAATTCTAACCCTCTGGTTGAATGATTAGATGTTCATAATAAGATATTTCAGTTCTCAGGCCAATCACTTTTCTGTGTCGTAGGTGTACACTACTGAGTAGTTCAGAAATAGGAGAGGAAAGCTGTTCCATGCTCCAAAGCTTTCAACGGTTCCAAACGTTGATGTTAATTCATTATGAAAACCACACTGAGTGCAATCAATTCTTTCTAAACTCATCAGATCCTAATTATGGATCAGTTTTATAATTTTCAAAAATCAATTTAAATTAGTGTCAAATACATTTTGGAATGACTTACAATCATCTGATTTCGCTTCCTGTTCATTAATTTTTAGACTAACAACTTTATAGCCAGTTGGAAGGAAAAACTGAGCGGCTGAAGCATTATTATTGATAGGATTCAATCCACTACTACTGGTAGTAATATCCATTTCAGCTGATGAAATCAAACTATCAATGGATGCTTCAAATGTCAACCGATTCTGTGTTAACGTCAATACACCTTGAAATACTTTAATTGCTGTGACAAGTTGGGCATTGACACTCAATAGGACTCCTTTACCCTTCTGTGTTTGAGGAATGCTATTAGCGGAAGAATTTCTGAATGTTTCACTGATTGAAGACTGTGACGATTCATTGTGATGGATTATTTTAGCACAAACAAAAGGTGAAGCATTCCTTGTTGGACTAGTTTTCATATCATCAGTGTTAGTCTCAGTCATCTGACCCGCTTGAAAAAGAATAGCAGATTGTCCTTGAGGATAGTTGTCACAAGTTCTGATCCCACCAATAAAGTATGAAAAAGAAGAAAAAAGTAATCAAATCATTAAAAGTTAAAGTAGTTTGATCAAACCTACTGATCAGAATGCATATAAGTAGTATATATATACACACATAGTTGACATCTAGAGACACAAGTGATAACAGTTGACTGATACCGATTTGTAGTACTAATATACACAAACTAATATAGAAAAATAGAATAGAAGAGTATGAAGTCATGTTAAACAGAGTAAAACGCACTGAAGTGAAGAAAAAGGTATTTTGTTCGAAAGTGTATACATTTATTGTTAGATTTCAATATTTCTCTTTTCACTACTGATTGCCTGCCAGTATTAGCATTGTTCCCTTCAACAAGTTTGCAAGTTACAGCTTATCAAGACTAATTGAAATAACATAGATTAAATGACAATTACGAGAAAAGTGAGTCAAGCGGCATAACTGAATATATCTATTATTATCGGTTGTATTGTGTTCTCTGAGCTGGATTGTTTAATCATGTTCTGGTCAGTAGAATAAATACTGGGAAGCTGGAAACCTAAGTGTACAGGAAGCCAACATACACTTACCAAGTCCTCAACTAAAGTAGCAACAATCCAACAACCCACAAGATCAGTTGCATGCAGATTCTATTCAGAAGAGAGAGAGAGAGAACACACTCATGATTAAACAACCCAGCTCAGAGAACACAATACAACCAAGACCATCCACCTGAGCTACAAATATTCTCCACTATCTGTTATTATTTAATAGAAATGGAAAAGCTATTCGATGCAAATGGTATGAAGTGAACTTTAAAAGAAAGTCCCGCCAGATGACCGAAATTAATTAATCATAAAATGAGGTGTAATTCTTCTATACATAACATGAGTAAATTTTGAGGAAATATCGTCAGTAACCAACAATATTTTTAATTTATTCAAAATACATCCTTGGTACAACATGAACACCAAAAGATGCGTCATACAAAGTCTAATAGTGACAGTAAGAAGAGGTAAAAGAAGAAGAAGAAGAAGAGAAAGAGAACAGCATTGAAGTAAAATGGAGCAGTTTCACAGATACATTCAAAGTAGCAATCAGTGTTTTATTTTTACTTCTTGATTAGAAAAGAATCAGGAAGACTGCAACGCGGTTGACAATGGTGTCAACTCTGATCCATATATGATATCATTTCAGGTCAGTAGATTGTGTGATTGCTCGGAATCCTTCCAGAGGTTTCTCAGACACCAATTGTTGCTTAACCAGCACAACTATCTTTCGTCCGACGAAGCTAACTCAACTACTGACTAACTCCCAGCTTTTCCTTACCAGTTTTAGAGTAAGCAAATAGTTAACAATGAAGAAGCAGTTTGTATCACAAATTTAAGCCATCAAACCCGATTTCATAAGCAGGAAAGACTGTGGTTGGCGTAGCTGAAAATACAGCATGTGTATGGACTCTTTATCTTCTGCGAAATCCTAAGTATCCTTCTATCTTACATTTACTTATGCTCTTTCGCATTTAATTTCACTTTTCGATTCATCCCTATTGACTTCCTTGTTCTACATGTTACCAAAGACTAGAAAACTCTGAACTCGGCTCCTTTGTTGAAATTCTACGCGGATATGTCAGACAGATATCTATATCTTTCCACACAAATGTAATTCGTATCAATTTGCTCTTGCCTTTCCTCTTAGATTGTAGATATATTTTCTTTTTAAGACAGTCTGACAAGAGATCTCAAATACAGTTGAGGTTCTAAGAAGTTTCTGAACGTTGCATAATTCACTGATATTTAAGAACTTATTAATCGTTACATCCATTTAATTTTATCCAAAGGCTTCTATGACAAATCCGCAAATAAACAGAAAACTTATAAAAATAAGGCTTATGAGTTGGTGTTTTCATGGGTTAGCGGTCATCAATTCTCGACACTGTACAACATGGAATAGTTTATGAAAAACGTATTCAGATTAGCCTAATGTATGCACTTATCACGATTGAAAAAGGAGGCATTATAGGCCAAGTATTTATTCATAACACCGTCTCACTGAGTCAGGTAGTTAGTTTATAACAGGTTGCTTGATTTCGATGCAAGTATTTATAATATTGAAAAGCAGAGGGCATAGAACAGTTATTTCACCTAAGCTAGGGACTGCACAATGTTCATTGCTGAATGACAATGAGGTAAATGTCTCAAATTTCGAACTGGAAGCTTGTTCAACAAAATCAAGTTATATTATAAATTGTAAGAATTTGGGAAAATATGAACGATTAGACTATCACCGAGTGGTTGAGAAGTAAACTGCTTGTTGCATAACCTGATTTCTGATCTCTAATGGGATACTAAACGCTAAGCTGATAAATCTAAGACAACTTTATCAGTGCTTCCTTTTTTCAGTTAGTTGACTGATTTCAATCTACAATCAGGGCTGCTTCGAATAAATGAATACATGTTTACCTGAAGATGCCAGAAACTACAAGAGAGGTGTCGAATTGTGGCTAGTTAATTCCTAACATATATGTTCACAAAAGGCAAATGTGCTTTTTCGACCTGGCTACTCATGTTTACAAAATTATTTCATCAAGAAACAGAAATAGATAGACGTCGATGAAATCGAACATGAAATGCATTCAGAACTGAGCTTTCCTGATAGCAGGAATAGTTTATATTTATTAAGGACTGAATATAGCAAAATCGTTTATATTACGAACTTTGCATTTTGTAGGTAGATACTTAAGGCATACAATGATTCCCTTAGCTTAATGGTCATATACTTATCACTTTACCGATAACATTCAATCGGCCTAAATAGTTTAAAAATTGTACAAACAATCACTTTTACAGGCAGTCAGTCATAACCGAAACAGTTTATTGTTTAAGTAAGTGACCTCAACTTTTAGTAACGCAACCTCGAATCTATAGAGAAACATCAGTCTTCTCATTGTGGTAGATGTGCTTTTCTGATATGTGCCAACAACGGCAAAATGGCTTTTTTGCATGTTAAATCCTAAGGATTGAGACAGTGAACATGATGCCTAAAATGTAAACGCTAAAAGTATCGAATAAGGTTATGTCTAAAATATCTTTTTAAAAATTGAAAACAAACTCACGGAGTTTTTAAAGACAAATCAGGTACTAAAGTTCCCCGCCTGTTATTATCAGTAGCGAATTCCCGAATTCGTTTCCTCGTATCATCATCATCATCATTCGAAATAGACTCCTCGTGATCATCAAATTCTTCAGTGGATGATTGATTTGAAAGTTGAGGACGTTTAATCAAATGACTCATCAAATAGATTTTATTTCGATCATCATTGACAAGTTGATCTGCACTAGAATCAGAACAAGGAGTTTCTAATGTAGACAGAGAGTATCGATTAGGCCTAACGGTTGTTTCAGATTCAGAAGTATTAATACTCAATGAAAAAGGATATAGTTGTGACTGCATTATGTATGATAAACATATACCATCTCTTTCAGCGCTAGCATTCATATGTAGATCAAAGTTTAAATTCGGTTCCAACTTTGGTCGCATACGACAAGCTGTCTCTAGTTCACATAACCGCCAATGATCTATATTAGGGTAGCTGGATTTTGTTGATAAATAAAACAGAAAAACAAACAGAATATTCGATAAAAGAGATGATTTATTGTAAGGTAATATGTAATTGCTCAGGATCAACAGATGTAACTGAATCATATCTAGTCATATCTAGTCAATTTTCTTCACCAGTTTAATTATCTCTGACAAAATATACAACTGAAAAACTTTGATTAGTTAGAAATCACTCAGATTGATCTATAGTTTTCGTTGGTCAGATTAAACTGAACCAAATACTGGAAAATCATTTTGCTTATTTGGAGCTAAGCTCATCAGTGGTGTACCCTGACAAATCTACAGACCAGTCAGAGTGATTTCTAACTATTCAAGTTATTCAGTAGTATGCTTCATCAGTTCATGATGATTTGTGTCAGAGGTAACATCTTGTAATCTTGACTGACTGACAAGTGCTTTCTAATGAAAACTCTTTGATACTCAGCTGTGAAATATCTCAACGTGGCCATGGCAGTTTGCAAATCATTTACTGAGTGATCATCCTATTCACTACCACTATTTATTATTATTATTTGTCCCTTGGGTTCATAGTGGAACATAGGGCTTCATTAGCACTTCTCCAATGCACTCTCTTCTCTGCAAACTTTTCAAGCTGCTTCCATAACAGCCCAAAAGTTCTCATTTCTTTCTCAAACCATCTCCTCCATGTCACCTTTGACTCAGACGCCCAACTCGTCGTTTCCCATCTGGGTTCCACTCGAAGGTTTGGCCTGGAGCGTGATATCCCCAGTCAGCCTTTTCAGTGTATGCCCAATCCATCTCCACTTCCTTCTGCATAATCATCACTATTTACCTGCATGTAATTCGATTGTTCACTTTAACAACCTTACCCTTGAAGGTTCCACTTCTTAGTCATTTTCTAAATATTTGGACAGTTTGTAAGTATTCTACAATTTGATGAAGAAGTCAAGAATAGTTTTTGTCTGAATATCTTCTTCAATATCATCTCGTACAACTAACTATTCTAAATCATCCACAGATGCAATAATTCAGGGATATAATCGAAAATAACCGTACCTTTGTACATTTATAATTCATTATATGCAGGAACAGAAAATTTAAACGTTGTTGGCCTAGTATAACATTAGGTGAACGTGGAAATTATGAAGTTGGGAAAGCATATAAATTGGATGGCTCCTGTAGACATATGGCCTCCTATACAAATGACTCAACATAACCCGAAGACTTCCTATGATATAATTTGCTTGGTATTGACGAAAAGCCAGGATCTGGATTTCGGCCGAATATAGACTCTTCAAATGAATGTGGCTGCATTTGGATGAGTGGTGTCGTTCTCACTGAGAAGTGAATTAACTACTTATCCCTTCAAACTCTGATATCCGTTATGCTACTGAGTTATTAGAGCAATGAGTATCATTTGCTATTTACTGATACTTATAATCTCGCACTGATTTGTGTTCATAGTACAAAACCTTGGTATTTGATCGTCATGACGATGAACTTTAAGATTTTCCAATATTTTCTAACCTGCTGCATATCATTAAACTAATTAGGTTGACTAAATTCTGTATAAGGGATTATAAACAAATCTATTTGCAAAAGTACACTAAAACTATCAAAATTTCTTGTTTTTGAAAGCTTAATAAATAGTTCAGTTGCTTACTTGGTAAACCATGGTGCATTGGAAGAAATATTCATCAATCGATAGGATAATGCACGCCAATAAGTGATCTGTTGATTACGTTTTTCCAATTCTCTTAATTTACTATTCTTTTCCGTTTGTTCCTTTAACTGTCTTCCCATGATAACAGAAGAGCGTGACGACTCAGATTTGATTTCCGTTGAACTTAAAAGTGAACTTATACCTCTCGTTCGAGGGGATGTACGACTGGTTAACTGGCTATAAGTTTGAGGAATGTATTGAACTTGTAACCCATTATTAAGTTCTCCAGATTTATCATTTGGTTCAGATGAAATATATGCATGGAATTTGGAAGACATACTTTCGATATGCCGTTTTTGATAGTGCCGAGATCGTGCAATTTCTTCACTTGCCTCTGCACGATATAGGCTTTGAGTTGATGCTGCATCTATTATGAAACGAGCTGTGTAGGATTCAACTATGGGCTGAAGCTGAAATAAATGCAAAGAATGAAACGTTATCACAAGAGATTCAGATTTATTTATTTTTTGGGTTAGAGTTTGTTTGACAAACTTTTCACTATCACAACGGATATCGTCAACAGTGAATCAGTTCTCACAAGTGAAGTAAATTGAATGTAGATAGGAATTTATATTATGCTATTTTGTATGACTGCAACCTGATTGGTCATTAGGTGAGAGTGTCAGTGTGTTTTGAACCTAATTGATTGATATTTTGCCTCAAAAGAGAGGTGAGCAACTAGTTCATTGATGAACTTCTCTTGTTTAAATGGAGTACATTGAGGTTGCTTCGTTGTAATTGTTCAGTCTTATTTATATGAAGAACTGATCAAGGTCGTGTAGATCTGACTGATTGGCAATCACACCTATGTACTCACTGAACAGCCAATCAAAGTGGAGTCGGGTAAATTAGGATGTTATAAATTTCCATGCATAATCAGTTCACTTCCTTGTGAAGAAGTCATGCATTGATGACGATGTCTAGCATGACCTTAAGGTGCTTATGAGACAAAAACCACAGTTTAGAGAATAACTCAGGTGGAATATTCATGTAATAAGCTGAAAGTAATCTACACCATTTTCAACTCATGAAATAGCTCAGCTATAGAAAAAGTGTTAGATTGGCAGGTCAGTATTAGACAGAAAGATGATGAATACTTCCAACTTGGAATGAGAATATTAAGATGACTTGTTATTTTACCGTGTTCATTTTTTAGGTGGGATGTTATCACTAGTACTATCTCCCATAGAACTGAATGAACCTTACTTTACATGGGTGTTGATAGCTGATAAGTTAAACTGAACTCATTTACTCTGGTTCAGATAGAATGTGATTTGTTAATGTCGCATTTAATCAGCAACAAAGAGGATTTTAGTGACAACATTATGTAGTTTCACCTTTCAGAATGACTTTTGATGCAAGTCAGCTTGCAGGGTTGAATTAGGTAGTCACGTTTCGCTGAAGTAAAACGCATTAATTAACACTTTTTTTTAATCTAAATGAAGAGGTTGACTTTAAAATAATAGACTAACTAGTTTCAATTATCTAGAGTAGACAGATTGGCTGGTTAAGATTTACAGCAGGAAGAAACAAAAAGAGATTTCAAGTTGTTATTCATCGAAGACTGACATCAGTTGGAGGAACAACTGATGTCAGTCTTCGATGAATAACAACTTGAAATATTTCCAAATCTCCACAACCCCCTCAAAATTTAAAAAGAGATTTGTTTTAACTTGATTAATTGGCAGCCTTTAACTTCAAACGATTTTACTATACCTTAGGCTTAAAATTGTCACTTCTCATCTACAATTCATGCACAATCTGGTTGAATGCGCGTTTATAACAGCCCACCTGCTTACTCATCGTAAAATATAAATTATCAGTTAACACCCTGAAAAGTTGAGAATGATAGAAGTGGGATAAAACTGACGAATAATATTTCACTTGATGATCATACATGTGAACAGCTTGAAGGATAGTCAAAGTGGATAGTGGCTAACAGTGGAATCCAGGATGCTCATCTCGTTCTGTTTGGGACTCATTAGCTAGATGTACGTGCCACCCAATGAGTGATGTTGTTCCCACAGGGATTTCAACTCAAGAGCAACCACCTTAAAGGCCAGAGCGTAATTCATCACACTACCGAGCCTACAACTTTGATCACTGCTGTGAGAGAGAAATACTAAAGTAAAACTGGATACCTTATGTACTGGAATTTAAAAAAAGTAGTAAATAGAAGTTACACGGTGATTGCAACTCATTAGTAAGGCGTGTCTGCAATCATGAAAAAATGTGTATTTCCCCTCCGGGAGATTCAAACTTTTATCAATATGTGTTGAAATCAGAAATTTTACCGTTAAAGAACTGAGTTCATGATTCATACTCTGTACTACTGAATTATGTAAACGAACTGGACGGTTAATGTTCAGTGTGAGCGTTGTCAAATGTTGCGTACACATAAGTCTGGTTTCAATCGATGGATTGCTGCTGCTTCTGCATAACGTAGCAACCTACTATTTCTTTGTCTATTGATTACCTTAAAAGCTATGTTTGAGTCAACGGTATGACCTGTATCGAGTATGTGCTTGCCAATGGCGCTGCTTGGTAGCCTTCCATATCTCAATGACAGACTTTTCGGTACATGTTCAGAGACTCGTTTAGTAAGGATCCTCTCCATACAGAAAGAGTTTGTGGTTCACCTTGAGTTGCCTTGGTTAGCTGTTCTTTTCCTACATCTTTATTAATTATTTTCTTCTTTCATCTGATTGTCTAACATATTATTCTCATACGTTATTCATATTCTCATCATTTTTTTGATTTACCTTAACCTATTACATTTTTAGAAGTAGTATTCATCATGAACTGACATCAGTTGGGGAACCATTGAAAATCTGGGAGCACTGGACAGCTGTTTCGTCTTAGTATGAGACTCCTCAGCAGTATGCACCCAAGACCCGGCCAGGGATCGAACTCAGGGCCTTCAGGTTTCACGGCAAACGCATTAATCATTCAGCCAATGGGTCGGTTTCCACTGGTTCACAATTTCCAACTTCTGTCAATTCATGACATAGAGTGACTGTCACCCAAGGTCTTTCCCTTCAGTTAGCATCCACTTCACTTCCGACTGGTTGACCCCACACGTCACGGCTTCTCATTGGAACTTGTTATATTTTTATCATGTTTTTTAGCATATTCTTTTCTGTTCGTCTACCATTAACTCATATACTTTACTTACTATGTTTGTTGCTCTCCCCCCACCATTAGACATCGTACCACCTCGAACTGTAATCACATTCCTGTACTACTATCACGTGATATTTTGATTTGTATTTACTGATCGATTTTAAAGTCTTACTTATTTCCCTGTATTGGTTGTTTAGATCGTGAACTTTGTCATTCATATGTGTTCCCGTATAAATGTATTGATGTTTAGGTTTCAAAGATGTGTTTAGTGTTGTCTACCACTGAAATGTATCAAATGACTTATGCTAAACACTGATAGCTTACTGTAGAAAACTTTAAATTAAGTACGTATGTGGAAGATTTAGAGTACACGAAATGAATCTGTTTTATCCCACAATATTTGTTATTCTTGCTTATCAAAGATTCACTAATCAATCTCTCTCTTCACCTAATTGTACTGAACTTAAGTACAGTGGCTTTATCCCACACACTATTGTGTGGTTGTGTGTTAGTGCATGCATTGCAATAGCCGAGTTTTTTTCTGGATTATTGATCTTATTCCTGTCTGTCATTCTGTGTTCGGCTAGTTTGACGTATGTACTTGACCTTGTAGTCATTACATGGCATTTGATAGATTATATTATTTTACTTAATTGGTTCTAACGGATCCAGAAACCAGCCGATAAAGTTTATATCTGAGTGAGTTTGTAGGTTTAAATGCCACTCTATTTCCAGCTTTGTTGAGGATTCTACGTAAAGTTTCTGATGTACCCTCCTCATAGGGTAACACAATGGAAGCTGTGAACTGATTTATACTTGTGTTGTCGATATTATTCGTACTCGTGTGACTGTTATTTTTTCGTTTCTTGTGTGTCCGTACGAATCTCTTCACAAACTACGTAGGATAATTATTAACTGTTGATGCTTCCTTAATGTACTTCAGTTCCTTGTTTAGGTCGTTGCACTGACTAGTCAGTTTACTAGCTGTATCACTTAGACATTTGATTAAGCCTGCCTTAACTGACATTGGATGGGATGACTTGAAGTCTAGATACCTGTTGGAATGTATCAGTTTTCTGTAGACAGTAGTATCCAAACCACCATCTGTCCTTTGTTTTATCCTGCAATCCAGCATAGGTAATTCTCCTTGTTCATTTTCTACTTCGTCTACTACTGAGTTTATATGTGTGAAGAAATTGTCGATATGTTCCGATTTCAACACAGTAACTGTTATCCATATATCGCCAACATATCTTAGATGTTAGATTAAATCATTGTAACACCATGTTTGTTCAACTATCCATAAATATATCTGCTACCAATAAAAACATATCGTATATGGTGATGCAACTACAAAAATCAAATGTCAAGAGTAGTGTGATTATATTGGTACGATTATGAGGAATAATTTATGCTCGAAACATCATCAAGTAAATAATACTAGATCACTGTGTGTCATAAATTAGATAAATAAATCTAATATGAAATTAAATTCCACCATAGTGCCCAAATTTTACACCTATATTAATTATAAAGTAAACTCTATAGTTAAATACGCCATGCATTTGTTTTAACACAATGTTAAGATTATAGTAATCATACCGGCAGTCATGTCAATATGAAGAGATGACGTGATACCTTCATGTAACAGTCAAAGTTACCACATTTTTATTCAAACCATCAAGATACAAGACAACAAGGTTGAAAACAAAGAAACATAAGTAGTATGTGACCAGAAGTAGTAGAAAGCTGTGGAAGTAAAAGATGAGGGGTTAGAGTTAAGTTAGACGAAGATGGCAAGAGTAGACATCCTCGATAGTCACTTAGTGGTCGATAAAGACATAAAAAAGACCATGGATACTCGAGCATAAAGTTTTTACAGGTGATTGCTTACTACAATGTACCACTTTGTGTAACAGAGATAGAGTTATATACCAACTTCAGATCAGAAAATAGAACTAGCTTTGAGAACCAGCAAGTAAGCTTATGCTTCGAGAACGGGAATAGAGAGAGGATTTGATCGATTAATACACTGCCATACCTGTGACTTGCTTGGATGTCTAGTTTTGCGGTTCGAAAACTACATTTAGGTGTAGAAAGATTAAATGATGTAGCATTATAGAAAGGATCATAGCTAGACTGATTCCTATCACAAAACGATTTTTCTTCTTTCTTAAAGACCGTCATAACCAGCCATTAAGATCAGTTAGATTCAGTTGACCCATATAGTTCGCCTAACTTGTGAGCTGGATTTGTTCAGCTATATCACTGACTAGCTTGGCCCCAAACGAACGAGATGATCATCCAGTGCCTAAAACACTGACCTGGCTAGTGGCAAACTCTGCAGATCAACTTGAACGGACTTCAATAAAATACGATTTTCAGTAGTATATCTCATTATATTATAACGCTCTTCTTTGAACAAATACACTTTGTCATCTCGGCTGGATGATTTACATAAGGAAAACTGCTGGAAAACCGAAAAAATACTAAGCTTTAAGAAACGTCAAGGGAAGTTAGACAATTTGTAAGTTATTTGCATGTAATAAATATCTAAGAAATAATTGTAACGAATCTCCCGGAAGAATTTGGACACCGATGCTGGTCTACTAATTATAAAATAGGTTTAAATGTTACTCCACAGTCCTAAGATCTACAAATTACACGATTCTCGCACATGAGTAGTTTTCAGCCATCCAACCATGGTGTCAATGGGGTTTCCGTCAGAAATCACCTCTCGGCCAACATCACAGTGTGTGATCTCTAAAATAAAATTATTATAGATGAAGAGATTGGTCCTAAACTAAAGTAACGGCCGTCTAGAGTTTGGATCACTCTAATCTGCAGGACAGTATAAGTGGTTTCTAACTAATCAAGTTGTTCGGTAGTGTATTTATCAGACGAATATTTTGATGAATCGAACCCATTGGCTTCTGTTGGTACATGTCAAAGGAAGAGAAAACACGTGTCTTTCATTTCCCTAATAGCCAGCACCTAGCAGACTGTTGCCACATTGCAAATATGACCGATAGGATTGAGTCTACACTCAGGACTAGACAAAATGAAATTGGTTGCACTCCCGTGACCAATCAACACATAGAATATGATTTCTTTGGTTGTTACATTTAAGCTACTTACAAAATTTAAGTAGCTTGCTTTTTGTATCTGTACAACTTCACAAACTTACACGATCATTGAGAAAACATTGCCATTCACCGTCAGGTATAGATCGATAAACTTTAAATTTTTCTGGAAAATCAGCTGTCATTTTCGGAATGTTAGGTGCATATTTTTCCATTTCCAACAATCTGCTATGGTCTTTAAATATTTTGAATATAATTGGTGTCAAATGTAAAAATAATTCTTGATATTCACGATCTGTTTGATGGGCAAATGGATTTATCCCAGTGGGTAATGTGGTATTTATATCATATTGAGAACAGAATGATGTGTCTACAGTATCAGATGTTGAGACTTGGGACTGTTTTATTGATTTGTGTTCGCATGTTCTAGTATGATTATCACCACCCTCTTCATCTATTTCTTGCATTTTACGCATACTAACAACAGTTTGAAATTCTTCAAGTCGCGACCACATTTCAATCACTTTGTCCAAACGATATACAAGAAATGCTATCTGAATAGTCAAGAATACATAACGAGTAAAAATAAAGGCAACCAAAAGACTATCAACTGTAACCAGAAAGTTATCAATAATACTAAATGCGTAGTGAGTAAATATCTCTGTATAACAATGATCTGTTCATGTCCAACTGTTTTGAGGTAGTAACATGTACTGCTGATTTAATCTAAAGTAAGAGTTTACTTTCACCTATCCTTAATTGTTTATCAAACCTAAGCGATGACATTGCTTAGATATACCTTGGCCTATACACTTGTAGGTCAAATGTCTTGATTATGAGATTATGGTGAGTACTTGTAGCTGAGGAGGATAATTTTGATGGATTTGTGTTCTCTGAGCTGGATTGTCTAATCGTGGAGCTTTCGTTGTCATTCTAGACAACGAGAGCACAATACTATCAAAATTCTCCTCCTGAGCTACAAATATTCCCTTTTATCTCAAAACCCTACTAGCGTCAAACGCTTCTGTTTGTTCGGAAATGGGAGAACGCCAAGAGAGAGGCCTCCACAAGAGAACAACTATATTTTCTCCACGAGTGTCAACACCATCATGTTCTGCCAACTAGTGTTGGATACAAACCATCCATCGACAGTCCAGTTGGGTGGAAATTGACATAAAGGAGTGGAAGACACATGGTGCAAGTGATGATCATCGATGCTCATTATAGGACTCGGAAATATTAACAGACGATAGAAAGCCAAAAGAGAAAGCTCCAGAGGATACCCATAAGAGAAGACTTCACAACGTTGGCAACAGATTGAAAAATCAAGCAAACGACAAGACTAACAGAGAACAAACATTCTTCGGGAGAAGCTTCCTAAGATCTCGAAACCGCAGGCATCAGAAAGGAAAGAAATAATTGACTATGTAGTCAACTTGCCCAAACAATCCCGGGACAAGTCTGAGGAGCTCCTTCAAATAGAATGAAATTACAATACGGGGGACGCTCCAGGTCAAGGATTCTTCGCATCCCTAGAGTTATCACTGAAGAATTCAGGAGTAAACTCTGAGATTCAACAAGAAATGCGACAAATAATCGTACTTCTGACCAGGCAGAAGCAAACCTGCACTCAACTAACCAGCGAAGAACAAAGAGAACTTCAAGAAGCATGGCATTCAAAATAAATGTTAATCAACAGACATGTGAATATAGGCCCAGACTTCAATCTACTCAGGAATAAAACAGTCATCTATCAAACAAGGTAGAACTGAACGGACAAATCAACAATGATATATAGTGTGACAACAGGAAACAGAGAAATTTCACTCCAGCAAAGAATATCAACGAGTGTTACTGAAAGAAATTTAAGGTAAAAGAGGTTAAGATGTAAAAATCTCTTCCTCAACTTACAAGTGGACAACACCTAAGGTCAATAAACATACTATCTAAACAATCATATAAGAATCGAATATACTTCACTTCTTTATGAAGTTAGAGGTGAAAATGTCGCCAAGCCTGGTGACGAAACATCCAGGACAAAATATCAAAGCTCGAAGAACAGCAAACCACTATAACTCACTGAATATTATTATTTTTCAGAATGAACTAAACATAGAACCAAGGATACTGTTACTACTCATTTTTTATGCCTAATATCCAGCTCCCATATCTGTCCGAGCTTGCAGGTCTCAAAAAGGAAAGATAGATTGGATTATATGTTTTAGTATTTGTTCGCACAATCTAACGTTTAGTCACAACTCTTCATCGTAACTCTAATAGTCTCATTTCAAGTAAGTTCACACCACCTATCAAGTAATAAAGCAACAAACAGACAGCGATTTTCAAGCCCTATACGCTCATACTTAATGCTCAACTTCGAAACAATAACGCTTAATTTTAATTCTCATACTCTAATTCAGAAATCCTACAGTGTTCTACACGAATAAAGTAGAGGCAATGTGTAGCCTTACGTCGGTTAACTTGATTTCACGTCATACAGTCGAACTCCTGAATATCTTTATTGTTATTCATTCTATTTCAGATAGTAAGAACAATTCGAAGAAACGCAGATAGCCTTCTCAGCCTTAAAAAGCTATCTCATTCCCTGACATTTCCTTCGATCAAAAGGTTATAAAAAAATAATAGGTTTCTTATTGGTGCATCCAAAGTCATACGCGAGTCGAATTGGATAGCTCGACCTATCTGGCCGATAAGTCTACACTGCGGTGAAACTTAGATTTGAAGCTTTCTATTTATCCATCAATTTAATCACTACGATCATGTCATCTCTTAGTGGTAGCTTTGCTTCTTTATTCTGTATAATTTATAATGATAAGGCTGTAATGTCTGTGCTATGTATGGATTGCTAATCTTTTCTCATTTTGGTATATAGAATGTGTTATATCATTCCATCACAGAACTGATGAATAAAAACCTTCGTTTTAATGTCTGTTATAATACTCTTAACCACAGTGAGTTCTTATTCTTCGGTTTTTAATTCGTAAAGTAATGATTTAGTATGCTAAATACCTTTATATTAACCAAAGAGGAGTCAAATTTTACTGTCTGCTTAACTAACGAATTGATATGCAGCGGGTTGAAGAAGACAAACAGGCGCAAAAGCGATAGGTAATAAAGTAGTTTTAAACATACCTCTTCATAACATGACTTTACCTCAAACTGACAGATAATATAATGTAATCTGGTTAATGAACGAACAAATAGACGAGAATTGGGACAACTTATATCAGTGATCCACATGAGAAGTAAGTGCATAGCTAAAGCTTGAACTTCTTTCCATTGTGATGAATTCAACTCCCAGACAAGTAGTGATTCCTGTAATAAATTCATTACAGCCTCCATGAGCTAAAAAAAAAAAGATGAGAGGAGAAAACAGTTTAAGAGGAGATTGGAAAAATGTAGAAATAAATCACTGAACCCGTTAAATCTGAAGGAAGAGTTCTTGTTGAACATCACTGATGTTTGATGAACTACCGTGTTACTGCTTCTTTTTTATATCATTAAAGTAAACTAAACGTTTCTAATATCACCTCATGATTCCATCTATAAGTAGTTGATAATACTTTCGTCTTGCTGAGTAACATATACCAATAAGCATCAGAGGATTATTTCTTAGTTTTCTACTTTCACATAACTGGTTAGTTGCAATAAAATCATCGTAAGAAGTCTGGACTAGTTGAATGACTGACTATTGACACAGCAACTACATATATTAAGGCACTTCAATCATATGATGAGATCTAAGATGAAAATATGGATTTATGTAATCTATATTGCATTGTATCACAATCCGACCCGATGGAAGTCATTTATATAATAGGCTAGAAACGGCATTTCTAAAGTAAAACATTTCGACACTAACATGTAGACGAAGTCAAGCCGATACCCGGAGTTTGTTACTTGAAAACTAAGTCTCTAGTCTGTTGAGCCATTGTATATCCACTATGTTTCATTGGGACTAAGGCTATATAAGAAACATCCTCTGACTGAAAGAACTGGGGTTGTAATTGAATGGAGGCGATTGGCAGGAAGCCCTAAATCACATAGGTTTCATGCTTGTTCGCACTCCTCAGCAAGGCGTATCTGCAACCTCTAAAAGTGATGTCCAGCCTGAGATTTGAACCCCCGTTACCCAGTGTTGCAGTCAACAACGTTAGCCGAGTAACTCATTGTAAACGTAGCTGACTACAGCACTGGGTGGTGAGGGTTCGAATCTCAGGCGGAACATCACTTCCGCAGAGGTTGCAGATACGTCTTGCCAACAAGCATGAAACCTTGCTTCACGGCTCTCTGTTGATTGCCTTCATCCAACTAACATCTGTCAGAGTGCGTCGCAATGCAGAACAGCCTAGTCCGGCAGCCACATTACAAAATGAAAGATAGGATTCGATCAGAACAAACAACATGAAGTTGATTACCCTGAGTTGACCTATCAGCGGATTTCGGTTTTAAAATATAGGTTCATAGTGCTTTTAAAATCAAGTAACGTTTCTCATCCACATGAATGAGGTCTACACATATACATTCGTTTATTAGGCTGTCAGACACACACACAGTATATGAGAGGTGATGATACTATCTGGCTGCCCAGATATATGTAGATGGAGCGAGGCTCGAACCCGTGACCCATTGATTAGAAGTCATCTCCTTAAACTAATGAGCCACAACTCCATAAGAAGTTCAGCCGTCTGCAAATAAGATTTTTAGATGACTTGATAGACTAACCATACAGAAAGTAAGTTTATGCAGCCAGATATTGAATTCGATGAGCTTTAAAATTCCATAAAACCTTCGCATTGGAAATATTTAGTATACTAGCAGCTTTTTGGTAAATCTTCTTGGGGAGTAGTAGTATACAACGAGACAGAAAAATGTTAGAATGTGGATTTGGAAACAAGACGTTGATCGTTCCACAGTAATAGATAAAATGATAAGTACGTAATGAATTGGCAATGAAACGTCACTTTCCTTTAACATGTCCAGTAGATGGGTTAGTTTAGAAAGTTAACTATACTGGGTGATGACTAAAGGTGAAGTAAAAACTTGGACCATAGCTGAATTCGAACCAGCGACCACCAGGTTTCCAGCCCAGTGCTCTATCAACTGAGTTATGAGACCTCACTGCTCACCCATATTTTTATTTCACTTCAATCTCCATGGGTTTTGCCCAACTACCATGTTCGTTCGGGAGGCGTTACTATTGCTTAATCTTACTCACACTGGCTGCCTAGTCCGAACTTCTCATCCCCATCCAAATCTAAGTGAATCAGAGAGGGGGAGCATCATATTGATTATCATTTTGACTGTCTAATGTAGTCGTGGTCTGGTTAATTAGTATTGATGCTTGGTGAAATGAAAATCTGAACCTTCAACCATCACCCAGTATCAATACTAAGCTCCCAAACCATCGCTATCTCAGATAGTCAAGAAAGAAAGATAGAAAGTTAACTATGGTTTGGTGGTATTCAAAGTTTCTATCTTGACAACAGAATCATATTATGAGAAGGAAAACTTACGATGAAAACGTTTACCCATCCAACTTAACGGGAATTTTCATAATAATAAATATTAGCGATGATAAAAGGTTTTATGATAACGTTTTTACTAGTGAATGCAATGAACAAGATGAGATTTACATACAGTTTACAGACATACATATACTCTTACCTCTACTCTATACTCATCATCAATTAAATTTGTATGATTACAGGTAACATCAACTAAAAATGTCATGAACAAATGAACAAGTTTTTTAACCCTTTCTTTATCAATCAATCCAGGGAATGATAGATCTTGATCTGAAAAGAAAAACAAACAGATAGAAAAATGTATATTTAACATTTCAAGAATATTGTTTACTGGTAATCAAGTAGCCAGAATAACTCCAGTTTCTGAGTAAATCAGTTTATTGCTCAAAATCTCTTCTATCCCAAATTATTGACAAGATGTTGCTATATGAATTACCCGGATATATAATAATAACAATTGTGAAGGCATTCATTCTGAAGGTAGGTATTAAATTTATACTAAAAAGAGGAAAAATGTCGGTTTTTCTTGTAGACATATAGCTAGTATCGAACTTACCATTCATGATTGACTGATATAAGCTGAAATAATATTGATTACTGGTAGACGATTTTCCCTAGTACACATACTGATCACTGGATAAATACAACAATCTAATGGGTTAGTGGCAGTATGAATAGCGTGTTGCTATGATATATAACTTCTACACTGACTTATAAAATTTCAAATCTTGCAAGCAATAAGATATTCCTTAAGATCATGGATGAAACCTATTGATTGGTACTGATAAGCTAAGGACTTAGTTCCGAAAATTCCGACCACCTGAATCAAATCTACAACAATTATCAACTTTCTCTTTTAGTAGGTCCTCTTTTTATGTTCAGTCGAAGTGTGACAGAACCTCCAAGTCTACTGACGAAAAATGTTGTCAGTATATGTTTTAAAATATCTCTCTCATTAAATTTTAATTACACAGCTTTGTGAGAACGTGCTCAACATGGTATCTGAAGACACTGTTCAGCCATCATGGTTTAACGAAGGTTGTAATTACTAGGACAGTCCTGAAGTACAGAAACATATGTATGTTCTGAAGAGTCCCTATAAGTAATCTTTAGGTATGCTGATGCATAAATACTAGTCAGGTTGATCTTACTTTCGTTCGTAGACAGAAAGCCAAACATACTAGAGTACATTCAAAATCTTGTTCATTCTGTTCCCACTTTGATTTCCACCCTATACTGCCTTTCTTTTTTGTTTCACTGACAGCTATGGATTACCTTCATCAATAAACTTTAGTAATTTTTTTGTTGGTTGAGTTCTCGATGCATATTTCATTTTATTTCCCTCCTATCCTGATTCCTGTGTTGACTGAATAAATCACTGCTAGAAAAATAATGAGCACTCAGTCTTATGCTTTCTGAAAATAAGTAACCCCTTAAAGCATGAGAACCGACTCACTTACAGTCAGCGATTAAAATAACCCGCTCCAAAAGGTTTTGTCTACTGATTTTAGGGTTTTACAAGACAGGATTACCTGTAGTGTGGTAATAAAGGGTTTTTGCATGCGCTCCAATAACTGATATTTTATTGCTATGCATAAGAGCATATCTATCCAAAGTAATCACTGGAATGTTTTGGTATTTTAGGAATATGATAAGATAGATGTATCATCCATATTAATTTCAGAACACAAGTGATATTGAAGGCTGTGTGAATATTCATCCGTACTCATTTACCATGACTTGCATACTTGGTAATTGACATCATTTGAGAAAGTTTATATCAATAAACAGATTTCAGGTCTAGTTTATAAGGTAATCGATAGATCCTACTAATTTAAAGATCCCTTGAGATTATTCAGAACAAGAATAATTTGAGCGAACATTTGTTTTCAGTATGTTCCTCTTCAGACTCAACAGTCATAAATCTATGAGAATAAGTGAAATAAGGCATGATGCACAATTTTTACCTTATTGAAATAATCAGTGTTATGCGTGATGAGTGGAGATCAAATAGAATGAAATGGTGGAACTGTTATCAGTCTAGTGTGTTAGTTGCGCAAAGAAATCACTACTGACAGAGCAATTACAAAATGAGGAGACAAAATCTAAAGATAATGATTTATTGACATAAATTTACTCAGTCACAGATGTGTGTTTGTTTACTATGGGTCAAATAATAATAAGGATGGATATTGGCTAGCAGTGGAATCCAGGATGCCTATTTCGTTCTATTTGGGCTCGTCAGCTGGATGTATCTACCTCCCAGTGAGTGATGTTGTTCCCACCGGCATCCGGACTCGGGAGCGATCCCTTCAAACGCAAGAGAGTCATAAACTACACCACCGAGCAGCTCTGGATCCCACTGCTGGCCACTATCCATCTTTACTATAACTAGAACACAGGTATATCAAGGCATCTGCACAGGATCCCATATACCAATAGAGACCAATCAATTCGGTCCAATCAACGGCGGTATAATACAAGCAATAAGGTCAAATAATAATTATGTAGTGATGAATTATATTCAGGTGGGATGAAAACCATGTAAATATTATAACGAAATACAGAATAACAAATGTGAAGTGGTACGAACAAAGAACAAAGAAGGGCGTAAAACTAATAACATAAGAAAATGAGTGTTTATAAATTTAATGACAATTTAAAAGAAAGGGATAGGAGGTTAAAATGTGCAATTTTGTGGTAGGAAAGTTCATAAAGAACGTGTCAACCCTGTTGTGGGCCATGGTAAACAAGGTGGATGTACATATTTCTTTTGAACACATAGGTCCGTTTTTCTTGCGTTGATCCCTATGGCTTCGGCTATGGATAAGATTCGAAGTCGTGCACCTTTAAAGAGATTGCAAGGGACACGGCATATCACAGAAAAAGTGTGATCCACCTTAATCTGATGTCCAATGTCATTTTACAACTGTTCTCTCAAGATTGATTTCATTGCACAACAAACACACTAGACTGATAACAGTCCCACCATTTCATTCGATTTGATCTCTATTCACCCATAACACTGACTGTTTGAGTACAGTAGAAGTTGTACACCATGCCTTATTTTGGCTATTGTATTTTACTTATTCTCATGACTGTAGAGCTTGAAGAAGAACATATTGAAAACAAAATGCTCGCTCAAATTATTCTTGTTCTGAATAATCGATAGATCTTCAACCTTGACAAGAACCAATAAAGGTCATACACATCAGACAAATAGATTATTCTTTTCTTGACATTGGTATTTAATAGTGTCAATCGACAGACTTTATGACAGTACTCTTTGTTGGAAGAAAAGTCTGACATACATCATATGACTTAAAGCTCTATACTTTGACAGTTGCCACGAAACCTTATGATCAGAAGTCATTGAAGTAGTCGTCTTGAGTCAAGTTCATTTAAAACAATTGTTTATTTTCGTTTTTACTAGAATTTGCTACAGATATCCGGCAGAAATACTTACTTCTCATGTGGAGATTCTTTAATCAACCCAGTAGTCATGACACATCACTGTCAGCGAGTTAATCACTGTAAAATGGTTGATTTTACCTAACATTTCAATCAGAGCCATAAAATTATAAACAGTTAAGAGAAACTATTGGTTAACAAAACCAGTGAATTTTTAGGGAGGTACTTTGATTTCTAGTAAAAGCAGTGAATTTCCGGCATGGACTTAAATGTAGTAACTGATCTGAGGTTTTATATACCGTAGCTTAGACCTGGGTATCATGATGTGTAGATGGCCTTCGCATCGAAGTCAGTAGTGAATACCTTATTTACTACTCTGAGTCACTTCCTAAAACATTTCTACCTTTCTTCATCATGTATTCTTTCGTCCAATGCTTCGCTGCTATTGTTATTCGCTTCCGCTGACTTCCTATCACTATGTTAAGTGTAAAACATAGGAAACAATATGTCATTTTGTTCTATATCACTTCTGCTATAATCGGTAATGCGATCTAGCAGTCTACAAGCGAAACAAACCTAACGAGAAAAGGAACATACTGTAGTCACTAAACACAACGTGAACAGCTACAGCAACAGTACCATCAGCATACGAAGACAAGAAGCAAAGACGGACCGTTGACAGAGAAGTCTTAGGCTCAACAACAGTCAAAACAGTTGATAGAGATGCTGAATATATTCATTTTAAACGACCGTGGCGGACACTAAATTCATTGATAGGTTAAATGAGTTGACGACCGGTAAGAGTTCAGCCTTCAGAAGCAGTGGGAAAACAAAAGCTGGAAACGGCATCAGAAAGGTGCGAAAACAACAATAATAAAGTCGTTTTGAGGTTATAGGCAAATAATATCCGGCAAAAGTTTAGCAAAATTAGGGGTATATAACAACTTTCCTATTGTTTGTCTATCAACAACATATTCTGCATTTTACACTGTTAAATTTTCATTTCAGAAATCACAAATTGTGGTCATTAGTTGTTTGCTTCGAAAAGGTAACCCAGCTAAATTTCAAATGAATAGAGTTGAACTACTGAATCACGAAAAATTTAACAAGTTACCAGGTAGTTCGCTTATACAGTACTTTCTAACACACAGTCATACCAAAAAGTCAGTTCTCTTGTGGTTATCGAAACTCAGTACACAACCAGAATGATAAGATGACTAATCCAACTACACTTATTCGAACAATCTTACGGTTATGCCCCATTATTCTCACTGAAGTTAAAGGCTAGTTAGCCCCATAGCATTGGCCGACGTGGGTTCAGATTACTAAATTGGTATTAGTTCGCTCTAGGTTACAGATATGCCTCACTGAGGATTCTCAACAAGCAAGAAACGTTGGTAAAGCATGGTTCCCTGCCAACTGCCCCATTCACTCACCAAACACCAGTGAAATTACTGATTACATTCCACAGTTATCCAAGTTAGCTACATTTTTTTGTATGTCAAGATTTATTACAACTTCCATTTGTGTTTAAGCTTATTAATAGCACTGGGTCATCAAGATGTCTATGTTGACGTTTAATTTTCAGTGGATGAATATGAACAAACTGAGTCAGTGAATACTCAATAAGGCACAGGAGAGATTTAATTAAATAGTTACTTACTGAAATTGTGCAATGACTGGGCTAAAGAATGAGTTATCAATTCAAAAAGCCGTTGGATAATCCAGAATGCAGGTTTTACCATTGTGTTTTGACTACTAATTTCCACAAGGGACATTACAGCTCTGTAGTAACCCTTAATAGAAAAATCATTCAGTATAGGAAATAAGAAAAAGGTTATGTCAATTTAAAGGCAAGTATAGTTTCGCTTTATGATTATATCAATTAAAAATACAGGATTTGTACCACCATGTTTTTCCTAATAACTGGTCACTTCATAGTCCATGCGGGACTGACTACTGTAAACACGAGAGAAGTGATTATCTGCTGACGGAACCGATCCACCACACCATTTGAAATTGTGTTTGATGCAGCTACAAGTTCTGTTTAGAGATTGGGGAACCGATAAGTTGCTTCCTCAAATCTTAATTTTTACCTACTTCACGTCAAAAAGTTATCGGTTATTGGTCAGCTATTTCAGTAGTCATTTTTCCTAGGTGGCGTTTGTGTACTGAATGAAGTCTTCAGCAACCAATAAGATATAATTACTCAAACAGCACCTTATTTGAAATACAGCCTTGAAACTGACAATGACTAAACAACTGATGACTACAAAATAAACAGATATCAAGAAATCGGCCTGATGGAAGGTGCAGACAGCGAAAATACTCCTTAGAATTCAGCAAAAAAAGCAAGAGATCAAGTCCTTGCTTCAAGACAACAACCATAGCCGAGTTCACAGGCAAATAATCACACACGTTAACTCCAAAACCAACTATACTTAGGTGCCGATATTTCAACGTTACTCAATTCTGCAGCATGTCAAGAAACTAATAAAACCAGTAAGCTTTACCTATCCCTGAAAAAATTAAAAAATCTCCTGGAATTTCCCTCATTCAGGACTCGTTTATAAATCCACGTTCAAACCACATTGGAATCAGGTCCTAAGCATATTTCTGTTATAAAATTGAGATTTCTCTTCAAGGTTGTCTGGGTCCCTGCCCCAGTGAGTGAGCGTTGTTAACAGCTTTCTCACACCAGCTGTTTGAATAGTCAGTATAGGAACCAGAAAGTGCTTACAGTTTGCCTGAAAACTAACAAATTTTAACGTATCGATATCTGTGTTGAAAACGCTTAATGTTCTTCAAATACGTGTCAATTTAATTGATTTTATATTAGGTGATTGACATTGATGCATTGCTACCATTAGTAAGTTATAGATATTGCCAGGATTAAGAATACTTAGGGCAATCTAATGTCTATAATAAGTTATTACTATTATTATTATCATTAACCAACTCTAAGCTCACGTTTATGAGAAACAGACCGGCATGCTGTGGATGTACTATGTCAGTTTTAAAATCCTGAGTTAGATCCTAATATATAACAGCCTCAAAATCATACCATTGTTTTCACAACATAGAGTCGTCATTTGATTCTCAATTGGGACCGAGACCAAAAGTCCTGACAGAGCAGATAATGTGAAGATGATAAACTAACAGTTATGCACTATGCAATCGTATGCAAGTTGGTCAAAACCCTCATTAACTGAAGTAAAATTAGAACTTGGTCAGTATCCGGTTTTCATGACTTAACTGAGGCAGCATCATGCTGGTATCCAGAGACCACTGGTTTGAACGCTTCTGTGACTCACATTTTTATTTGATCTCTAGTCACCATCCCTAAAACACGTTAATGTCACAAAATTAACTAGTTGAGTTATAAAGAAATACTTTTTAGTAAGGTGTAAAACTAATCATTATACTCAGAAAATACTCACCATCCATGGATCATCATGTGTAATTGTTGTAGTTAAATGCCAACGTTCTAACTGACCAGATGACCACAAAATTTCATGTAAACACTTGACGACTAATTCACTTAAGGTTTCTTCTAGAACTTCGATATTTTCAGAAAATATCTGCTCAGAATTAGTTACAGAACTACTTATAACACTACCACTGTTAGTATTAGCATGATGGTACCGATTAGGAGTAGAACTGGCTGTCAACTGATTAATCCGTGTGTAGTTTACATCAGAGTTATTTATTATTGAAGTTGGCGAACGACTTGTTGAAATATTCTCTGGAATATTGATAGAATTCGATTTTACTCTTGAACAAGGCAATGAATTAGATATCTTTCCATCATTTTGACATTTTTCTTCATTATAAATTTGCGCTGCTTCCATTGAATAACAACTGCAAACTGAACTACCGAATACTGAGTCTGTTTCACTGTTCGTTAAAGACGGTAATCTAGATGAATGAGCTTGTAGCAGTGTTGGTGAAATCATTTCTCCACTTTGTGAGGCTAATGAATTGCCTTGACCTGAATCACTATTCATCTAAAACAGTTTAACATGAAGTAAAAGTGGATACAAGAAACCAATGAGAAGTAAGATCAGAAGAGAAAAGAAAAGCTTCACAATATGAGAATATTTAATACTTCCGAATTGAGAACCATAAAGATGTTTATTCTTAATTCTTACTCCGTGAAATGGTTTATATCGATCCGAATAGTGGATGGATATATGATTAAGGCAGATTTTCCTGATACCGATTGTAGTTTTAACTATAAATGAGAAATGCATTTCAGGATAAACTTGGAAGAAACTAACGAAAGTACAATCGGATATATTAGATTATTGGAGGTGATCTGTACACATTCCTCACAGTTTAAAGTGAAGTGTTCTTTGAGCTAGAATGTTGGTTGACAAACATTTCAGTGTCATGTTATTTTGACCTTGTTTTGTACTGTATTCAAATAAAAGAAGACAACCAATAACTAAGTTTCATACTTGTCTTAAAAAGCCAGTAGCAAAATGTTAACCAATCAGTTTTAACATATGCCCACATACTCACCGGATGGTCAATTACAATAAACTCAGGCAAAGTGACATTCTATATCCATAAACAATCAGTTTACTTCACTTTATTTTGAAGCATTGATGAGGTTATCTAGTGTGAAATTTAGACGTTTGCCAACCAAAACTCTAGATCAGAGGATAACTCAATCTGAGTGTCCAAATATTGAACTGAAAAAATATTTTCCATCCATTTCATCATGACTTACATTTCCTGTTTGCTGTTACCCCTTAACCTGATATACATAATCCGTATAGTGTAAACTGTTTCTGTTAGATATATTGCAAAAGATTTTATTTTGCTTAGAACACTGCGTTATGATCCATAGCTTCTAGGAAAGAATCAGCATTTCTACATTCAGTGGAGTAGTAGAGAATGTTTACTGGCGAATTAGACTCAGTATTTACGAAAATAATAAACTGTAGAATGTAGTCACGTTTGCAAATATTCTCCTTTTTTGAGTCGCAGCGTACAATGTTCCAGCCCCATATACCTTTACTCGATATCTTCTCTGTTTTCCTCCCCATAAGTCAGTCATCAAGACTATTCGTGTTTCCCGGTGTTGCGCCGTACATAACCAATAGACATTCTTTTAAACAGCCTTTATCCCACTATGAAAGCAGACAATTTGTTCTTTTGATTTAACCAATGAATTAGGGTTGTAAAGTATAAACTCGATTCTATAGATTAAGTCCAAACTTAGAGTAAGGTCGTTCCGAGTGCATTCTATTCAAATTTAAGCTGTAGTTAACAAAATAAAACATATACTCAGTTTAATTCTACCTATCAATCTAGGAGGTCACACCTGGTAGTGGAACGTTCACATAAGCAAAACAAGGGTATCAGAAATCAAGTCTCTTTGTCTTAGATACCAACTAGAAAAAAAAGGTATAATTTGTTTCACAGTAAATGCTTAGACCTTGAATAACCGTATTATTTGTAAGGCCAATATTCAGTTCTGTTGTTCATCATAATAAAGTTGCTACTTTCATCATATCTGTCTCTGTCTTTTGTCTGAAATACATTAGTTATAAAGAGGTATGCAGACTTAAAGGTTTATTAACGTGGTTTTGAATTTTAATCAATTAACTTTACTACAAAACGCTTTAGAGTTCTCGGTAGCCGATGCACTCTGTTCAGAGTTGAAGTGATTAAGGTTAACAAACTAGTGGAAGATCCTCGTATAACACGGAACTGTGTCTTTATTTGTCCTCAAATGTGATTTCACAAGTTCATTTCCTCTTCAAGTAGGTGTCAAAGGAGCATTACCATCAAGATAGAATGGGTTCAGAATCGAGCTCCTGTATAAAGAGCCGCTCAGTATCATATACCAGGTGAAAATCTAAACTGTCGATACATAAATTAACATCAAAATTTAGTTTCAACTGTGGGATATTATTTCTTATTGAAATATCAACTGACAAATAGATAAGCTTACATCTATGCCTTTCGGATTGATTCTGCTTAAAATTCTTGTTGGGAAACGAATTCTTGTTAGCCCAAATCGGGATGCTGAGATTCGATCACGTTGACTCATACTCCTTTAGAGACAGAAAAATAAGTATGCTATTACTTATTATTACCAATAAAGTTTATTTTTAAAAAATAAATGATATGGTTGTTGGTAGATCTGATTCTGAACTGACGGAAAACAGAAATCCAGGTTAGTTATCCACCTTTAACGCTTATTCAGGGTATTGTTTACAATCCGGCTAGAAATATTTAAAACCTAAGCTATGCATTCTGTATAAATGTTTACATTCTTCAAGCTTATTTTTCACTGAAAAAGTTTGAGATATCAATCTATAAACTATATAGGGTGTAAGATTCCCGAATATAAAATCCTCTGTCGAGATAGTTCCTACAGAAGTAAGACCTGATTGAACATTATATGAGGAAAAAAACCTGCTTACCTCACTCATCTGTCCTTCAGTCAGTATTAGTTTGATTTGATCAACCTGAAATCTTTACATTTCTCTTTGACCAATCGCTTCAGATCTTTTGTTGAATAAAATACGTCTGATAGAGGGCTTAGTATTTGGTATCGAGTGGTTAGAGACAATCACCAGAAAACTATGGACCTAGGTTTCATCTTTACTGCCACTCATCAGCAGAGTATATCTACAACTTCGAGAGAACTGATGTCAACTCAGACACCGTCAGTTGCATCATCTGAAGCTAGAATTATATACTCTACCGCTGGGCGATTCAGACTACAACTGACCTCAGTTAGGAGTGGGTAAGATACACTGACTGATCCTTGAAGAGTAATCAATTTCATCTTGTATAGTCCTAAGTGCCAACTGAATTATATCGAATATTTTGAAATAGGATCAATAATGTTGGAAAATCACCATCGTATTACACTTCAATTGATAGTAGGTGATTGAAAACAGCCGGTATTAAGGCCTGCTTGACCTAGGCTTCGTCCTTGTTGGCACCCATTCGAAAATCATAGCTTCAACCTCCACGTAGTAGAATACACAAAACTGATTAGTCTCCAGTGTCCAATCAATGTGATTTAGTAAGTGATGCTAAGTATTATACAAAAGCGAGAATTCTAAACACTGAAAGCTCAGCAGGTTAACTTTTTATTCGTACGTCTTGTGATTAATTTACACAGTCATACACTGGTGGCTAAAAATACCAAGTTGAATTTTCCTTATTCACACACCCACATAAATCAAACTGTTTTCATCCATCAAACTTTATTCACCTACAAAGACTTTTCAGGCTAGCTAATATTATGAATCTGAACATTTAAGAAAAACATATGTTACAGAATCAATACAATCTTCTCTGAATTTTATTTGCATGGAATAGAAGTAATGTGATACTCAAAGTTTGTTTGAAGATTGTGTGTAGGAACAACTAAGCTAATCTTCACATATTTAGAACGAAACAGGCTCATAAACAGAAGTACGGCTTATAACAGTTCAAATACACCAATATAATAGGGAAAATAAAATGTTTCTTCACCCAATTATCCAAGAGGAAGATATTTCTCTTAAAATCCTTTTATTATGTCTTGCTAAAAAGATGAGAAAAAATTTTCCACAGGAAGTATTTGTTGACCAAAGATTTGTTTACTAATGTTCTCTCTGAGTATCATAGTTCCATCTACCTATTTTTATCTGATCATCAGGTATATTACAGCTTAACTGTCCTCATAGTACAGCTTACACAAGGCACATCTTGAAGTATGTCAAAGTTTTCAAAAGAGATGCAGTGAAGTTATGTCTATATTCTACACTTTCGTATTGAATGAATGAACAGCTATAAACAAATATTACCATGGTTTTTAGTATAATACGATATATTTGCGAAAATAACTATACAAAAATTGCTTATGTCTACTTTGTATACTGTGAAGCTATCGTAATAAGATTGACAAAATCAGAATTATATATATATATTCGACTATTCCTGGTAATCTAGTCTTCAACAATAAACACACATTCGCATATTTGTTTCCAACTTCTTAAAATTTTCTTTTAATTTCAGCTAAACCTAATGCATACTATTCATTCCAGAGACATTCAAAGAACTGATAACTCTATGATTAGTTCTTACCAGTGAAATCATACAAAGTAAAATTTATTGAATTCAAATTGGTATTCAACACAAACTGACATCAGTTAGAGAACCATTGGAAACGTGGGAGCACTGGATAGCTGTTTCATCCTTGTATTTGACTCAGCAGTGCACAACCATGATCCCACCAATGGCTAAACACAAAACCCCCAGATCCGACTGTCGGCAATATACCAATGCACCCGAAGTGGGGAAAAACGCTCATAGGTGGAATTGGATGGAGTTACCACCATATGGCGAATTGACAGAAGTAGGAAATGTAATCCAGTTATCCAATGGCCCTATGGTAACGTGATTTCTGGGGAGTTCCATACTAGTATGAAGCAGATGTCCAGTGCTCTAAGGTTTTCAAAGGTTCCCTAATTAACGTCAGTTCGTTATGAATACCGACTTGAAATCAATAAATAAAACCCAACAAACCTCTTAGTTGAAAGTAACGTTTGCTCATTCTTAATTTTCAAATTCTTGTTAGCACACACTCTTTGCTGTATAAAAAATAAAGTTTAGAGTATTCGTGGCTCATAAACAACCAACAGATTAGAATTAACCACTCCACATCTTTTAGATCCTAATAAGATCACACAGCATTAATGTAATAATCTCATGTTCCAAAAGGAAAGAAAATAGCTGTGAAATATTCAATAGGTTTTTGAAAAATGTTTCTCTTGTCGGAAGGTACAGCTATTTTCCGAAAGACGTTTTCTACGCAATAAGTAAATTTATTCTTAATGCCATAAAATCTACATTTACACTTGTAACAATGGAACTATACTTAATTTAGGCTTATATGATACCTTAAGAATGATAACTTTTGTGTAACGCCTTAAGAAATTATCTGGTCACCCAAACCGAAGTGCGCCAGACAGGGCTCGAACGCTGAAATCATTATCTGAAAGACGAGTTTCCTGCACCTCCATTTTCGCAAACTCAATGTCGAAAACATTTTACTATTAGAATCATACGTCAAGTGAAAATTCTCAGGAATTCTGTAAATACTGTATGATTTTTTAAAACCGGTTGATCTTCATTGTTTTTCCCTTGATGCAGCACCTAATAAATAACTGGTGTTCCTAAGTCTTCGGTTATTCTCAATTTCGCATGACTGGATCACTGTTGAGGTTGGTAATAATTGATGACAACTACATTATCTCATAATTTGGTTGGTGGCAGTTAGCGGTGGAATCGTCCACTACGGGATTCATTAGCTGAATGTACCTGCACCCCAGTGAGTTATGGTGTTCCCACTGAGACTTCAACCCGGCAACCATTGCTTCAGACGCTAGAGGACGGAACGAACATCCTACATTCAGCTACTAGCCATCACCAGGGAAATTATAACATGATGAATCTTTAGACTGAAACATTTCCTAACTAATGTCAGCTTGTCATGAAGACCACCTTGAAGTGAACAGATATAAGTTGTTTGCATATTGTGACTAGGTTTCTTATCTGTGACATGCTTGGTGCGGGCTCAGGATTCGTCACATCTGAAACTTTTCAGCTGAATGTGTCTGTATCTCAGCAAATGATTTTATTCCCACTGAGACCTAAGAGCAGCAACCACTGCTTAAAACGCTACAGCATTAGCCATTAGACTAACGGGTCACGACAGCCGCTTCACCAATTGATTAGTAATTATTGTCCCTTCATTTTTAATGGGTTTTATTGAAAAAAAACCTGATAATTTCGTTCATGCTTCTCCCCTAACCTGATTTGTAAAAAGATCAATTCTTCACCTCGTTCTGAACGTCTTTTAAACAATTGCTATCAGCTCATGTATTAGGCCATTACTTACTAACTACGTGTTACATCTGTGAGCCATATTATTCTTTTTCGTTACTCTTGTTGTCTGGTCCCAAACACTTTCAGACAGTGCATCTCTGAGTGTTTCACTAGTTAAATAGTCGGACATACTATAGTTATCGGATTAAGATCTAAAATCAATGATTATCGATAACTATTCAAAAACAAACAGAGAGGATGTTAATTATGTCACAAACCTACTGAAAGTAATCACAAGGCGGCTGAAACACTTAAAATTGATGCTTGTCACAAGTGAGTACTAATCATGCTTTTAAATGATTGGGTTTTATTCTACACCATTAATATTAACCTATATCGGAACATATTTGAAAGTAATGATCTAAACTTGGTTAGAAGAGACTTCAGCTAATAGAAAGTATCGATGAGCTTTTCATTTAGCTAAATCAATGGTTAGCAGAAATGCTGACCTGAACCCAAACTACTTACTAATTAGAAAAAAGTGTATGTCTGAATGTATATAATCAAACGTAGGAATTGTTCAAAACCGATACAAAATCATCGTCGTGGTGACAAAAGGATCCCAATGAAATCATTATTCCTTTGCAGAGATCAAAAAGACCGAAATGTATCATTAAAATTAACAATCACCACAAAAATATGGAAAATAAGTTTTCAAAGAAAAATCTGTTTATCAGATTTCTCAAAACACCATGATACGTAAGTTTGAGCTTCCTTTTCTTAAGCTCACCCCATCTACTAATGAAGCCAGTATGAGCACACAGCTGGATCACTTTACTACAACGTGATTCATTTAATGGAAATACTACAATCTATGACGAACAAAATGTAAGTGTTAGCATTAAAGAATACAAAAATTTAGTGGTTACACCATTTTTATTGAGTATTATAGGAGATTGGACAGTTTTAGTTTGGTAATGGTTAACAGTGGAATCCAGGACGTGCATTTCGTCATATTTGGGACTCTTCAGCCAGATGTACTGGCTACTCAGCGAGTGGCGGTCATCCTATTGAGACTCGAACCGTATACCCGTCGGTTCAAGTAACTCCAAAGCGCTATCCAATAAGCCACGAAAGTGTGAGAGGCAACTCGTGTGCAACGGCTATTAGTTGTTATCGTTTATCTATTCAGTACAACAACGATAAATTACAAGTATCTACATTTAGTAATGCAGTGATTACAGTTGAGACAGGACATTGTACAAATCATCTAGCTCTGAAGTTGGTCATTTATAGCCAAAACTGAGTAGTAATAAGTCATGAGGAAAAAAATGAGTTTGAATGAAATCAAAGGTGTATAAAGACCGATTGACATGTTATGATAGAAGATACCATTGTGTAACAAATCGAAAAACTGGAATATTTGCTTACAACCTATAAACATTTTACACTGAAATTTGTTTCCTTCAAACCTAGAAGCTGAATAGAATAAAGTTGAGCAAACTGACAGCATCATTGCAAAATTTTCTACTCATGAAGCCTAAAACACAAAGGTAGAGGATTAGGAAAACTAAATATTTAACATTGATAACTAATGACACTGTAACGAATAAATTAAAAACTTACTCCTTAGGGCATTTAACTAATAATTGGAAAAAGGAATCTGGAAATGATGGTACATGACCTAGAGTTTCAGTGACAAACTTTGGTGATTTGTTAAAAATATCATTGAACACATTGACTAATAATAGACGAGACCGCACGGGGCATTGATATAACAGATCCCATAAACGCAGCAACCCCATAATATCATATGAAGGACCTAGATAGAAGAAATTCGTTATATATTAAAAACTAATGACCGTTTAGCCATTGCATAGATTTATAAACCAGATTATCTTAGTAAGCCGATAGTCGACTTGAAGAAAACATTAACACACCAACCATTTAAATATTTAGCTGTAACTTTGTCCTATAGAAAGTAACTTAAAGTCTAAATTAACCAATTGTTTTTAACTGAAACAGGCTCAGTAATAGAAGGGAGGAAAAAATGGTTAATTCCAACCTGATAGGCCGCTACACCAGAGCACCAAACAATATGACACCTCAAGCAGTCAAAAATGAGCTAACCATTGAACGAGAAATCATGAGTGACAATTAATGAAATAATTCTACGGGTACAGTTGTGCCTAACTTCCACAGTCTTTAAACTTAGAGACAAAACATATGAACAAAGAGAAAGAGTAGCAATAGGATCTTCAATATAACAGATCGCAGCAAAGATATTTATGGACAGTTGAGGATGAATGGTATTATCAATATTTCAGTTTATTCCCAAAGTATGACGGAGATATGCAGATGACACATTTACTGCATTTAAGATCGCAACATACTCAGAGTTAGATGGTAGGAGTCAGTCGATAGGAAATCCTATTCTAAATGTGTTTCGACAGAAGTGAGCATCTGCAACTTTGAGGAAACTAGTATTCTCTCGCCTATTCGAAATTATAACGCTCAGTGTTTAAGTTAGTCAACCACCAAGCTACGACTGACCTATTGTAGGATTACATGAAAGAGCTAATCACCAGTTGGTAGTCCATGTAGCTGTCTGGTCGTGAGTGCTTACCATTGATCAAAGCCTGTCAGTCAAGTCTTGCTAGGTCTCGTGGCTTAACTGGTAAGGCACCAAGACAGTATCTTGAGGCTTCTGCTTGTAATCCTACAATGACTCAGGTTTCATTTTACCTGTAAACCTTACCCCAAATAAATGACTGACAGATCTTTATTTATCCAATCAAAGCCTAACACATGCAACGGGGACGATTCATTACACATTTAATAGATTTCACTACTATCAAAAATAAAATGATGAAGAGCTATAGGAGTTCGTAAGTTATGTGCTCGAAATGTCACTGTTTCATTGAGGGCTATAACAAATAAACTAATCTACAATCAAATACATCCCAAAGCATACAATCTTGCCATAAAAAAAATACTAGATGTGATAGTTTTTTTAACTTGTGACGATAAATATGTGATACTGACACCATATTTCTGGTTTTCTAAGGGACTCTAGAGGCGGCACTAATAACAACTGAAATAACCAATTAGACTTCTCTATTTTGTGAAAATTCTACTTTCCAACAACTTAATTGGTTGTTTCAATCGTTGTTAAGGTGGCCTTTAGAATCACAAGACTTCCCATTTCATCTTACTTAAAATGTGTTGGGATGCACCAGATCAGCATAAAGTATCACCCCTTTAAATATATGTTCTCAAATTACTCTTTGGTATCCCTCTTTTATATTATAGTCATCAGTGACCTTGAAAACTGCAAAATCAACCAATTAGGTTACTTTATTCTGGCTGGGAAGTTAGTTTTGTATACAATGGAAGAAACATATTAGTTATCGTATCAAACAAGCCATGACCAGTAGTTCTCCCTACCTGTTTACAAAAAATTCGCTAATTGACTGACACTTGCTTTTAAAATGATAGTGTTCCAAATTCTGAACAAAGTCAAACAACATTTATATATACAAATGTTTCAGGTTTCTTCCATCGGGACTACTCTTCCTTCTCACCATGTTCGTTTGGGGGTATTGGACTCTATGGTAACTGGTGCACATGCTGATTGCTAGTTAAGAGGGTGTGTTATACATAGTACTTCGAAACACAACAATATGACTTCATGATGATGTGCGACGCTGATGACACTATAAGCGCTGAGCACTTGTTGAGAACTGTTAGAAACTGAGTACAACTGGATGAGTGCTTCATCAGAGTATGGAACTCTTCACCAACATACATACTCGACTCGTCTTAGGATATATAGTCATACTCTACGATAATACATACTGTCAACTGGATGATAGTCACGCTTTACCATAAGTCGACAGAAGCATTAAACTATGAACCATTAGATCCCAGCTTATCAACTGAATGGTAACGCACTCGCAGTGAAAACTGGTGATACTAGGTTAGATCCCTTGCACACCATGGGTGTGGATTGATAGAGAAACCAAAACTAGGATGAAACAGGTGTCCAATGCTTCCAAATATTCAATGGATATCTAACTGATATCAGTCTTTGACAAAAAATATCACAAATTAATTAATCTCTACAAACCACCAAATAAAGAAATTTTTGTGTTCAAACACTTACTTACCACGTCCTAACAAATCCAAGAAAAGTTTAACAACTTCATAATCTTGAAGAAATCCCATCATGCTAGGATCTGTAGTGAACAATGAAATGAATCCACCCCAGTCTTTAAGGTATAACTGATGTTTATACTTGTCGGCAACGCGATCGGATAAGGCTAATTTGTGAATGAACTAAAAGAAATATAAAACAACAGAAAGGAAAGAAGAGTATAACTATGTCATTGTTATAAAAATAACACTGTACCTACTAACTAGTTGATATTAGTTGTGTTCAACAACTCAAAACTAAACAACATTGGTGCTTATTAGCCAGATGAACGTAATCTAAACACTGAATGGTTGCCTGGTTAGTTTCGTGCTCCGCTCATCATTGATACGAACGGACTGATTAACCCTGGATAGAAGAATTTTTTACACCATCCTGAAACCCATGAACTATTTGAATGAACCGGTAATACTTAGAATTAAAATAAACAATTGCTAGATTCTCCGTATATGGTGGGAATGATATGAATAGGTGAAAGTCAAATGTGTCATTGCATTAAAGCTTTTTATAAAAATGTAAGTTTTCCAACCACAAGTTGTGATTCGCTCGATACTGAAAATGATATGAAAAAAGTCAGTATAAACGTTTTTTGAATGTTCATTCTAATATACTAATGATGTTTCTACATATGATTGGTCTGTAGATTACTAGATTCCTATTTTATCGAACAAGAATTGAGACCAGGTTATTTACTAGGAATCAACTCTAAGTCAACCCAATTCCTTTGACCATATTACTTTTAACAGCTTGAGACTGAAACAAAGAAACCTGTCCAAACAACTAGAAAATCAAAGTTTCGATAATTTTTACGCGTAGTCCATATGATAACGTGTAGATTCCTCACCAACAAGGAAACAAAAGATTTATTTTATCCTTCTAACTTTAGTGTTCGAGATGAATGACATATCATTCAGACTTATTTATACTAAAACATGCTTATTGCCCTAAGTTTTACTGAATGTGAAATCATGACGAAATGTTAAGTAGTTGATGGCAATAGGTAGGTTTTGTGACTGTTGGCGCTCATTAGCAAGGGATATCTACAAATTAGATGGAACTGTTGTTTCCTAAGAGACCGAAACACCATATCAACCACCCCCAATAGTGTATTCAGGTATGTTATTACTGAGTTATTCAGGTCATGATTAACCGCTCGTAGGACTAGATTTGGTTCATTGATTGGCTACCAATTTCATTATAAAAGGCATTGCACATTTGACAGGCTACCGCTACTTATTGCTTTAATTAAACTCAGCTTAAAAACTATGGTTGTCTTTTTTGGCTACTGGATTCAAATGACTACGTAAGGAGCAAGTTAGTTGAAGGACAAGGAAAACCAGATAAATCTGAATGGATTTAACAGAGCTTATGATGAATACTATTGATTACTGAGCGGAATGAAAGTTTCTGTACTCTGTCCACTTCCAACCATTGGTTTATGTATCCAGGCCCACTTATGTAAGTATTAATGATGGATAATGGCTAGCAGTAGAATACAGTAGGCGCGTTTTGTCCTATGTGGGACTCGCCAACTAGACCTACCTGACTCCCAGTGTGATGTTTTTCCCTTCGGGACTCGAACTCGGGACCGGTCGTTTCAAACGCCAGAGTGTAATCGACTAGATCACCGAGCCAAAATAGCTACTTCTTGTGCGACGAGTATAGTTTTTATCTTTATGTAATACAAGTAACAACCGTTATATATGGCTTTCAAATAGTTTGGTGAGCAAAAACTTGTCACCGGAAAGTAAACGATTTATATGTTAATTTCTAATTGCTCAACACTTTGTGGAAATGCATCACTTGCGACTGGAATACGATGACTGAGCTACGTTATGCGACATTAAGATGCACTGAAATTTAATTTAAGTATAAGTGGTTAGTTGATAGAAAGCTCCAGATTTAGGTTTGAAAAGCTAAGTGGATATACTGTGAAATATGGTGAGTGCTGGAAACTAAGGATTTAACTGCTACACCAATTCCTCCATGGTCACCACGCTACAGTTCTATGTGGGGTCAAAATTATCTTGAGTGGCTTATTTATAGTGGCTCTGAATTTATCACTGAGGCATGCAAGTTTCAATCATCCAAAACAAACCACTTTTCTTGTACTTGCACAAACCCCATACTGATGAGTGCTGAAAAGTAGAGAAACAAGGAGCTTGATTTCATGCCTAGTGACTTCTAACATACAACACATTATGATAAGATGCAGACACTTAAGGGGTTCTAAAGTTTTACTATCGAGTTCTTAAATAAAAATTAAAGAAGAATATAATGTACCTTTAAGACTAGTTTCTTAGTTTCAAGATCCACTTGAAAATTAGACTTCAGTAGTAAACTGTACATGCGTACAGCTACGTCTGATTCATAAATTAATAAAGTTAATTGATCACCAGAGCTTGAATGATCGAAGCAATACATCAACATATTGATCACATGTCTCACCTAAACGATTTAGTGGAAATAAGATAAAAATAAATAGAGAAAACTTAAGCGTTACTCTGTTAAAATAAAATACTGAGAAGATATTTAAATAATATATATGATGTCAGATTATTGGTTAGTTGGTGAACTTTGATATTCTGTACACACTAACTGCACATAGTTGAGAAGACTAAAAAACTAGGAGTATTTTTGTTGAACATCGTTTTTGAACAATTGCTTCATTTTATCAGTTAAAATGGAAAGGCATTTTAAACTAGGAGGGAAGAGCTGCGCAGTGTTACCTATTTTTTTCGATTATTCTATAGCGAATCTCATTCACTGGTAAAAAGTAGCTGTAAATAAGTCTTCGTAAAATACTACTCTTGAACAACTTGACTTAGACCACTTAGACTGATCTGTAAAGATTTCGTCAATCAGATCAAAGTGATCTACACACTAGTCAACCGTCTTGCTTTCTGAGCTCATCAGCCGTGTGGTTGACAAATTCAGTTCATAGAGACAAATAAGTTCAGACCACCTGAATCTGTCTAGCTGACTTGCATGATCAGGTATACCTAAATTAGCATTACGAATTTGCAAATGATTTACAAATTGCATAGTCCATGTTGACGTTTCTCACAGTTGAGTAGTTTTTAAACTGCCCAGCTGTTGTATCAACAAGGTTTCCGCTGAAAACTTCTGACTCAAGATCACAAGCCTGATTAGATCTCAGCCTAAACCTTGTTAATACAACAGTTGGGCAGTTGAAAAACTACTCAACTATGAGAAATATCATCGCAGACCATGAGATTTGTAAATCATTTGCGAAATCACCATCCTATAATACTTTTCGTGTTTGTCGACCATTTTTTACCTCTCCCGATGCTCATTCATCGGGAATTTGATAAGTAGTCCGTCAGCTGACTACCTCACACCAGTATAGATCCTTTAAACCAATGGCACAATTGATTTCTAGCGTACTCTATGTTGGAAATGATGAATATATTAATTTCGAGGACATAAATTGAATTTTAGATTATCAGTTTACCACTTAATTAGATTTCAGTGACAAGATACTGAGGTGATTCACTTTTGTACCAAATGCTGTCATCTTGACAATCTTCATCTCCTGAGCATATCAGGATCAATGCTCAGACTACAGTTAATTTCTTTCTTCGAGTATTTCAACACTTGTAAAATTTTTATGATAATTTACTCTATTGTGGCTAGCAGAAGAATCCAAGATGTGCGTTTCGTCAGCTGGATATACCTGCACCCCAATGAGTGATGTTGTTCCCATTGAGACTCAAACCTCGTACCCGTCGTTTTAAACACCAAGACGTTATTCACTAGGCTACTAAGGCGCGATAGCCACCCCTTGTTCAACGAGTATTAGTTATTATTGTTTGTTGATATGCTTGTAGTTCACCGTTGTCTTACTGGGTCGAATTGTCTGACCTCTACTGATATATGGGCCCCTATACGGATGCCTCAGTATTGCATGAATATTAATTATGATAATTCAATTAGCTGTGGCTAGCAGAAGAATCCAGGACGAACGTTTAGTCCTAATAAATATTCAGGCAATATCGGGGCATCCCCATAGGAGCCCATTTGCCAATAGAGACAGAAGAATTTGATCCATTAAGACACCGGAGAATTACAAGCATATCAACAAACAGCAAAGTAAGATTTTTGTTAAAAATGAATATGGTAACGCCCTTCGTATTTGGTTTTATTCACTGATGGATAGCATATAGTTAAAAATGCACAGAAGCCGCCTAGCTGTACATGTTACAGTATATGAAGAGCTGAACGACATTTCAAGGTAACTGAACCTCTTTCAATCAAAATACACTTCTAGTACTAAGAAAACTTTCATCAATTACACATACAACTAGAAATGTTGCATATGTGTGAGCGTGTATAACTAAGTAACTCACTTACCAATATCATACTTGGACAAGTAGTTATAAAATTAATCAGTGTCATTAAATCTTTGATCTGTGTTTTCGGCTTGATTTTCATTTCAATTAGTTTACAAACATGTATTCTTATCTGATCGATAATAAATTTTTCGTGTGCATCTATATCCTCTATTCCATTAATTGTTGACGGAAAATTGGATGCCGTAAAATCAAAACATTGCAGTGAAGAAGGACTCCCCTCTAGGTAGTTTAGGCATGAACCTAAAATACTGGAAAAAGAAATCAAAATTTCACATAAATAAGGTAATTTTACACATAATCTTGTGCAGCTTTATCTCAAACTTATACAGTTGCAAATTAAAATAGAATTAATGTTGACGAGAACAATTTATAAAATGGTTGTCAGAAAATCACAACAGTTCGTTAAAATGTTATAAAAACTAGGTTACTGTTTTTTATGACAAGTAACATAATTAACATTCAGGCAATATAGAAGGCATCCTCATAGGAGCCCACATGCCAATAGAGGTCGATTAATTCGATCAAACAAAACAACCGAGAATAACAAGTATGTCAATGAATAGTAATACGATTTTATCGAAAATAACTCGCAATCTAAGTTAGTGGTAATCACCTATATAAAAATTAAGATCAAATATGTCCTAAACATTATTAAATTTTTGTCTATACCAAAGTCAGATGGAAAACGCAGAATAGGACAAGTGATTATTTTGATGCCAAAAGTCGATTTCTTTGACAGATCAATAGCGATAGAATAAGGAGTAGAGATTGAAAAGACTATTCACATAATTCATTCCATTCAAAGATTTTGAGAGAAAAATTGAATTGGATTCAGCAACCACATTCAGAAGGCAATGAGAAACGCTTATTTTGTAAAGGCTATTGAAAGTAACCGACGATCCAGTGTTTGGAAGTCGAGTTGCCAGATCAATGAGCCACACCTCTGCAAGGGCTCAGAGTAAACAACCTATACTCATTCAGGAGTCAAAATTTAAAAAATTAGTCACTATCACAATTACGAATTCCTACCTAAGACTCGAGGACTCCATCTGAATTGCGTTATTAACAAACGATGAATGTTGGTCATATCAGTTAGCTTGGGCAACTTCCTTAACTTGAAGATGACTTTCACAACTAGAAGCCAAGTTAAAAGTAACAGCCGCTTCAAATTTCTTTCTTTTGGTTGAAATACGATAACCGAAATCCTTCACGTTTGCTATCATTGATCATCCACTACAAAGTTTCTCCTTTTCCATCGTCACATTATCCACTTCGATAACTTTGCACTAGTTATTAAACATGGCAAATTTCTGTGCTCAAAATGCGGAAGCCAGAGGTTTATAACCACAGATGTCTCCATACCATCCCCTATGTGTGATGAAACAAGTATGTGAGAGATCTTTAGGTTAGGCGAAGAGTAATAGGCAAGGGAAGGAAGTAAATCGATGAGATCATGAATCTGTTGAAATTGCTTGGAAATGGCACACATAGAACTACTGTCCACTTCAACGTACAACATTAGCTGAGGCAGAAAGCTAAAGGTAGCCGAAGCAAGATGTGGAACCAGTCTATGAAGTCTCTCACCATCAGTATGAGTCATTTAAATAGATATTGGTTGCCTGTTTAAAGTTAAGAATCAGTGGTTTGAGACTCTTAGTGCTATAGCTAAAAATTGAATACACCAGCTAAGATAAATCTGTCATCTTTAAAATCTTAAATATTTTCATTATCTCTCATCCATAAATGCCTTTTTTGTCTTCCACATTTTTTGTCAACTTCGTTTTTAAACTAACTATGTTTTATGTTCTGCATTAAAAAATGACAACATGAAGTGGCGCACTTTTAAGCAAGCTTCTACTTTAAATCCTTCCATCTTCTATGTGAAATCCTTACAAATCTTGAATTATTTCTGTACTTATTGAAAGCCAACTAGGGACATCACTCGTCAGGCCCTCGAGTGGCACTCAGATGGGAAGCGACGAGTTTGGCGTCCCAGCTGAGGGTGACATGGAGGAGATCGTGCGAGGGGGAAATGCGAGCTTCTGGGCTATCATGGAGCTATGTTCAAAAGATTTCAGAGAACAGAGCGTGCTACTGAAGCCCTATGTTCCATTAGGAACCCAAGGGACAAGTAATAATAATAATTATTATTGTAAGCTTTCATGTAAAATTCAATGTACATTCTTCACTTTAAAAAGAAACAGATGTTTGACGAAAATAATTTCATAGTTGATAATATTCATCTTTCAATACATAAATACATACATAAAGAGTTTCATAATCTACGTTACCACTTTTCATGTTTGTATCTGTAAATAAGTGTGTTAGTTGATTACGTACAATATACCAGTGTTGAAATTATGTAACACAAGTACTATAGATAACAATGATGATAGGAGTAAATTCGTGAAATACTTAACTCAGTAACAACAACTTTACATCAAAAAATAGCACAGAGAGAATATGACATGCTGATCTATTCAGTATGTTCAACAAAGTGCGATAGAGCCATAAGTCAAATCCCATTACTACTGATTTGGTACCTGGCAGAAAAGCAGATATATACAACTCTGTAGAAAGTGACACTAAGCTTAGGCTACTGTACCCACTACTGTATTCAACACCGTAGTCATAGATGTCGCAAATAAATTTCTAAGCCAGCTAGAATACTTCAGTCAAACTTCAGTTTATATGAAAACAGATATTTTAAGCTAACCAGTGCTATTCTCATGGCAAATAGTTTTCTAACAAGGAATGCAATTCAAAAAATAAAAATTTAGAAACTCAGTTTTTGGTTTATAAAGATTCATTGTTTTGAAAGTACTTTTTATCACGGCTTGACATCATTTGGAAAACCATGGAAAATCTGGGGTCAATAGAGGCCTGTTTCCTCCCAGCCTCAGACATCTTAGTAGTACAAAAATCAGTAGTTTCCTACAAGCTAATAATTAAAATCCCTACTAAGTGGTCACTACTGACTTGCCTCAACATGGATTTCTTCGAGTTCTAATTAGAAGTCATACCATTTTGGGTAAGCCAAGTTGACGGTGAAACCAGTTACCCACTAAGGATATCAGACGATGGTCTCACTATACTGTGAATCGAAAAAAATAAGAAATGCTGAACCATAGAATCCCACTTCAGTGGATGAATGTTAAGGTGCTCATCATAAAACCTGGAGATGCTGAGCTCGGTATTGTGATGTCACACTGTTAAGAAGTCCTGAACTAATCTGATCCAGCTATCTGGTGATTGCTGATTTTCAATAGTCTTGCAACTGAAGTTAATCTATGAGACTGCATATAGAATGTTGTAGGTAACAGATATACGAATAATTAGTAAAATCATAGTGAGTATTGATAATATAATGGGACTTTACATTCTGTGTAGTCTATGCAAATAGCATGTGCATTCTATGTTTGAAATGATGTATCCATCAATTTCTGGTACTTCTTTGTTTGTTTTCTGTATTTCCTTTTATTTCTTTTCCCTTCAGTCTCCAGAAAATATACTGATTACATATCAAATTTAACTGATTTTGCTAGTGATGTCGTAGTACATACAACTTATATTTTCTTATAAGTAGTACACTCCAAAATTCTTTATCGCATTGCCCCTGCTTGGTATTATGTATTTTTTCAGAGCAGTTTAGATCATGGATTTATATCTATTGAAGAGCCAACAGAAACCTACGAATATCTAACATTTCTTTTGTTCTAGTTTGTAATTTATCACCAGCACACTTATAACGTAGTAAAGGGTCAAACGCACAACTGTGAGGTGTTTTAATTTCATCACTTGACTGTAGTTCAGTCGTCAGCGTTTTCCGTCTTATCTCAAACAATCATATAGCATGACTTTCGTTCAACTTCATCAACGAGTAGTTCTCTTCATACCTACCTTGAGTGACCCCATTAGTCATAGCTCTTCAAAAAAAACTTTGAGAAAGCTGACTCGACGTAAGAGGCTAGAATGCACCGGATTTTTACCAGATTTAGTACCTGCGAGGCTTTCATCAGTGTGATTGAAAGTTGGATGTAATGATGTAGATGAGTCTTAACATAATCTGGATTTAGAGTCTGATATTCCAATTACTGTTTGCCAAGATCTTTTCCCCTCTGTTTTCTATCTTTCAAAAAACTACTTGATAAGCAGTTGCATCACGAGTCCCAACATTTTGTAGGTCAACACGATTCATTAAAATGACAGTAAAAATGAGCACTAACGATTTAGTGGTCACTAAATCAAACTTTTGGAAAGTTTCTAACAAAAAATCATTTTACTGTGAATAGTCAGGAGGCATTTTTCATACCTAACTCATGTCAAAATAGATTGATAGGACGAACTAGATAGCCAGTACTCTCAAGTTTTGGACAATTTCCCAGCTAGTGTCAGTTTGTAAGAAAAACTACTTCAAAATTAGTCAATCCTCACAAACCTCTATAGTTACACACCATATTTTGCCGGTAGATAGGAAGCGCTGGGGAAAAGTGTTATGTGTGTGTCATCACGTCATTAGCATCCTTAAATGTGTCCTCTAAATTAAGCAAGCGAAGATGTCGTCAACGTTTTAATTAACTGTAAGATGTTAGGTAAAAAGGGTAGTAAAACAATTGAGTGTTTCAATTCCAGTAAAGTTTTTGGCGAAAATGCATTTGAAGTTTAAACTATGACTCAGAACAAAGAAATCGCCACATATTGTTGACTACTAATCTGAAACCCAACAGATAAAAATAGCAGTCACAATTTCAGTCTTCACTTCATTGCTGCATGTATGATGTCATGGTTGTAAAACAGCTAGGAAAAACATTTGAGTAGAAAAACACTAATACATTTCACTTCATTGGTTCGAAACATCGACACTCATTCTGTCCTCATTCAAAAACCACGTAGGTTCAATCAGACATCGGTTGCTGTTACCATAATCCAGATGGCATAATCGCTAACAGTCACCAACTGAGAGACTTTTATTATGACAATATTTATAAAGTCTTGATGTGCCATTTATATACCTAGAGTAAAATGGGATCTTAAAGTGAAAACACAATTGGTCAGTGTCAAACATAATGAAAATTATATCAATAAACTTTTCTCTAACAGTAAGAAACAATTCTAGAGTGTAACTAACACCAACATCAATACTTGCCTGGGATTGACCGTTGTTCTGATACAGCCCATTTAAACACATAAGATATAAGGTCAGAAGTGAATGCTAACAATCTAAACAGCTTAAAATAAGCATAGGAGTAAAACTTGGGCACTGTGGTAGATTGCAATTTCATTTAAGTCTGTTCACTGGAAACGCCACATAGTGAAACAGTATAGTTTATTGGATTACGTTTCGGACATAATTTATTGTCAATAATATGTGAAACATATGGTCTTCCTGTTCAAACACTAACCAAAAAACTCACACGAGTTTCACAGACAGAAATAGAGATACTCAAACCACCGTAAATTCAATATTTGACGTCTCAGAAGTCAAATCCTTCCTAAATATCTATGTTTATGTGCACCAGTTCTAACAGAATAAGTTAAAGCAGCTATAGAACGGATCAGTAAACTCTGTCTTAAAGAATAAATTCATAGAACGGTCAAAAAGCTGCACAATATCAGGAATTATATAGAAGAAGTAAAATGTAAACTGATACAAACAGTTAGTAAAAAAGACTATGAGCTTTTGATGGGCAATTACTGAGTTCAAGAAATCCAAAAATACCCAGATTAAGAAATTCAACAAGCTTAAGGAAGAAAAGTATGCAGTCAACAATAATTAAATTAACCATACCACATCACCAAAGTAGGTTGTCAATCTCTCAACTAGAGTTCTAAGCTCAACAAAAGTAAAAGTGGTAGAGAAAGCCCTTAACCTCAATGAAGCGGTTATTGAACTGAAGTCAGAGGATGTCATCCTCAGCATAGAAATAGCGTTAGGTTCAACAGATAAGACAACACAATTCCAGATGAGGTGAGAGCACAGTATGCTCTAACATTAAAAGGACAGAAGAAAATGAAATCTAATTTACACAAGCCAGAAAGGGAAGCTCTCAGGAACCTTCAAAATGATAATAATATGGTAATTGCCAAGCCGGAAAAAGGCAACTCAACAGTTATAATGAACAAATCTTGCTATTTATGGAAAGTGAATGAACTTATAGCAACAGGACTATATGAAGAAATTAAGAAATTAGTGGAAACCATTATGTTAAGGTTAAGAAATCCACAGGGGATCTGGAAGGTAGAATGAAGCCATTTCCTGGTAAGTCGAAATGATTTAATTTAATGCCGAAAACTAATAATCATGGCGGAATTCATGGTACTATTAAAATTCACAAACCCGGTTATCCCATTAGGCCTATAGTAGATTTCAGAAACACTCCGACTCACAAGTTGTCTAAATATTTAACAATGATACTAGACCCAGTGAGAAATTACTCAAAATCTCGACTTACTGATTCTCATGACATAAATCATAGATTAGATTACATATGACTCGACAACAGTGAAAAAATAGTTTTCACATAACTAGCCTTTACACGAATATATCAGTCGATATGGGTCTCGAGACAGTTAGAAATGGGTTTAAGGATGACAGTGAGCTTACGCATGGAACTAAGGTACCAGTCGAGGAAGTCACCCTGGGGTGCGATTATGCTTGACATCTACAGTTTCTAAGTTTCAAAATAAAATATATAAACAAACGTATGGGTCCCCTTGGGGTCACCAATACCCCTTATTGTTGCAGACAATTCTATGGATAGTTGGGAATGGAGAGCCCTTCAAACATTTGGTTCCACTACGAAGACATGGTTCCGATGTGTAGATGATACATTTACAGTACTGAAATCGGAACACATCAATAGGTTCTTGACACATATAAATTCAGTAGTCAACGCATTCTAGAAAGTGATGTAGGGGATGTTGGGTTGCAAGATTAAAAGAAAACAAGATGAAAGTCTAGAGACTAGTGTATACAGGAAACCTTCCCATTTGAAACACTACTTAAACTTCAAATCATCTCACCCAATCTTAGTTAAGGTAGGCTTACTTAAATGTCTAAGTAATAGGGTAAAAAAGCCTACCCGTACAAAAGAAAATCTACGGCGAGAAATTAGACACATCAAGGAGCTTGAAATAAAAACTTCAACCCCTAACAATTTTTAACTCTCAAACAATGGAATAAAAGTAGTAAAACTGAAATGCTTATTTCGTTATGGACATGAACTGAATTCTTGAAGAAGATGCCTATTATAGGTGCCAAAGAAAATTTTGTATAATGCTGGGAAATTTGAGATTGAAAAAATACCACCTAGATTACTTCCTTGATGGTATGCACTTTTAGCAAGACGAAAGAGAAAAACCTGAACAATTAAACCATACTGAATATAAATGTCTGAATGAACAGTTTACCAACCAAGAATGTTTCATTAAGTCTAATAAACATCTGAGTAATTTTATAAGCTTGAGATGAAATAAGTGGAAAATTTGAATGAATGACTTTACTTGATGCTTAATTGGGACAGTCGTTCATTAGGTGTGGGTTTTCTATTTCATTCAGTGGATAACAAGATTCAAATCTAACGCCATCTATGGAATTCTGAAGGGCCAGGCAGTATTACTGACCGTGATACAATAAGTATGGTTCATTGCCTACTGCACGAAAATTCGAGTAATCGCCGAGTTGCGTTTTTTTCCTTTTCTTCTGTGAATACAGAAAAATCCAATACACACATATATGCATACCCTTCTATAAATACAGTGTTTTTCAGAAATGACTTACTTATGATACTTCACAAGTGCTTCTAACAACGCAGGAACCGATATCTCCTTCAGTAAACTGTTGTATGAATGAATCAATCGTATCAACTTTTGTAAATGTAATAGAATAGCAACTAAATTTGGTCTATACCACAAATCCCAATCTAAAACGAAATGTAAGACAAGGAATAGACCATCTTCTGTTGGTGTCTGATTGCCTTGACTGCCAAACCAATTATATAGTGTTGTATTCATATTTAAGGCAGTTTGCTTAGTTCCAAGTTGGTAGACAAGAACACGAAAGAGATCATGAGTTACCGAAACCACTTGTGTATCAAAGCGTAATGGATGAAGCTGTAAGCAATAAAAAACAAAGTAAGAACATATAAATGGAGTATTTAGTTGAAATATAAATTTCAGGACACTTTTTATCACAAGTCTACATCAGCCGGAGACCGAAAAAAAGCCTTGAGCTTTGGAAGGCTATTTTGTCATAGTTTACTTGCGCACTACTGAAGAGTCTCAAGCTAGCCTGAAATAGTCGTCTTGTGATCCCAGATCTTCAATGGTTCTCCGGCTAATGTCAGTCTACAATGAAAATGAATTATTCCTTACAATCATCAATTGAAATAGGAATAGGAGAATAAGAGCAGCTTGATGTGGTATCAACCTACCCCCAAAACGTAACCAACACACATGAAATGAGAACTATAAACACATGTTCGTATACAAAGCTCAATCTGTAATCCACGGACTCATCGTACCTAGCACACCCTATTCGGTCGGCATTTTTTTTCAACAGTTCGACATAGCAGAATCATTCATTTACAGTAAAACTCAAATCAAGTTATCTTATATGAGCTTGGATGCTGTAAACTTCATTTTACTGTAACTTTGCTTAGGAGTGAGTGATGAAACATTAGCGAAAACAACTTTCGTTTGTTTTATGTTCATTGAGAGATATACATTTAAAAAAATAACTAAATGTGATCATTTATCAAATAGTCTATTAGGCATACCATACTTTAGTGAATTATTCGATAAATTCTATATTATGATAGGAAGTCAGAGTAATCGGTAGCTTTGAAACAACCACCAACGAATTACTGATTAAAAGCTCTACCACCGAAAGTTGAATGCCTGTTCTCCTGACCAATTTCATGTCAGTCAATGGTCTATTAATTTCGAAAGTCACGAAATGAGCATTCATTTAACTCTAGTCGTAATTCTTACAGTAAACTCGATATCATGTCGCACGACTAGTTTATGATGATAATACTGGTCAGTTATTAGTGCTTATAAAAAGACTTTCAAGAAGAAAACGATGGTTAATCAAAACACTGTCAGAAAGGATGCCTCCCTGATAGCCTGTCAGGATGTTAGGTGATGCACTCTGAAAAAGTTCAACTGGGCTGCCGTTACGTTTCAACTCCATGGCATCCAGCCTGTAACTCTCTTTGAAGCCGAAAAAACTGTTTCAAACCTTAAGAGGTGCAAGACAGTGGGATGTGATGGTTTACCAGCAAACGTTTGCAAAGATGGAGGTAAAAACTTACTCAATAGGGAAATATGAGTAGCCCCTGAAGACTAGTCTGCGTTGATAATTATTCTGGACTAAGGAGAAGTCTTCTGGGGCAACCAACGGGGAGTTCACTTGATTAACATAGCGGCTGACAACAGGATTCATAATTATACGGCGCCAAAGCGGAGCTCAAAAACAACCAACTAGAGGAAACGAGGTATGTTTCACGCCTGGACAAAGGTGTGCCGGTAAGATTATCATTCTTCAACAGCTTTCAGAAAGCATAAATTTTGCTTTGTACGTGTCATATTTTGTGAGGTGAACGCTGGATTACACTATGTCAATCGAAAGGTGTTGTGAAAGTGACTGATAGTGAGAGTAGTGCCGAGAAGCGTATACTGTTTATCAAATCTCACTGCTCGAACTTAAAACGTTATGCTGGGGCTTGCGTAGAGTTATCATCTTAAGTGACAACAATCAGTGATATTCTCCAAAGATGTCCACTACCACCATTTCTATCTGGTTTATTCGTAAACATACTATAGAAATAACCGTAGGAAACTCAAACCTTAATCCTGACTTACTCCCAATAGGGAAGCCTTGTTGGCCTGCAGTATGCAGACGACAATATCCTGATAGGCAAGGACGCCAACGAAATACAGAAATCTGAGTGTTTGGGATGTGTTTCGGATCTTTCGAATGCAAGATGATGTTTCAGGCTTGGTCTGTATCGACTCCTAGTTTAAAGACAGGATGTGAAGTTGTTGAAGACATTGATCGCTTCACTCACTTGAGGAGTTGACGAAATCTCAACTTTGATACGAAAGACCTGTTTGACATTTGGAAACTTCTGACACCGATGAGATAAACGACTACCTTACAAAAGAACAAGTATATTGCACTGTGACCCTATCTGTTCTACCATACAGCTGTGAGGTATGGCCGTTGAAAGCTTAAGATGTAGAGAGAGTGTGGGTTTTTGACCACAGATATCTTCGTAGCAATGCTCACATGTGGTAGAACTAGAAAGTTAGCAGTGTCGAGGTACGGGATGAGTAGTAGTCAAGAAAGGTAAATCAGCCGATGAGTTTGTCAGCCTTCACTAAGTGAGGTTGCTCTGATATGGGTTGCAGATACTGGGTTACCAACTACCTAGACGTGTTATGCTAGCCAAAATACGATTGAGTTGGAAGATGTAGAATCCCCTTACTAAGATGCGGAATCAGTTCATGTAGTTTCTGATAGTTGGTCTGTGCCGTGTACGGAGATGTAGACTACCTGGTTGGAGTTGTCGAAATAATAGGAATCAATGGTCGTTGACCCTTTAGCGACTGGGCTCAGAATCAGTCACAATAGCGAAGAATTATTCACAGTGACATCTCTGAAATTTCAAACACTTATTTTGATCTTCGAACTGTTTCTCCTTCTTACCCTATGTCTATTGGATACATTCCTTTTTCAATCCACTTGTTTTTTTCATCATGCTGCGAAGTTAGGTAACTTGAATTGATGTACTTCTGTTGAAGGCTCTACGGTGAAATGTCTATCTATCACAAAATTAAAAAACCCTAACTATTCATAGCCATCTTAATGTATAAGCGATTGTACGAAAATTGTTGAACGAAAGATACATTTTACAATTGCATTCATATCCTACCTATAGATAACAGTTCAACAGTAATAAGTTTTATCTTGATCCATCAATTCGTGCTTATACCAAATGACTGAAAACAATCCTAGAGAAAATGATGAACACAAGTTTACTGCATGATGGTGGTCATTAAGTGAGTACGCACGTAAATTTCGCACAATCTGTTTCCCATAAGATGTTATTCCTGATGTTATAGTTTCATATGAGATTAGTTTATTTAATATAGTACACAGTGATACAGTATCATACACATGCCTGACCTAATTAAACATTAATTTGATCTTTCAAATACTACGTAATGACTATGAGGTCAAATCCCTAGGTCAAAGTAGCCGATAGAAACCAATTCGATCATCACAGCACAATAATTCAGTTAAATTTAGATTGACAGAAACTATAGAGGTGTAAAAAAACTTGCATGCACTGGTGTAATCTTACAAAAGGATGGCATAAAACAACTGTAATAAAATCTAATATATTTAGGTGGAGTGACAGATTCCATATTAGATTTGCTTATTCGATTTATAACACACAATGATGCAGTTTTATTTACTTGATGACGTTTCCAGCATATATTATTGCTCATAATCATATAATATGATTGATATGATTATGAGCAATAATATATGCTCTAAACGTCATCAAGGAAATAATACTGTTTCACTGTATCCTATATCAAACAATCGAATCTAGTATATAATTATATTCTGCTACATTAACTACCACAGTAATTACGTGATGCGATGATCAAGAGATTACTACATAGTCTTTGCGACAATATAAATTAATCAACAATCCAAACACCACGAAATACTTCTGACAGAAATATTTTCCATGGTTGGTTACCGGAAAGCTAGTAGCACATCAATTGTCGTTTCAGAATGCTAACTACAGACAAAGGTGGAAAATAAATGCTTCAAATTGAATTACAGAAATTCATTGGTTCAATGATTGTGAACTATTCAATGAGTTCAAAATCATTTGAGCATCAAGCTAGATCTCAACAACATGATTACGATCTCACAGTAAGCAACGCCCATTGAACATTTAAGTGTACGCCATGATGCATTGATATTTATCACTTCTATACCATCTAGTTTGTAATTGTTCCTAGCGACTCTATGCTCAATCAAACTATTGATAACAAGGACGAGAATATCACCTGAGCAGTTTTTAAGTCATATTTGGGGTTCATACCATCAAATAACTAGTTTTTTGGTGTTGTGTAATCTGCATAAATAGCTTGACGGTAGTTCGATTCCCGGGAGACGAAACAAATAATTTCGAAAGCATATTTATAGTTTAAAACAAATTGTCATTCGATATGATCTCATATCTATGTAATTCAAAGAATTAGTACGCAATTATTTTACACAGTTCAGGTTAGGGTGACATTTGAACGAATCAATAGTCATTTGCTCAGTTTAGCGAAATTTCTTAAAATCTTGTTTAAATGCATATGAATTACGAACTGAATTAAATTTACAACATTGTGTCGATAACCCAGTCTTATAATATGAGCGTGTAAAGTGATCATTAACAGAGTCTCTGTCTTCAACACTAAGTAATTTAAATGTGAATCACCAAGAGGACACTAGTTTCATCGTGGTTTCAATTAATCCCTTTTGATAAATACCAAAAAGGACAAAATGCATCTTCATGAACACCTTCTAGTTGACTCTTTACACTAATCTTGCTTTAAATATTTACAGGGTAGCCCGAATCGGCGCAACTATTACCTTAAATTCTCAAATCTACAGTGCTAAAAGTACCGTAAGCTGTATAATGTGATTAGGTACCTTTATATTTCCTTTACATACAGCACAAGAACGATCTCTGTTGACTAGTATATTATCACTGCACTATACTTCACTCACTAAGAGTAGTAAGAATTCATGGCTAACGTTAGATCAAGTAATCATGAAGTATCAGGATCGAAAAATTAAGATAATTTAGTTAGTCACCCATCTACGATCCTATTCTTTGACTTTACCAAGGTGGCAACATTACTAAATTGAATTTTTTTTACAAAACAAAAGCATCTGTTAAATAATTTCCTAGTGAAATGATTAACATACTTTTGCCAAAAGATGTACAAGCGGTAGCAATAAATCGGCACGTAAAAATTGTGCTCCATATTCGGGTTTTGATAGAATCAAATTCCTAATAATTAAGAGCAAATTCGCCACACTGCTGTTATTCAGTGAAGAATCTGCAAGATAAGTAAAAAAAAACACCAATAATGGTAGTTGCTAAAAAATGGACAAAAGAAAGGAGGATGTAATAATGGATCAAGTATATTTTAATCAGTTATTGTATCGATTTTAAAGGGCAATTCATTCAGAGATCATTTGACAGTATTATTTTGTAAGGATTGTTATACTCATATTTCTAGTAGAAACAATAAATGATCAGTCCAGTTGAATCCATGTTAGAAAATTACAAGTTGTAGCATTAAGCAATAGCTATCGCACAGGTAGCGGTTATCGTGAAACAGTAGCCTAATTAGTAACGCTCTGGCATTTATAGCAATGGACTCTGGGTTCGAATCCCTGTGGGAACACCATCACTCGATGGGATCCAGGTATATCCGGTTGATGATGCCTAGGTAGGCTGAACCGCCCTCCCCAGATACTACTGCTCTACAGAATCCAACAATCGTATCAATAGACAATACCTTATGATCCCTCCCAAAACGTTAAACATGCTACCACTATTGCAAAGTTTTCATATTGACTCCAGAGTCAATAACTTCTTCATAGAATCTTAGATAATTATCCGAATTTTAATGAATTATGGGAAATAAATAGAAAATCTTCTGTACAAACAAGGCTGATGATGAAATACATCTTATAAGTGCCAACACTGAAAAATAAACTTTAAGTTGCCTTATTTTCATATGTTTTACATTTTTTTACTTACGTTTTTCAAATAGATGACTTTGAACCGCATTAAACACACTAATCAACTGACATCATCAACGTTAAGAGAAAAAACTTAAAAACTTCTCATGACGCAATAAGGAATAAAATCGTACTTTCTCCTTTATTTTTACTTAGTTTTTGTCCGAAGAGCTTGAAGATCAAAGTGTTCGACCTCATAACAACTTGAAGTAAAACATCACAAAGGTGTAATAACTTAGAATGAAAAAATGATGTTCGCACTACTTTATTTTCCTCCACTTCACCAACTAATCAGTAGCAGTTTCTGCAGTAAAGATGATATATCGTGAGGCTTTTTTGTGTTTTTATCAAACAAACAAAATAAGGTTTATATTTCAACGAACAACCTACCTAATTCAATTAAACCAGAAGAACTTTTCCGTTCACTTTTAACACTTAAAGAAGCCAAACTGAGATTTAAGATGGAATACAGATGAGAACGAGAGCCAGTCAATTCATTTGCTGTAACACTGCCAGGTGCATTTTCAGTAGTACTCAAGGTGGTATTCACAGTTGAATCAGTATTTCTTGTTGCATGTGTTGTGGTAGTCAGTTCATCATAAATAGTATACAAATCATTTGTATATCGATGATGTGCACAGACAAGAAGATCAGTCATACTGAAGTCATCCGATGACAAACTGAATGCATTAGAGTTTGATTTTTTCGATTCATCGAAAGAACTAACTGATGGAAATCGTCGAAGTAGTTTGAATATTGGTAACAGTACAGCCATACCACCGATTCGATTAATCGAATCCTATTGATTTTGATGAAAGAAAATAAAGGACGAATTAATAAAGGTAAGATATCTACAGGGGACCGATTTAAAAGGAATAGAGTGTAATATTGTATGATGGGTTACAGGCAGTCTATATTTTGTGTCAAGATAATTATATAAACCACTTTATTTACAGAAGAGATTCCATGATAAATAGATTTTACTCTAGTGTGAAGTGTAATCCACAAATCACCTGCATGCCAGATACGTTTCACCTAAAAATATCGGGGAAACACTTAAACAGTACTTGCAGAAAGAAATCAACGTTTTAAAATCCATGTTGTTCAACATTTCATTTGAAAATTCAGCGTTACTCAGTCACCTAGTTGATAAATTATATATCACACAGAATGCTTACATGTTTCGGCTACTAACGCGAACAAAAAGAAGAGTTTGCAGAATATTGAACATACAACGAATACTTTGCCTAAGTTAGTTTTCTGAAATAAAAGTTATTTCGAAACGCTTAGGTGTAGTGAATGATGTAATGAAATACGTACATAATCTTGAATGACTGAGTAGTCGGCCACCTCTGAAACTTGTATGCAGCTCAAGAAATGGTGGAGGAGATTTCGAAGCACAAGTTTAAATGTTCAGACTGAGTTCCTCTCCGAGCTAGGATCCTGGTTGAGAAACTTTTCAATCTTATGGTAGGCATCGTCACCAGTGCACCAGTGCTTTACAAATATGTATGGTGAAATGACAAAATATACACACCTACAAGATGCTACTTAGCTTAACTTTAAGCTTACTGGTTGCTTGGTGCTTGGGTAGACATATATCGAACGAATCACAAAAAAGTAACTTCAGCGTACGGAGTTCAAACAAGAGATTTCAAAAAGAATTTTGACGATCACCGCACCCCCACACACTCATCCAACAGCCAATCAGAATGAATTCAGGCGAAGTAGCGTTTCATTAAAATCCATACGCAGTCAATTTACTTCACTTCCTTATAAAATACTGACACACTTATGGATATACTGATGGATTTCACCAAACACCAGACACACTAAAAGTCAGGTCGACTTCATTTCAATCTTAAGAAAGTGTAGATGCAGTCTACTGGACACACGATCGGATGAAGAAGAGGAGCAGATAGAGGTTCACACCACTATCTAATGCGAAGAACCTACCTTCAAAATCAAGTTGAAAGGCTTCAAGGAAGTTGGTGATAGACCACGGTTCCACTTCAACACACAAAACAGAAACTGAAGGACGAAAATACAAACGATATCTGGTCCGCCATCAGAACAAAACGGCGGACATTGAGCAATATCCCTGAAAAAACCTGTGTGGAAGAACACTGAAACTCATCGAATAAAACTTGGAAGGAAACCCGGATAACCGTATTAGGAAAAAAGAAGAAACAAGACAAGAGACGGATCTCGACGGACACATGGAAGCTGATAGAGCAGGGAGAGGAAGATGGTGATGGTGAAGCAGAAGATAAACCAGTGCAAGGATGCACAACGACAAGAGGAACTGAACACAACGCATAAAACACAACACTTGACAAAGAAGTGAAGAAGGGTGTGCGCAAAGACAATAGACACTTCTACGACACACTGACAAGTAATGCAGAACAGGCTGCAGTGAGGAGAGACAGAGACCTGACAACATTATATCAAATAACCAGGTTACTTTTATCTGGGAATAGATCAACTCAGAGGAAAGAAAGTGAAAGATAGTGAAGGAAAGCTAGTTAAGTTACCAAAGAGGAGAAACGAAGGAAGCGATGGACTGACCACTTCGAAATGCTCTTGAATCGACCACCCGCATCATCTACAACTCGTCCAGAAATACCACCAGCAGCCCAGCCACAGAACCACCAGTGAACACAGGCCCTCTGATGAAAGCAGAAGTGAAGTCGTGAATGCCATAAAGCTGCTGAAATGCAGGAAAGCAGCAGAACCAGATGGAATTTCTCCAGAAGAACTGAAAACGGACACAGGGACAACAGTGGACATGCTCACACCACTATTGCAGAAGGTTTAGAAGGAAGGAAGGAAGGAAGGAAAGGTACCTGGCAATTGACTGGAAGAAGAAGGGCTGCCTTGCCAAACTCCCAAAGAACGGAGACCTAAGTCTTTGCGGAATCATGCCGCCGTCCATCCGAAGTAAAATATTAGGTCACATCACCTTGGAGACACTGAAAGATGCGCTGGATTCAAAATTACCACCGCAGCAGGCTGACTGGGTGGCTTCAGGAAGAACAAATCATGTGTGGATCAAATTGCAACACTACGTTGTCCATCATCATAGAGTAGAGCGTAGAATGGCGGTCAACTCTCTACCTCAACTTCATCAATCTTGGGGTCTTCGACAGCGTTGACCGAGAAGTAGTTCAGCAACTGCTTCAACACTACGGAGTGCCACAAACTTTTACCAATCTTATTCGATAGCTATGTGCTATATGAGGATGCTACATGCAGAGTGATTTACAGTGGAAAGCTCAGCTCAGTGATGCCTTTGATAGTGGTCGACTGGACCATGCAAGAAACTGTGAGGAGCTGTGAGAAGGTGGGTATACGCTGGCTGGACTGATGAAAAAACCTCAGAAGAAGATCCGAATTTCGCCGACGGTGATTTATGTTTAATGCCGCACAAATTCGAAGATCTACGGGCAAAAACTAACAAGTTGACAGGAGAGGCAGCGAAGGGAGACGGGACTTCAAGTGAACGTAGAAAAGACGGTAGTGATGAAGATATCCAACCAAAAACTGCATCAACAACAAGCTCCAATCACCATCAACGGGAGAACCTCTATGGAAGTAGCCTCTTTCAACTATTCAGGCAGCATCGTTTCAACTACAGGCGACGGCACAGACGAGCAAGACAGTAAGACAAGCCTTCATTAATCTGAAATCAGTGTGCAGATCTAATGTACTCCGCTCAGCAAAAAGAACAAGATCCGGATTTTCAACACTAAGTCGGGTAAGTCAATGCTTCTATATGGTTCAGATACCTGGTGTGTTACGAAAAGCATTTCCAACAAACTACAGACACTCATCAACAGCTGCCACCTACGCTCACTCGATACTGAAGATTAGATGACCAGAATAATAAGAATAAGCAACAAGAAACTCTGAGAAAGAAACAATCAAGAACCTATCACCCAACAAATACGCAGGAAACGAAAGTGGAGATGGATTGGGTATACACTGAGAAGGCCAACTGGGGACATCACCTGCCAGGCCAAGCCCTCGAGTGGAGCCCAAAGGGGAAGCGACGAGATACGCGTCCGAGGTGGAGATCATGTGAGGAAGAAATGAAAAGTTATGGGGAGTCGTGGAGCTAGGTTAGAGAAAAGGACTGCAGAGAAGTCAGTGCAATGGAGGCGGGCTACTAAAGCCCTATGTCCAACCAGGAACCCAAAGGACAAATAATAACAATTAAACATTTCGTTTGTAGCAACGCGAAGATGGGATACATGGTAACAACAAACACCAGGTAAAATTTTTTTAGAAATCGTAAAAAGTTAGTTAACTGTACAATAACTTTTACTCAAAAAGCTCTACTTCACGTGTGTATACTTTTCATGGTAAAATTGTCTTATTTAAAAGTTTGACTGGATGAGATTTTAACCAAATATAAATACTTGTTTAGATTCTTTAGGTTCTGAGTGTTGCAGTGGGTATATTTACTCTAAAAAGGATGCTGACAAGGACTAATTTGAAACAAAGGCCTGTCGAGAACCATCGAAAGAAACATAAGTTCTTTCATGATTGCGAATACGCGCTCTTGATGAGTGCCAGAGATCATGAGACCTAGATAAAGCAAGATTTCTTGCTGATTGATTGCCGCCTACTTATCCTAGAAGTTGTATGAAATGAAGCAAAGCTTTCATTTATCAATTTAATTCTTATCAATAACCTTATTTAGAAAGAGGCATTATTTGTATAGAGCTAATCCAAATAAAAGTAAAAACAATGTATTCAACTGATTCAATTGAAAAATTTTTCTTATCAATGTAAAACTTACATGAATCGAAATTAATTCTATTCGTTTAGGACCTAATAATGTTGCCGGCAAGCCACCATAATTTAAGCATTTAAATTTAACATGATTCAACCATAAATAGTCATCATGTTTAGCTTCATCAATAATAAAACTATGTTCATTTTCTGCAACAAATGATTCTTCATTAAACTGAAAACTATTATCTAAGCCTAAATTTTCACTTGACAATTCAGAACAAATTGAATTTAACAAATCTACTGCTTTAGCATGATAGTAGAATACGATTTTACTTGAGTTCATTGCAGTTGTATTGATAGAATGATCATCATAAGAATTGGTTGAAGAATAACTACCACTAAGATTACTATTATTCAAACTGGCATTGGTCAAATTATAACCTTCGTTGTCCAAAAGGTATGTAAGATTACATGGTCCTGATAAATAAGGCAAAACAAAATCATGGAAATGATATAAATTGGCAGAGAAACAGTTACTGGTTCAATAGTTTGTAAAACCAGCTAAGCACAGAAAAGTATGTTGTAAAAAATATACTACTAGCTAATGATAGTCAGTAGCGTACGATCGTAAGACAATTTTATCAAGTAACATGATCTCGCTTAAAAAATAGTGGGTTATCAGTCTAGCGGTCTGATGGTCAAGTTGAGAGAGATCAAACTCTAAAGTAAGTTATAAGTAGACCTCAATACTTTCTTAACCTTATCTAATCCTACTACTTATAAAGGGAGACGAAATTTTTTTACCATAAAAGAACGATATTACAACATTCAGGATTTAAAACTGTCTTTTTCATGGAAGTTTACAGGAAGTTCATTCATTTCAGAGAATTTTTCTATCTTTGATCAATATCGACAAGAGAATTACTGGTAACCAGTAAGCTATATCTTCGTTGGTTTGAGTTGCTTCATCGGTCCACATCCATAAACCCCGTCACGGATCAAGTACTTAACAAATGCGTTTCACAAGTTTCATCAGTAAATGTTATGAAAACAGTTTTATTTTACTCAGTGATCTATCTAGTAAGGGTAGATGCATTACTTGCTCCTTACAGGGGTTTTTCTATAGACCAAAACAGAATAAACGTTTCAGTGAATAAATGAGTTTAATTCGAAATCTGGAGAGAAATTATCAAAAGATGATTATCATCTTGAGATGACTGAAATGATGAACAGCAGTTCTGCTTATCTGATATAAAAGCAATCAGTTATCTATTTATATTATTTCATCTAACCAGGTACAGTAGCTCAAATGAAGCCAAATCTAACCAGTTACTTAGGTAAGACGCCAGTCATATTACCTTCAGAACAATGAATTCTGCACCACTGTTTACACTTCCTATTCGTTGCGATCAACACCACCAGGAAGACATTATCGTTAAGGTTAGAAGGTTTCATAATCAGTCAGTTTCATGTGGTTGGCTGTGGTAAAGGATTTTAATCTCAGTTTTTATTCTAGTCTGAACTCAGTGGTCGTCTTTTTGCACCAAGGTCACGAAAGATGAATGATAACGAAGATCATGTGACAGACCTTCGAAAGGATTGAGCAACTGGGAGAGAGATTTTGCCATGAATTAGTACCAGTTGAATAAGCGATGAACACTAGATAGTTGATAAATAGCTGTCTTCTCTAAATTACCAAACTTCATATTAGATCTGCTTCTTGACTCTGTACGGAATAAAACCATTGAATATCACGTTACATTATTCAGTTAGCAGTTATCACCAAGGAAATTTCTTTAAGACTTCTCCGAGTTCTGACGGTAACCGTTATTAGGAAAAGTCAAAAAGCCTAAAGTACGTCTTATGACTATGATGAGGGATTGTTCAATCTATCCAGTTGTTCATAGGTAGAAAAAGGTAATTTTTGATGTTAGCTTAGTAGCTACACGACTGAATGATCACTATTTAACTCAAAAGTCACTAAAGAGGTCAGCAATGGGCATAAATGCACAGTTTTAAAGTAGGGGAAATGTTATTCAGGAATCACCTCTCGAAGTTCCAATGAGAAGTAGTGACCAGTGGAGTCAACCAAGTCAAACATGAGAACAGTTACTCAACAACGACATTGGATGTAGGTCGCGCTTTATCGTAAACTGACAGAAGTAGGAAATATGAATGATCGTGTTTTGACCCAGTGGCTCAATGATAACGTATTGGCCACGAAACCTGAAGGTCATGGGTTCGGCCCGTGGCGGTATGGGGTCATAAGTCCGCACTGCTGAGGAGTCCCATACGAGGACGAAACAGCTGTCCAGGGCTCCCAGATTCCCATTGTTCCTCCGACTGATATCAGTCCATGGTTGGTTCCAACCTAAAATCATTTAAAAACCTCTGCAAAACTCCAGATAGAGTTATTCTATGAAGTGCTTGTTATTAACTGACCATGTGTAAACGGAAAACTAAGTTAAAGTTACCAATCGATGCAAGTGTTTGCCAAGTGGTATCCGGTACAGCTTCATTAAACATTGCACAAGAAATCAATTTCCCTTGAAAAGAATTCATTGATCCCCATACTATGCGTTCAGTTCCTAGGCCAACTTTTCGTACAACACCGATTCCAACTGATTTTGAAAACAATTCATCCAGTCCAGAAGTACTACTTATCTTTCTTCGTACTTGTGATGCTCCTGAAGATACAGAAACTACTTCTCTAGTCGCATAGGCACGTTTACCAACAATCTTCTGTGCGGTTATTACTGATTTAGAACGACCAGCTTTCAATGCTATATCACACAACAGTTTTGAATAGACAACTTGATCAACCCAGTTTGGGCAACCGCCAATATGAAGAATGGAGATATCCTGTACGTCAAAGAATAAATAAAACAAAAGAGTGCATAACTTGGTACTGTCCGCCATGTTAAATAACTATACTGTCTCATAGCCTCCGAAACCCCTGGGTGCTGTGTAGCTTTTCTGTGTACTTTTCAAGTTTTCCTCTGATATAACTTTGGAAACACTTGATGTCAGTGTTATGTTCCTTTGATTAATCTGATTAGTGCTCACATGACCATTCTTATTAGCTATTAAATGCGTTATCCGCTTCCTATTTACGTCTGACGAACAAATCATAAGGTTTCATCTTTTTCATTCATTAATGTGGGGCTGTGAGAAATAAGAACGTTTGAAAGCCTGTTTTGATGCATGATTTACTAAATTCTTCAATACGATTCATTCTACTGATTAAAAATCAAGTATTTATAAAGAATGAAGATGACCGTTAGATTAATTTCAAAATAGTTAAAAATTCCCATTATAATCCGAAAGACATTTGAGTGAACAAAGAATATTATTTTCGATAACTCCTTCTTCAGCTTCTACATTTTTATGTACAGATTAAGGAATTATGCATCAACAATATTTTGATTGCAAGTATCAGTTTGTTGACAATGGTACACAGTTGAGGAAGTCAATACAGATATGTCCTATGTGAACGTCAATGATAGAGTCAGTTGCTACTGGGATTCACTTCGAAATAATTGCTTATCTAAATGAGTATATTGCATAGGTAATGTTATAAGGCGATAGTTTAATAAAACAACAAGAGCGTGTTTGCGAGAGTTGCGTCAATAAACTAAGAAAGATAATTTAAGGAATAGTAGCCTGGTAGAGTGTTACTCAGGTTAGATGATATATGGATGACACCTTCATCCTGTGCGGAAACAATGTGGACAAGTCAAATATACCCAGCAGGTCCAACGCAGTACACCCCCAACCATGACGGTTATACTTGTGGAGGAGTCAGAAAGCAAAACAACTTTTCGTGATCTTCTTCTTTCCAGATGAACAGAATGGTCGATAAAGAGGAATTTGTTTAGAAAAAGTACGTGGACGTGGCATCACATACATTTTCTCAGCTTTGACCCAATTCAATACAAAGAAAATTTGATACAAAATCTAGCTTACAAAAAAGACCATTTGATCGGTAGATACAATTAAGCTAGAACTGACGACTCTGTGCAACACACTAATCCAGAATGCCTATACAAATGAATTCATAGAGCAACATGTGATTACGAAAATGACAAGAAAGGATATTCCAACGGCTAGCAGGAAACCGGTAAACAGTGGTTTGGCAGACTTGTATTGATATTGGATGATGATTGAAGGTCAATTGAAAATTTGGATCGCTGCGGGATTCAAACCAGCGAATGAGACCAAGCAGTAGTAAAGCGTCGCAAATTCACATGGTAGTTGGACAAAGCCCTTGTTAATTGAGGTGAAATAAAAATCTGGTTAGCAGTCAGGCCTTGTAGCTCATTTGGTAGAGCACCGGGTCGGTAACGCGATGGTCACTGGTTAGGGTCCCGCTATGGTTCAAATTTTCATTTTTCGATTTATTAAGTGTAACGAGATCTGAAATCCCCTAACAAAAAACACAACCCTCGCACTATACCACGAAAATTTCAGAGGAAGTGGGAACTTCAATCACTGAATCCTAGTCCGGTGACTAGTAGGTAATGCACTTGTTTCGAGACTTAACAGTCTTGGGTTCTATCACACAGTGATTCATGCAAGCGCACTATTGAGTAGTTACGAATTAGGATGAAGAAACTGTACTGTCCCACATAGTTTTATATTGGTCATCTAACTGAAGTCTATCCATAATGAATTATCTGCAAATGCAAATACTATTTATGAGTCTTAGCCTAGAGATATGAACTGACATCTCAAACTATGATGTCTAAATTTTTCCCATATCCAAGACAATTATTCCTTTTACAAGTTTGCATGGTGCAATTATAAGGCACAATTTGTCTAAGATTGTTACATACTTGCGAAGTGTATAAGATTGATGATATTTAGATGAGTCATTGGTGTAGCACATCTCTGGATGCAGTTGGCTTTTAAACCCTTATGAGATACCAGCTGCTGAAAGAAATGGGCTTTTTGGATCTTCGTCTGTGAAAATTAGGTCCTAAGCTTCTTCTGATTTCTATCCACCCTATAATGGAAGTGACCTGTTTATAGATACCAGCAAAAATATAGAACCTATTTCTGAAACCTACAGCCAACTGCCTTGAATCTCTGACAGCTTAGAATGATAGATTAATACACGGAATGCACAGTGGATAAGGAGAAATTACTCAGTTTAATTAAAATCACAACTTTTCTCAGCATAACTTTCATAAAACTTACTCCATCAGGTCGAGGATGAGGAAAATCTCCAGAGTAGCATACATTACCATCAACAAGAACCTTGAGTATAGATCGATTGACTAAAAGGCGTCGAGAATGACAAAATACAACTGCAACTGAATGCCATGTGTTTGGTGTTATTTTATCCGGTCCACATGTCTGCAAATTTAGATAAAGATCGAAAAAAACTAATGAAGAACTATTTGTAGTAGAAATAAAAGGTTAGATTCTAAATTGTAGCAAATTTACTCATCATTAAGGAATGGAATTTTAAGAATTATAATGTCTACTGTCTGCTGCTTAGTAACTTATTCAACTGAATGGATTTTTAAGAGAAGGAATAGATATGTACACAGAAGTTGCATGATGAATCTAGTAACATATATGGGGGACGGCAGAAGCCTGACAGATATCTCAGAATTAAAATAAAGAACAAGACACTAATTCATGTAGTCAGACAAGTGGTTTCAACGTTTCAAAATGTTCTAGTACACGTTGCACAATTACATTTGATGTAGTTGTTGTGCATGTGGAAATACACTTATATAATTTGAAATACTGCAAGTAAAACAACCTGATATACGTTATTCGTATCAGCTGGTAGATTAGGTAACTCTGAGAAGTTAGTCAAAAAGTGAACAGTTCAACTTTAGTAAAGGCAAATCTATGTAAAAGATGTAGCTAACTGATAACGAAAGTAACCAGAATTTAAGTGTCATACCAATCATTCATGAGAGTAACTCAGTAAGCTTTACTACATGGTGATTTACAGAATGTGACATCCGGTACTTATTGGTCGACAATTCTGGCGAGAATAACATCAAATGTGAGCAACCTATGATTGTTAATATTTGTAGTTTAAAACTTCTCTATTTCTATCTATTTATATGTTATTAACTAGTGTGAGGTTGAAATGTGGGTTTTTTCAAACTTTGAGGTCATCAGAACAATATGTACATGTAGAATAGTTGATGCTTTCTTATGCTTCATGCAAGAAACTCAGTAGACACTATCATAAATACAAGAATGCTGTCTGCTATGATGTTTTATTTCTATAAGTACCCTTAGTTTAATAAATGTTAGTTTTCGACCTCTTTTTAAAGGTAAAGTATAACTAGTCTATGGCCTGCTTGGGAATCTGGCTTCCAAACATTTTCCACCGAATGTATTACATCAAATTCTTCCTTTCAGTTTGTTTCAATCTTTTAAATATGTCCTCCGAACATATATGGTTTTGCAGATTTTTAAAGTGTTCTGAACTAGCTGTTTTTCGAATTATTTACAAAACAAAGGAAAAAATATCACTTTAAAATGGAGATGGACTTTTGAATTGACAAAATACATCACATTTTTATTCCTCGGATAATAAGCTCGAATAGCAGGTTCTTGTATTGGGTGAATGATCCTTCATTATAAATTGGACGCTAATCCAACAATAGCTGACTGTTTCACATTATTGCCATTAAAATAATGTTAGTATTAACACTACTCAAACGCAAAAATCATTTCACTTCAAAATATTGCTGTAGGAGTGAAATTTCTAAACATATTGTAGTGGACGTTGTTGATAACAACGGATATAAGTAGTATATATCGAGAAGGTGGCAGGAATCATAGGGAATCACCGGCAATGGGTAAGGTTTCTGCCAAGAGCAACGCAGGGGACAACACAGGCGTATTACAGGGGATGCTGCTGATAAGAGTGTATGAAGAGCCGGTCAAGAGCAAATCAAGACAGAAATGGAGAGGAAACGAAGACATTTGCAAATGGCTGCTTTAGTGTAAGGAGTACCATATGTAATCACTACCATTCCAATTGGTCGTAATATACATTCTCTCGTAGAGTTGTCTTCTGTTTCTTCAATATTACATACTGAGAAGTCCATATGGCACCAAAAATACTGTTTAGAATAATGTAAATCTTATTATTACTACTATTATTAGTAGGAATGCTTATTAAAGTTTATTTGAAGAGTCCAGTTAAACTATGTTATGCCTCTACATAATGTTTGTCAGCAATCAAATTCAAAAATGTCTTCAGATGCTAAATACAAGTGATCACGAGTAGCTTAATAGAAAATGGCTATTAAAAGAATTCATTTAGATTCCCATTGTAATGCAATTGTATATAAATCTAATCATATTTAATCAGCAGTAAAACACGAATAATGTGACAATGGCTTTGTCTTTTCTCAGTTTTGAAATTACGTCATGGATGTCTTTATATACAGACCTAAGGAAATCATCAACATTGACTTAACAGATATACGAGGCATCTGCAAAGACTACATAAATATTTCAGTAGTCCATTTGCTGACATTAAACACCATACTATTGTAAGCTTGAGAAAAAAACTGTGACACATTAATGTCTGATTTCATTGAGTCAAGAATCTTTGCTCAAGTTACATTGTGCTACTTATTCGTAACACTTCACTCAAACCGTTGTAATCGACTAAGAAGAAAGAAAAGGATGAAAGGACAATGAATCTTCCTAAAAGACAACTCAACGATAATGGTGCAGCAGAAAAGACTCCAAAGTGAATTGGACTACAACAGAAAATGCTAGTAAATCAGGTTTCTGTGCATTGTCGGAATCTTGACTGGAAACCCTAAAACTGTTGGAAGACAATAATAGAAACATTAATAAACATTATTTGTGGTGATAAATAAAGGAAGTCAGCACCTGCTTATCAGAAAAAAAGAGAAATACACTGGTGTCACCGAGGGTCGAAAACACACTTGTAATATTAACATCCAATGAAGAAGGAAAAACTGTCATAAAGGTTTTACTACCTAAAATCCCTAAACATCTCAGATGGCTATCAAACCCCCAATGTAAACCTATAAACAGTTCATTACTTTAGCATCCAGTCAAATTCAGGTCATGTAACTCCACCGGAATCCTCTAATAAAAGTATCCATAAATTTCGATCAAATGGCTCAAAAACAGTACGGTTTCTCAGATTTCGCACCATAGAAGCACTTTGCGTGCAGAAGAAGTACTACTAGTTCCTCATTTCCCTGTGGTCTTAATGCCTTTCTCCATTTTTCTGATCACATAAACAGTTAATTCACAATTAACCCTTTCATCATTAGAATACTTGTAGTTTGCTTCACCTGCCCTTCATCCATCAAGCAGCCACTTAACCACTCCACTTCACATCTTCTTGTCGAACTTCTTGTGTCTCTGATTACTTTTATTACACCATGCATGACTACGTAGCTTATTTCTGCCCTTAGAAACAACCTTTTATTCGACTCTCGAAAACTGTAGTAAAGGCGTAATCGCGTCCTTGACGTGCAGTGCTAGGGGAATATGGATTAGGTTAGGAGGAGATTCCTTGTGGCCAAACCAAGGTCAGGCAACAGTCCGTGAAATCAATGACTCTTGGACTGAGCCGTATGATGGGATTTAGACTACCTAGCTGAGGTCCCCGAGATGATACGAATGTGTGGATAGAAACTCTTAGTAACGTGGCTGAAAATCGATCACAGTAGTACATGTATATTAACTCCTTGGTGTCTTCCAAAGCTTGAGTATTTGCAATAACCATTATCTTCAAACCGTTTGTTCTGTTCTATCACTCCTTTACTATCCACTTATTCTTTGTGTACCACTGTGAAGTGTGACAACGTGAACCGATGCACTTTTATGCGGGGTTTTACGTTGATTCTCTCTCTGTATATCTCTTGATTAATACTCAACTACTATCCGTTTTCAGTACTTATATTTATGATTGTACAGCATTTGTAAATGAAATCATTGATAGGGAAAATTCACTTCGCGAGATTATCGTTTATCGTTCTTATGACCAGGTGGATATTTTTTGTAGTCAGGAATGGTCTCATTCAATCTGTTGAAATGAGTACATGATGAAACAGACTAGAAGTCACTCCGTTTAAGGCTTGTGGTCATTGATGACTTATATTGTTTCGACAATCTCAACCTTAAAATTAAGGGAACGGTTTTCTACACAACTTAAAATGAAACACTAGCACTCTGACTCAAGTAATCTTGTAACCAAACTAAGCTGAACAAAAGAGCTTACCATAACATAGTGAAAATCTTCTTGTGTCGCTGAAGCAACTATTAGGTAACCATGTATGTTAAAAAATATCTCCAATCCACTTCCATTTGAGCACAAAAGACGAAAAAGACAATATCGTTTTGGAATGATTTGTTGAAATCTATTACTAGATAATTTATTTGCATCGATAGATTGATCGTCAACTGACAACCAGAAGTGTAAACTTAAATCAGTTGACATTGTTTTACGAAATACTGATGAAGTTTTTAATGTTGCGTTAATTTTCTTATTCCTAATTGTATAACAGAAGAAGAATTAAAGCATAGATTAGTATGATAATTGAAAAGAGATGTTAGATCAGTACTTATCAAATTTCATGATCTATGCATTAAAAAGTAAGAAGACATTGTGATGTGCGATATTACTGTCTTCAACTTGTGTGAATAGATCAATTCTATAACTTTTAGAGTTGTTTAGCCTGTTGTCTATCGCAGGAGTTTAATAGGGAGATCTCTTAAAAGTCAAATGTGTCCCAAGACTGTAGTTCCACTTTAGTCTGTTTATTATTATTATTATTATTGCGGATATGAGCACGGACAATAAATGGTGTCCGAAACGCTCTTCAGTAAATGATATTGTTTCACTGTGTGACATTTCTAATAAACAGACCAAAATGGAATTCCAATCTAACACAGTACCCAAGTTTTACTCCTATATTCCAAGACTGGTTTTAAAACGTGACTATGTTGTTAAAACTACCTACATCAAGTGACAACTGCCCATGATAAAATTAATCCTTGTTCAATACACTCACAGTCGTGTAGCCCAAATTCACTACCCCCTTTAACTGTGTTCGGTGGTTTACTTGTGTATATCAGAAAGAAGTTCGTTGATGAAACTAAAAGTTTGATTTTTGCTCTAGTTTTTCAGTATGTAACATCTTATCACCTAATTTATTTTGTTTGGTGATGGTTAGCCGTAGAATCTGGAATATGCATTTCTTTCATTCTGAGGCTTACTGGCTCGATGCATCTGAACCGAAGTGACAGATGGCGTTCTCACTGGGACTCACACGTAGTAGCAATCGCTTCAAACTCTAGAGTGTTATCCACTAGTCTATCAAGTCATGGAAGCCATCTTCTTTACAGCAGGTATCAGTTGTTATTTATAAACACTTGTAATATCCAATCGGTTGTTTTATTGAACCGAAATGCTCAATCTCCACTGATATATGGGCTTCATGAGATAGAGGCAATCGATTCTGTCCAGTATAATGATCAATAAATAACCTGTCAAATGTCTCAGTGGAATACAAGACGCGTGTTTCTAAGTGGGAACAATATCACTGACTGGAGTACAAGTACATCCGGCTGAAGAGTCCTAAATAGAACGGAACATGGGTTTTTGGATTCCACTGCTAGCCACCAAGCAGATTACAAAATAATGAGTAATCAGGCAGTATCGAGGCGTCAGCATAGGATCTCACCTGCCAACAGTGGTCGACCAACTTGACCAAGTATAGCAATCGGAGATTATAAGTATTAAAATGAAAAAAACCCTGTTATTTGGTTGATACTGGGTATCAGACCAATGTTATATACATACTAATGATGATCACAGGGATTTTGCGACACATTTTCAATGAGATACACAATGACTGTGCTTTGCTGTCATTAAAGTGTTTTAGAGAGACCAATTCTTATAACATGGGAGTAGATTTAGTCTTTGATGTATGACAGAAATCTCCGTTAATTTACAGAATGTTAAGGAATCAATTTTGAATTATATTCAGTAGTACTTAGTGTTAGAAGTCAGTCGATGCATATCCCTAGAACTAGATCTCTTCGCTTCTGACCCTTATCAACAAACAGTATCCAAAATCACTAGGAGACTCAAGTTCCCTCGGAAACTTGAATATAAACCAATCCTTTTTGAAGTCAGGAATCACACCATTAGGCTTTTAAGTCTACATATGATTCCTTGTAAAACTGAAATGCACATAAACATTAGTCTTTGAGGAAGAACGAGTGCCGTTAAGACCGCAGATACATTCGGTTGGTAAGAGCGGACAAGTAAGAAACTCAGTTTCAAGGCGACTTCCTCGCTGTTTTCCAGCAGTCAGCACCACAATACAGTGCATCGCAGTGTTGCAACACGTAATCTGGCGGCCAAGTTGCGAAATACGACCAACAGACTTTGTTAAGTACTCACTATTTAGGACCTGACAACTATATCGAGCTATTACCGCATGATCAATTCATGCGCGTTACCAGTCGGTACGTTTACAGTATATAAGATAAGTAAGTCAAACCCGAAAGACTACCCATAAGATGACTATTCCTCAAGTATTCACAGCAAACTCCTTCAGAGTTCCACTTGAAGTAATATTAACTAGGCGCAAATTTTCTCTTTCCCATTTCCCTTAATGCAGTAAAATGGCTGCTTGTTTGTCTTCTGTTTAGCATTTCGCTTCATCTTACTACATAATTGTATGATGTAAATACTAGGAATGAAAGGCATGTGAAGACTAAAATCATTGAGTCTAAATGTATTTGAAGTACGCTTCACGTATGTTAAAGCCAGTGAGAAACTTTCAGCTCAAGTGCTGAGTTTAATAAAAAGGGGTAAGTCAACGGATAAAGTTGCGAACCCCTAATGGTTCAGATGACCAATATATACGTCACGTGTACCGAACCACCAGTTTCATAGGGTGGTTAGAGCAGAGCTTGATACCAATCCATAATTAACAACTGTACATCTAAGCTACTCACGAAGGCGTTGGCTGCAGGTGACCAGAAGTTTAATGACTTCATTGACATAAGTCAACATTGATAGTTCTCTTAATCTCCTATAACATAATAAACTTGATACTGCCACTTATGTTCTTGTTCATTTCAATACACTTCTATCTCTGTTGTGTTTTTTTGTGTGCTCTTCTGAGATGGTGTGCTTATAATGCAAGGTTATGTATCAATACGCCTGTTTCATCTGTCTTTCCATTTATCTGCCTGACTACCTGTCTGACAACCATCTATCATCTGTCTCCCAGCGGTCTGTCTGCCTATGTCACTCACTTTAATGTTATTTGGACTATGAGTAAATGAAGCTCGGGGTTACTTCAGTAAAACGAGAACAACAGAGAGTGCATTAAATTTCAAACCACTAAAATACATTTTACTTGGAGAATAGTAATTATTAGATTATAATAACTCAAGAACATGGAGTATATTTTTATTCACATGAAATAAAACACTCTAGATAGATATTCTCGAGATAATTCGCAAAAAAACTTCCTTGTTTAAACTTACAACTTCAAATTTTCCAATTCGGGGCCAATTGGTGCTACTAGAATACTGTCGTGTGGTTGACTAAACTGTAACCAATTGCCAGAATTCGGTAATGGACCAAGATTTAACTGAGTTATTTTTGTAATCTTTACAAGAACCTAGGAAAGCAAAAAAGTTACGGAAACTCACATTGTCACAAACAGAAAAGAATCTCTAGTAAAGGTCAGATGACTATTCAAATAGCATACATGGGCATGTTTGGTGTGTTGACACACTTATTGACAATCAAAATAATAGAATATGTTGTTATTCATCAGTAAGAAACGCTTGTGAGCCCAATGAAATCCTTTTCTTTCCAGCTTTATGAAGTTTAACAACAGTGATATTCTACATAAAAGGATTCAGTTAAACCCAATGAATTTCCTTAAAGATGTGGGTGAAACTAGTATAAAACAACCACTAGTCTGTTACCAAGTTTGAAACTCAAAAATATTTTTTATACAACCACATTATTCACTAAGACGGATAGACCTCCGTTACATTACTATGCTTCAAATTTCAGCATCAATTACCTCGGCTTACATCATTTTCAGGTATTAATATTTTGTTTGTCCTGTTTCAGTAGATACTTCTTCGACTATGCGACAGTGTTCTAAGTTGTTTTCTCTTATTTTATTCCTTATCACAGTAAGTCTATAGGAACAGATTTCACTGACGCATACAACTCGAAAGTAGTAAACCATCACTTCGAGTGTAGACTGTTTTTGGTCTGAAGCAGTAACAACTGAACTGCTGATTACGCCAAGATCTATGTTCTCCAAGAATTTTATCTATCTCTCGGCAATGAAGTTCACAGCATCAACTCCACTCTAGGACATCATCTAGGATAATGATAGTCACATGCTACCCTTAATATGACCCATAGCTGGGATATAAACTAGTACAATGAATCAGACATTACGATTCATAGCAGTAATTGGAGATAAGTGTGAGCTGAAAACTCAGGTTGATAAAATAATGACTGTAACTCATGAAAAAACCAGACTTCATCTGCTATGCACACACGTATACATAAAGACCTATTACGAATGCCATTTTGAGGAAAATTCGCCTTTTTCTTATTTCGGTACTGAGCAGAATGAATATTATGACCTTTTTGAAAATAGTTGACTGGATGTTCGTCCACTTGTATATTACATTATTATTATTTATCCCTTGGGTTTCTAATGGAACATAGGGGTTCAGTAGCACATCTCCATTCCACTTTGTTCTCTGCAATCTTTTGGACCTGGCTCCACCACTGCCAACAAGCTCTCATTTTTTCCTCTCACGATCTCCTCCGTATCAACCTCACCTCGGACGCCCAACTCGTCGCTTCCCATCTGGCTTCCATTCGAGGGCCTGACGCGTGATGTCCCCAGTCCGCCTTCTCAGTATATGCCCAATCCATCTCCACTTCCACTTCCTTCTGCATATTTGTTCAGCGATAGGTTCTTGCTTTGATGGTTCGTCGTCAGGTCAGAGTTCCTTGTTGCTTATTATTTCTGGCCATCTCTTCTTCATCTTCAGTAGCGAGCGTGGGCAGTTGTTGATGAATGTCTGTAGTTTGTTGGAAATCCCTTTCGTAATGCGCCAAGTCTCTGAGCTATATAGAAGTCTTGACTTGACGTTGGTGTTGAAAATCCGGATCTTGTTCCGCATGCTGAGTGCAGAAGATCTCCACAATCGTTTCAGGCTAATGAACGCCTGTCTTGCTGTGTTAACGATCCTGGTTGGCTTTGACGTCCTCGTCTGTGCCTGTGCCGCCTGTAGTTGAAACAGTGCTGCCTAGATAGGTGAAAGAGGCTACTTCCTTTAAGTTCCTCCCTCGCCTGCTGAACTAGTTCACTAGTTACTAGCCGGTCTTAAACTCCGGTAAACAGGGAAGGTTGGACATACGGCTAGCAACCCTACCCAGCAAAACCAATCAAGCCGCTAAAGAAACTTCAAAGCACAGACTAAATATAAAAAATAAAAACAAACTCATTCCTCGCTAGAATTGGGAACACGAAATGACGCCCTTCGGTGAAAGCCTTCGGCAAGCCAATTGGCCGATGTGTCTCCATTCTCTCGATGGAAGCAAAAGTAAACAAGGAAACACAGAATGTCCGCACCACGTATGAACATACCAAGGCTGCCAACATTGCAAAAGAAATGAGAAGGTAAAGGACAGATATGCTAGGGATCTCCGAAAGCAGGTGGAATGGAAGTGGACTCTCCTAACTGTCAACTGCTCAGTCAATAATCTACTCTGATACTGTCATCCAGATGACAACCACGATCACATTGAGTTTTGGAGTGGGTATCATGATGTCCCCAACAACATCGAAGTCTCTCATGCAGTGGGAACCAGTCCCCTCCACGATCAGGATCATGACAGCAAGATTCAACTCAAAAGGAAGGAAAGTCACAATCACATAATCCTACTCCACGCACCTACAAATAATGCAGATGAAGAGGAGGAGGAGGAGGAGGAGGAGGAGGAGGAGGAGGAGGAGGAGGAGGAGGAGGAGGAGGAGGAATTCTACAGACAACTCCAATCAATCCTGAAGAAGACTGAAGTCCATTTGGCGACATCAAAATTCTAATGGATGGGGAGACATGAATGAATACTAAACTGGGGGTGGACAACACAGGAATAGAACTGATCATACATCGAGAAGCACTCGATGAAATGAATGATAACGGAGAAGTGATTGCAGAATTCAGCACATTCAACGAGTTGGTGATTGGAGGTGAGGCAGTGTGTACAAACACAAGGATATTGACAAAGCGACATGAACTTCATCAGACACCAGGACACACTACACTACAAGTCGGATCGACTTCATTTGAATGTGAAGAAAGTGGAGACTGAGCCAGTCTACTGGACACAAGATGAGATGAAGAATGGGAGAATATGCAGGTTTACACAAATATCTAGTATCTAGTTGAAGGAGCCTACCTTCAAAATCAAGATGAAAGGCTTCAAGGAAGTTGGTGATAGACCACAGTTGAAGTTGAACACCCAGAACAGAGGCTGACCTGAAGGACAAAACTACAAGGGACATCTTCACGTCAGCTAGTCCTCAGGATGAAACGGGAGACATTGAGCAACATCCCTGAAGAAACCCGAGTGAAAGAACACTGGAAATCTTTGAAAGAGATGTGCAAAGAAATCTCCATAACCGTTTTAGGAAGGAAGAAGAAAGAAGATGAGACAGTAATGGATATCGACGGACACATGGAAGGTGATAGAGCAGGGAGACGAAGATGGTGATGGTGAAGCAGAAGATGAACCAGTGCAAGGATGCACAGCAAGAAGAGGAACTGAGTACAACGTATAAAACACTACACCGGACGATGAAGTCAATAAGAGTGCCGGGCAAAGACAATAGACACTTCTACGACACACTGGCAAGTGAAGCGCAGAAAAATAATGATATAATAATTAAGTCCACTGATAACCAGGAGAAGGAGAATGTTTCGACATGTTCTCCCACGTTTAATCAATGTTGTTGAGATAGCTGCAGCCTTCTTGAGCAGGTGTTAGTTAGCCACATGTGGTGTCATTTTCGTTGTACGATGTATAACATTTAAAGCTTTGTTCTCATCTACGTCATGCCCTATGTTTACTAGGTGCGCAGCGGCAAAACGTTTCAATACTTTCACTCCACCTTTCCCAATCCAAGCCAGTTAGTGCTCTCTTGTCCGGTGACGCACCTGCTTAAACGGACGCACTATGTGACTTTTACCGCAGGAACAAAGTGATATCTGTTGGATGATCAGCTAAGCATTGGCCGAATACTGGAAAGAATCCACAGAGGACCTGCATAAAATGTTCTATTGATTGCCCTAGCTAAGCATTTTGATAAGACGTCACTTCAAAATTCTCCCTTGGATTGTAATCGCAGAAACTAAAGCTACTTTTCCACTGTCATCAGTTCTCGTTTGGAATTAGTATAAACGATATTAGCTTCGATGAATTTGAATTAGATAGTGGTGTGAACCTACATCTGCTTTCATTCTCGATCTTGTGTCCAGTTCCTTGCTTCACTCAAGCAGATTATAAACAATACGATCTGTTCACCATATATACAATATGAACACTGTATGGGGATCGTGTCTGAAGTCGAAGGGAGAAGTGGTTTCGAGACATATTTGAAAACTCGAACTCAGAAATACCGGTGTTATTTCCTACAGGTTGGTCTACGATATCTGAGAGAAAAAGAAAATTGCGATCTTTTTCAAAAACAGAGTACTAATTTCAGTATTGATGTTGACGCTTAATATACACTCAACTGTTCAACTTAGCTGATGCAACAGTTCCACTATACATTGGACAATCGACCTGAAGTGACATGCTAACTGTTGGTCGAAAATGAAGTTTATCTTGACCAAAACAATTTGATGGTGAGTTTTTTAACTTCAGAAATAAGTGACATGGACTTGCATTTTCGGGAGGAAGGTGACTTTTTTGAGGTCAAGGATACACTTTGGTCCTAAGTGCTAACAACCACGTGATATAGGCTTACTGCATTTTCTTGGTAACCTGACAATAAGCATACTTTCCTTTTGTTGGGTCATAAGAATTCCTGCAGAAAATGAGTTTCACGCTCCATACAGCTGATTAGTAAGATGTATGCACAAACAGGAGGGAATTCATAGTCCATGGAATACCCAGTTCTACAGACAGATAAGCTATCACTTAGTTATTTAGATAACAACCGGTAGTGATAAAACACTGCATTGTGATCAATCTCTTGCACAAAAGGCTTAAATATGAACTTTCTTGATCAATGAAATTAACAAACTGGCCAATAAGTTGAATGACTCAAATTTTGAAAACCAGAAAGTATCCGGAAACGAGATGTCCTAGGCTTTTCCGCCTATTGTTTCAATCAACTGAATTCAAAATACAGCCTACTGAGGTGTTATAGCCATTGAATATTTCCAAGTGAACTGATTAGAACAAACTAGTGTTCTTGTAATACAATATGAAGGTCATGCACAACCAATCAACAGAATTAACCATACCCCAAACATGAATGGTGTCAAGCACCAACGCTGACCAATCATAAAACAAGGATATTTATCGCAATTTTGTTGTTGTTAGAACAAACCTGTAATATTTGACTGCAAAATATCCTGACAGATTCTGAACGAAACATTCGTAAAAAGTCAGCAAGATCTGGTGCAGACATTGAAAATTCACCAAGGGATTCGAGTATTTGTAAAAACATTTCAAAAATTCTGCGTGTTTGATAAAATTCGTTTTTGGTTTTCTGAGGAAATGAATTGAAAAAAAAGTGAAATATTCATCAATTTTTAGTTTGAACCTTAATTTTTTTTTCAAAACCAGTCTAACTTTAAAGATAGGATATAAATAATTATAACTGCGCATGTAGTGAAAACTTGATGTTTATGTAATCCAAAATTACTAAACCATTTTAAGCCTTCTATATATATAAAGAAGATCGAACTGTTAATTATGGTTTTGCCAAAAGTTTTTTCAATATCCTACTCTCTTTACCACCTTGGTTGTGTCAATGGAAAATAAACGCCTTGGAAATGAAAAAGAGTTGTCAGTGTTTTAGAAATCTCACAAAGTTTGATGCCTGAAAGTTTGAGAACCATACATCTGCCTTCTTAGGCTGAGGTGTGGTACAGACTATGAACTGATTGATGCATACAAATCCTAGATGCTAACAATGCCAGTGGTGTAATCGACTTTCTGAGTTCCTCCTAAATTTCGAATAGATTAGAAAGCGAAAATGCAACAAGAGGCATTAATTCAACATTCAACACAAAAGGAAACAAATGATGATTTATATCATGGACTGATTCAGTTGGAGAACCATTGAGAACTTAGGAGCACTGGACAGCTGCTTCATCCCAGTATGGAACTCAGTGGTACGCACCCACGACCATGTTAGGGATCGAACTCAGGACTTTCAAGTTAATTAATCACTCAATCATTGGATAGGAGTCCAGTGGTTCACACTTTCCAACTTCTGTCAATTTGCGACATAGCGTGACCACTACCAAAGATATTCAGCTGGCATCCGCTTCTTTACCGACTGGCTGACCCCACTGGTTACACTTTCTATCAAGAACTTTGGGAAATCCAGCTGGAAACATGTCACTAATGAGCACTATACAGTAATGTATCTTGAGGTCAATAGGGATTTTAATTTTGAGGTAGTAAGATGATTGTTGTTTTTGCTGTTATGAGTCCAGTTGCCAGCAGTATATTTTACTAAACTCAGATGTACAACATCCACAGAGTTAATTGCCTTGGAACCTGATAGTCATGGACTTCAGTCCTCACTAGGTGGTGAGTGTACACCCTTGATGATTCTTAAACTAGGATGACAAAGCTGTTCAGTTTTCTTAGGTTTAAAATGTGGATCTATGATTAGAAATACTTGGAAACAATTTAACATTTCCAACCATTTTATTTGAAGCATAATAATGGTGAAATTACGAAAAAGCTATCATATTTCAACAGCTGTCTTCTGAAAGCCTCATGCAAACCTATTTTGATGGTAAGATATGAACCAGTGACTACGATTTAAGTCTCATTTCAGCTTCAACCATAATTTCCGTATTCGAAAGTCAGGAAAAATGGCACCAAGCATATGACTGTAAGGCAACGAAATAACGTGGACGTTTTTCTGTTTGTTATTAACTAGAAAGTGAAAAATACATTTCAACTAGCCTCTCCAACACAACTGCTAGTTTTTGAAAACCATCAGCATTTTAGCAGTCAAACTTTACCATACCACATTGTTTCCACCAACAAACTAAAAGATTTATACCATTACTAAAATGAGCTCTTGAAGGTTTCCTGATTAGTTTCCTTGACATAACATCCAATATCTGAAAAAAACACTGGTTGACCAAAAGAAAAATGGATTCAAAAACCAAGAAAACGAGTAATTTATACATACATATACATATGTAACCACACTCCTAACCTTCAGCTTATAAGTTCAATAATCTTTCCCCATGTTATCTAAATAGACCAGTCATGTTGAATTCTTGCACTGGGAATGAATACTCTGCTAGATTCTGCATTCTGTCTCAAACTGGCTAATGGGCATAAAACTGATAGGTAACAGCGGAGCTCCATCTCTCCGTGTCAACACATGAAGAATGAACAGTCTAATTGTACTCGCAATATAATTAGACTAAAGCAAATCTGAAACTGTATTTTGGCGTACTGTACTCTGCTATGACCTATACGAATTAAGTAAAGATTGATAATACAGTTTGCGTCTAAAAATTTCGGCGGAGTAAGCCTCGAACCCATGTTGGGGTAAGGGACCTCGTTTGCTAGGAATTCCTATTCATTAAACGTTTTGGCAATGTTGTATCTATTTTTACAGTAACTCATGGTCAACATAACCAGGCATCTAAGTTAGATGCTATAAATTATTTAGTGAGGAGCATCGGTATGCAGACATTAACTTCAGTACCCTTTTACTGATTTAAAATTCGATAAGTACAAAAGGCTTAATATTGACTATTTTGTTCTAGACTAATATAATGGCATTAAATGCAAATCATAGGATATTTAGAAAACGATGTTTATCAAGAAAAATATTATACCTATTGTTAGCAGACTACCTTTTATGCATGCAATGCAATAATAAAGGATATATTCATTTATCCAGCAATGAAATTCATTGTGAAGGTGTTCGCCCACTTGTTTCATTTGCACATGCATCAGTTATAACAGATGTTTCTCTCATTCATACATCAACACCGTCCAAAACCAACAAAATTTACGTATAAAATGCTAACTACTTACAAGTAGCCTCAAAAATCTTAGAAAACTGTTTAGGCTCACTCACCTTCAACTCTTCGGGCTGCTGCGTATCCATTATAAGAATCAACTTATCTCTTAATATGTCACATAATTTAATGATATTTGGAATGATTCCAAACCGAATTACTCCCACTTCACAACAATGTGCTCTGCTCAACTGTCCAACTGAATTTCTATTCAATAAACAATCCATAATTATTTTTAAAATTTGATTAATCATGTTAAACAAGGCCAAATGTGTTAATTCATTAGGATGCCCTCCATTTGTTTTGTAATCAGCCCATAGGTAGGTGATCCATTTAAACAAAACAATGAGAATATCCCCATGAACAATGACACTTGTATAGGAATCCAAAACATCCTGGTTGGAACATCGATCCATTATATTTTCGAGTTGTGGATCGATACAAATGGGTAACCTTCCAAAAGTCTGCACAACAAAAATCAGACCAAACAGTAAATAATATCGATAAAGATATTTAGCAAATGTTTAACAGAAAACTTAAAGGTAATTCTCTGCAATAATTAGCGTCAGAATTCTGACCAAATCTACGAACTAATCAGTAAGCATTACAGCTGTTTAGTTCTTATTGCTGAGTAGCTACTGACCAAGTAAGCCAAGTTGCCACTAAGCTAAACGATGCGTTACTATGGTACATCGTATTTAAGAACTACACTTTGTCAATGTCAGTAGGAAGTCCTGCTTTAATTAAACCTATTCTTGTCCATGCTAATCAACAAGGTACATCTGGAACTGTGATGAAACTTGCATTTCCCTAGTGACTTGAACTTGCGTTAGCCAGTAGTGAAGTTGGAGCCATAGCCACTACGTTATCCAGGTCTCTAGTGAACCGGTGAAGGACTTAATGATGTATATATATGTATAATTCTAGATTTCCGAAATTTAGCTACAAACATCAATGTAATGTATGTACAGGCGAGTAATGAGTAGTTGCAAATAAGCCTCTCACATTTTAGTACCCACCAATTAGGTGTGTCGGTGACCTTCAGGAAAATTAAATTTCTGGTATATTATAAAATATGTGGTTCATTGGCTTACGCAATCAAATTTCACGGAACAGATTCTGAAGTCAAAAGGCACTCCGTCAACTTTGACTTGGGTAGCTGCACGGACAAAGTGAAGAGAATAGCCACATATATAAGCTCTTACCCAGAGGCTCCGTGGTTATGTTCATATCCCAATTAAAGTGATTTATGAGTAAATGAACTAGGTAAACTCAGGTCTCTTAAAGAGCATAAATACACTATTTTAACCACAGCTGATAAAAACAGTGTTTTTGTACTGTGCTTTTGAAATTTAAAGATAAGTTCATCAGACTGTGTTGTCCTTTAACTTTGATCGCTATCACCTACAAACATTTATGAACACCAACGAATACAACTTCAACTAGTTACCCGTTGACAATCAAAGTGTCCACGTTCATAGTACTTTGTAAAAAATATGATCGTCGATATGCAAGCAACTTTAATACTAAGAGCTTGATTTTAGTACAAGAATGTTTTATATGGAGGAAACAAATCACTTTTTCAAAGTATTCACTATGGGTCGATGTCAATAAGAAAATCAGTAAGGACAAGCAGGCACTGGACAGTTGTTTCCTCCTATTTTAAGATTTCACAGAAGCAAACATTATAAGTTCATTGGCAATCAATTTCAGAACTATCCAGTTTAATGACGAGTCTACAACCATGCAATTAGTGAGTTGGAATACAATGTTTCACTTTTTAAGGATGTCATTATCTGAAGTATCTCATGATAAGATGAGATGAATGGTCAGTACTGCCTAACTTTTCAAAATTCTTCTAGCTGTTCTCAATAAACCTTTCAACTCACTAGATACTACTTACTACTTTTACTGATGTATAGATTGAAAATATTAATTATCTAAATCATGATTTTGATAGAATAACTTAAATTAGAAATATAACAGTTCAATATTCTTAGTTCATCTTCTTGACAAACTCTATACCAAATTTCTATGCACATACATCTAAAGTCATCCATACACAAAATCGATAAACATATGAAAATATATATAAACATTTGTACAACAAGTTTTCGCCAAAATAACTACACTACAAGCAAAGTTTAAATGAATTGAAAAAGAGAGATACGTGCAAGTTAGCGTCAATGAGTGAACAAGAGAAAAAGAGAACGTGTTGTAAAAAAGTACATAGTGTTAACTGAATTCACAATGAGACAAAATACAAACAGTATTAAAAGAGAACAAAATCGAATGCATATTCAAATACTATAAAAAAATTGGAAGATTAGAAAGTTAAGTTTTCTGAAGTAGTAAAAAATTTTCTAAACATTTTGAGAAATCTCGATTATTTCAAGTTGTTATTCATCGAAGACTGACATCAGTTGGAGGAACAAAGGAAACCTGAGAGCACTGGACAGCCGTTTCGTCCCAGCATGGGACTCCTCAGCAGTGCGCACCCACGACCCCACCAGCAGGGATCGAACCCGTAACCTTCAGGTTCCGCGGCCAGCGCGTTACCCATTGAGCCACTGGGTCAGAGTCCAATGCTCCATATTTCTTGATTACATTGATTACATTATGTTTTTTTGAGCTAGGTTGTTTAGTCGTCGAACTTTTATTGTCTTGCTAGACAACATCATCATCACTAACAACCAAAGACCATGCATCTGAGCTGCAAATATTCTCTACCATTTTGACAAATGAATTTATCTCTAACCCAACTTAATGTCAGACATTCAACTGGGAGTTTGTAGGAATTGACTAACTTCAAGGTGGTTTCTATCGTGAGTTGATATCAGTTACAGAAATATAGAAAAGCTGGGGGCACTGGATACCTTTGTTCTTATCTGTGCACACCTAGGATGCTGTGGTAGATCTAGGCCGGGACTATTCGGTTTCGCAGTCAGTACGTTAGCATACATCCTCTGAGTTGGAATCTAATGGTTTGCTACTTCCTTGTTTTGTAAATTCATGATATTGAGTGACCATAATCCAATGCAATCAATGACTATTTCTCTTCATGCAACTTGGTTGACTGCATACATTGTAGCTTCTCATAAGAACCTCGGCAAAACCATCTCAAAGCAAGTCGTTGAAACTAAATGATTCCATAAGCAGTTTGAATGTAATATGCAAATTGATGACCACAAGGATCCTTCACTCTTTGAAGAACTTATTGATAGAATATATTGTTCACATTCCTTATTATTGCTTGTTTTCGACTGGAAACGACACCTGATAATATTATCAAGCTAAATACTCATGTGATCACCTAGATTGCCCGTGGACCTTGAATATCTGATGTCAGTGGACAACACTACAGCTTCAATTATCGAGTTTAGCCTCAATGGTACTTGTTAATATTAAATACACATTTACCTTATATGGCTTACATAAACTAATGATTATTAAGAATATTATGTGATGTTGCCATGGTTCAGTAGACAGGTAATATTACTTCTATGTGATTCTCGGAGGTGAAATAAAAACCTGATTCACACGAAGCAGAAACCTCCAGGTTACTCTACCAAGTCAACTGAGAGACTAAGCATCTGACTAGGTCTCATTTTCACCTCAGTTACCAAGGGCTTTGCGTAGCTATCGAGTGGTTGCGTTGTCATTCATTGTAATCTCACTAGCTATTTATCCAAATCTTTTCGTCTCGATTCATCACCGCCACAGATGGTTATACCCCATAGTGATTGAAGACTGGTCATCATCTTTAAGACTATGAAAATATGCAGGTGCCTATTTTAACTACGAAGACAAGAAAGATGTTTAAAACTGTCAGTCGGCTTTTATCAACAAATAAGTCTACTGACAAAACACCCATCATGAAATATGACTGTCTTCAAAATAACTTCAACAAAGATTAGGAGCATTTATTGTTGAGGAGTCTCAAAATAGAATGATGAACTATGGAAGATACCCTTGTTCAGCACACTTTTACACAAAGTGCATCTCTGGAAAACGGGTTCATATCTGGATGTACATATGGTGCTAGTTCTAAAGAAATCTGTCACCCCAAAGATATTTTCTCCATCGATGAACATTACTTGAAAAACTATTCAAAAGTCCAAAACGTATTGGGTATTTGTTTTTTCTTGTTCTAATGTAATCCAGCATCAATTCAATTCTTTAGTATTCCTGATGTCTTAGAAACCAATACCTTGAAAAAAGCTTCATCTAGTCTGACATTATAATATCTTTCAGTGCATTTGCTAAGGCAAGATTCAGCAGTCTCGATGCCACTAATTTGAGCTCATTTACAGCCACAGCTTTCCCTTGAGTTAATATACTGTCATGGCTGAAAATTCGAGGTATAAAAGGGAAATGTCTTGTGGAAATCACAAAGAGAAGACAGATTTCACTTACCCAAGACAATAAACATTTACCGATGACATATGGTGAGAGAGAACTCATTAAACATTGATCAGTGTTTAACTTTGATCCAATGGCATAAGAAGAACATATGTACTCTGCTAGCTTATCATAAAAGTACTTAGGAAATCGTTGAGTGCAAGATGGTGGAGGTATTGGTGAAGCATCCTCTTTTACCGATTGCTTAAAAGCATACAAGCAGGATTTATCCAAATCCAAAGATGCTAAGAAAGTCAGCATGTATTGGAAGTGATTATCACCTGAACAGTTGTTCAATGTCAATTGAATATCCGACAAAAGAATTTCTGGATGAAACTGATAGCATGTTCTAATACGACTTGATAATTGGATAAGCAAGATTTGATAATCTGTGTAAGAAGCATAAAAACAGGGAAGATATGTTGTACAGAATAAAAGACACATACGAAGAGACTAGTTATCACGACTTAACCAGTTTGTCAAAGCAAGTAACCTTCATAACATCGTCAAAGGCCATGCAGATAAGTATTTTGACTATAAATTGCTGCATTTCATTGGTGAGAATAAGCTGAATGTATCAGCAACGCTTGTCATCTAATGCTGACTCGAACTCCTGACAGATGGTTTCAGCTACCGAGCTGTTAACGAATGTAGCTGTAAGGTGTTGGCAGTCGGTGTTTTCGTTATTACTTGTGAATGCTACCAAGGATGACTATCCTTTAAGTGGCTGACATACAACAAGTTAAAGAGGTATGTACGGGTCAAAACACCTGCAGAAAGCAAAATAGTAACTAGAGGGATGCAGGAAGTTTTGCACTCGTGAAATTCAAACTCTGCAGAGATAACTCCTCGACAAAAAGTTATTACTTCCAAGTTCCTATACAGATCTGGCTTTGTTGTCAATGAGATTAGTTTTGTATTGAAAGAAATTTGTTTGGTTCAAGTACCACTTATTAAATCGTTTGGTTGAAAAACAGTCTTCTTAGCTGTATAAGTCTGTATGCTTCTAACAAGGGAAAGGATCATTCAATGCTCAGATCACACATATTTGGCTAAAGAGACTTGGATTTTCACAGAAGTGAATTTTAAATACTCAATTTGTTATGCAGCAAATTCTGATTCAGCCTTTATTGAAGCTGAAGTTCTTAATGATACGCGTTTCTGTCTCGCTACATGAATGTTAAATCTGACTTGTTATTGCTTCAGCTCGTTCACGTGGTAGAAGACCACTCAATTAGTTGGAACTAAGGTAAAATCACTGGTTATATATAAGCATGAGTAATCAAGTTAATTCACTCTTTAGTGTAGATACTTTAACGTTTACCAGACAAAACAGTTTGAATATTCACATGCTAATTTGCGAATCCTTTATCCGCCTCATTCAACAACTATATGAAGATGCCACATGCCAAGTAATTCACAATGGGAAGCTCAGTGATGATTTTGAAGTAAAGACAGGAGTGAAACAAGGTTGCCTACTATCACCCATGATATTCCTGATTGTGGTCGACTGGATCATGCAGCAAACAGTAGGCAGCGAGAAGAGGGGGATACACTGGACTGTGGAAAAGAACCTAGAAGACTTGGATTTCGCCAGTGATGACTTGTGCCTGATGTCACACAAACTTGAAGATCTGCAGGCAAAAACTAACAAGTTGATAGAAAAGGCAGCGAAGACGGGACTTCAGGTGAATATAGAGAAGACAGAGGTGATGAAGATACCGCACCACCACCATCAACAACAACAACAAACTCCAATCACCGTCAACGGGAGAAACTTAAAGGAAGTAACCTCCTTCACTTATCTAGGAAGCACTGTTTCAACTACAGGCGGGACGGACGAGGACGTCAAAGTCAGAATCGGAAAAGCAAGACAGGTGTTCATTAACCTGAAAGCAGTGTGGAGATCTGCACTCAGCATGTGGAACAATATCCGGATTTTCAACACCAATCCAGTCAAGTCAGTGCTCTTGTATGGCTCAGAGACTTGGCGCGTCACGAAAGGGATTTCCAATAAACTACAGACATTCATCAACAACTGCTTACGCTCGCTGCTGAAGATCAGATGGCCAGAAAAAATAAGCAACAAGGAACTCTGGGAACGAACCAACCAAGAACCTATCACGCAACAAATATGCAGGAGGAAGTGGAGATGGATTGGGCATGCACTGAGAAGGCCGACTGAGGACATCACGCATCAGGCCCTCGAGTGGAATCCCCATGGGAAGCGACGAGTTGGACGTCCGAGGGTGACATGGAGGAGGTCGTGCGAGGAGGAAATGAGAGCTTCTGGGCTGTCGTGGAACCAGGTTCAAAAGATCTCAGAGAACAGAGGTCACTGGAGACGTGCTACTGAAGCCCTATATTCCACTAGGAACCCAAGGGAATAATAATAATAATTTGCGAATATTTTTCTAGTTGTATATTTCTTTAGTTTTTAAACTTCAGTGCTAGAGGAAAGCGTTTTCGATTTCTATGAATTGGTAATCAAAAGAAACTCTGATGACACTGTGGTTGAAGAGATAGGAAATTCTTCAAACAAATAAAATGTCGACATGGACTGTATGAGGTTAACAACAGTTTGAAATTTTTTCCTTACTTGTTTCAGCGTCTAATAACAATTTTTCATTTGTTGTTCTACGATAAGCGTAATGAGCTGAAACGCCACACCCCTTTTATCAAACTCTAGGTCAATCCAACCAGTCTGTCAATCGTAATATACATACAATATATTAGTTTGCATGTAAAAGACTCTTAGAATAATATATGGGCGAATCAACGTTGTAAAGCAGACCCGTGAATTGGGGTACCCTAGTTGGTTCATACCTTGGGATGAATTAATGTTTTAGAGAAAAATAATGAACGGTTGTGTTTGAAAAGAGAGTGATTTACCTCTGCAGAAGTTTTCACAAGATGTGAACCTTTAATCGACTATCTTAAGGTAGATAAGTAATGGTCAATATCAACTGAGCGAAGGAAAATTTAGTTTGGAAAATTCAGTTTATACTTGATCGAAATAAAGTGGACAGAGTAACTGATCTCTTTCATTTCGTAGCTTAGCGTTTCCTTTCAGTGACTAGTCTGAACCGAAGTGATATAAAAGGATCCTAAACGGACTCCTTGGTGCAGCAGGTAATTTTATTTTGATGGCACTGATGGATAGTGGTTGTAATGAGAATCTACGATATGCATTTCATCTGGTTTATGATTCGTCAGTAATACCCGCCCTACAAGGACTGGCTGCCGTAATCCAGTGGCCTATTAAATACCTCTGTAGCATTTGAAGTTATGGGTGCTCGGTTCAAACCTCAGTGGAAACATCATATTGAAAAACAGGCATATGCGGCTGATAAGTCTTAAGTGCGACACCCTGAATTTCGCTGCTAGTCATTCTCCACATCATTACTAAACTAATCCATATAAAAAAGAGGACGTTTACTAGAGACTAACATTCCCATAGTTCGCATAATACCTTTTCACGAAACCGTTTTTTCAAAGGTATTTGTTCAGAGGAGCTATTTTGACGGGTAAAGAAATTACCTAGCGAATGTTTTCTTTAGGATGAATGGTGTAAATTTGATTTGAGTCATCCAGAAAAGATAATAAAAGAATTGTAACGATTTTCTATCATTACAAAATAGGAATAATACAACCATCAAATGGAACTGATGTTCACTGAAGATAATTTATTATCTTATTTTGAGTTCCAAAGTTGTATGCAAAACTATGACTTCAAATGAAATCAGACGGATAAACTTTAGACATTCTGTTGAACACGTTGACCAGTATGTCAGATGAAATATTTACCAAACATCGTTTCACTATGATTTATTTCGACATCTGAAGTCAATCGAGTATTCCAAAGTGCTAGTGACAAGATTGTAACACATTGGCTTCAACACTTACCTTTTGATCGACAAGTGATGGTTTCGAAACCTTATCTAAAATGTCGATGTTGGGGAAACAAAAGCATGAACACCAGGTTCCATACAGAGGATGGAAACTACTTGGTAGACACTTGTTGTTCAACTTCCAAATTCATCGGTCCCCTTCTATTCTGCTCAGATCGCGAACAAGTTGGAGTGACCGGTTTCCATATTACAGCTCATTACAGCTCAGTTCATAACAGTTTTATTGTTTGTACATATTTACCGTACAAAGAAAATTATGTCAGCAATTGCCAACGAGACAGTTGGTGGCTAGTAATGATATTGTGAAATTACCTTTCCTTCTGTAAGAAATGGTCGACCGTATGTACCTTCCTCCTAACTGAGTCATTCTTAAACGGGAGGATTATGCAACATTATTATCATTATGGTTTCTAGTGCTTCTTGAGCGAATCATGTCGATAGACTTAGTAACAGAGGTTAGCATCATTAATTTCCTCCTCGACTTGTCTTATACACTCTGGTAATAAATGCTAACAATCTGGGTATTTGAACTTAAAGGTATGTTGTTTATCACACTCAGTTATCAGACATTCATCTTTGTCTATCATTTGAAAGGAAAATCAGATATTTTCTCACTTATATTAATTGCATCGAAAAGTTGGCTTAATTTGTTCAGTGGAGACTTGTAAGATAGCCTTCTTTTCAACAGGCTATTGAACATCATCATCCTTTCCCTTGACATTCTCATCTGTCCTGAAACATGTTTACGCTACTTCTTCAAATCAATAATTTTCAATAACACTAACAGTTTTTAACAGTCATTCGACTTCCAACCATCGGGGTTCCCGATTTAAACCTACCGTAAATACTAGATTGTACACAGCTATGTGGTCCCGTTAGTCGAAACACAGCCTAGAATATTGACTGCTGCCTCGTTGATGAGTAGTTCAATTTCACATGTACTGATGGATTATGGCAATAATTAGTAAAATGTTCAAATATGGAACGAAATAAAGTAACCAAGTAGGATTCAAAAGTGTTACAGAAAAAATATATAGAACCCTAATGTTATATATAATGTTCTTGTAATTAAGTGATATATTCTGTGAAGAAAATTTCTAGTGCTAAACAATGACTGTATACACAGTCCTTTGTGACGATGAACATTAGACTGATGTGAAGTCCGGCATTTACAGCTGTCAAAACAAAATATAAACAATAATTATCATTTGATCATCTGAGATAGCCTTAGTTTGGCAGACTGGTATTTATACTGGGTGATGATTGAAGGTGAAATGAAAATTCGGACCGCAGTCGGATTCGAACCAGCTACCACCGGGTTTCTGGCCAGATGCCCTACCAACTAAGGTCAATTGGTAGGGCATCTGGCCAGAAACCCGGTGGTCGCTGGTTCGAATCCGACTGCGGTCCGAATTTTCATTTCACCTTCAATCATCACCCAATATAAACAATAATATATATTCTTAATTGATTACAACCAAGAATCAGTGTCACTTGAATGACTGAGACCATTTAAGTTCTCTACAATGCTATAAATTCGTAAATCAACATATCTGAAGGATAGCAGTGTACCTCTAGCTGCTGGGATTTGAAATAGTGGTTACACCTTCAACAACCTAAGAATTAAAAGGACACTCATAAGCAAAAAGAATTCTTTCCGCAACTTCTTTTCATAGCTGTATTGTTAGTTAAGTTACATAGTAATTAAAATATATCATGAATAATTGCAACTAGGATCAAAAGTTAACGTTGTTTAGTAATAGAACGTATTCAACTGTGAATCGAAAAATAAAAATAGAACAGTAAAGGTGACAGCAAAACAATCTTATTTGACGCAAATATTCTACTTTAGAATGATTGGTCAAGGAGTAACACTGTCTTGTGCTCCAGCATTTTTATTGGTCATAATGCATTTTCTGCGAACTAAATTGAAATGCATCAGAATCTTCAGCTTATCACTATGACATATATGTATGTAAGTCAACTTACGGTAATCAACAGTGGATAAGCATCCTCTTTCACTAATGTCAGAACGAAACTGATCCAGCACAGACTTCAATGATGCCTATAAGGATAAATAAGAAATCAGTAGAACGTTAATGAATAAATTTAACATATAATACTACCAAAATATCCAATCTACATTCATAACTCGTCTATCTTATGAGCAACTAAAAATGTTCAGTAGTACTATAGGAAACGATAAGACGGAAAAGAAGGAAGGAATGTTTATTATCCACACCTTGTCCAGTGGTCATCAAATATTGTACACCTTCCACTAAGACAGTCATTTGCAAAATATGCTTCATTTTCTCTTCCGCTTCTATACCGATTTACTCTTAATACGCCCATATTGTCTCTTGCGTCCCTCTCGACGAAAGCGTTACTCATTGCTGGTAATTCCCTATGATTTCTGCTGCCCTCTCAAAATACACTACTTATATCCATTTTGATCGGCAGCGTCGACTACAGTACCATTTTAGAAGTGGAGATATGTGTCATGCTTCATTACGATTAACTAAATAAGATGCACCAAATATAATTCGAAATATATTAAGATAAAACCGTCTAGAGAAAAGTAATTGAAAAGAGAACAGATTGAATAGTAAAATTGTTTGGAGTATCAAATATGAAGAAGTGACCAATCAGAATTACTAGTAGTAACAACTTGCCCATTCAGATGTTTTCGAACAGCCTACATGCCAACAGAAGCTTCCAACACCATACAGACAGCTTAAAAACCCAGTTCAATTTCTCTAAAATCCACCTTGGCAACTAATAAAATAACCAATAAAGTTTCTCTATTTTATCAAAGGGATCACTTTCCAGCTGAACTAGCTTGACTATACAGTTGCCAGAGTGGTCCTCAGGGTCAATCCACGGTCGCCCACCAAGTTTAAGTTTCCAAGGACAGATGCATCATTGAGACAAATGAACAGATATTCATTGGATTCGCACATAATCACTTTCATTTCACCTTGCAATCAACAAACTGCTGTCCTGATTTTTATCATCTGATTCCTCAACTGGAATTAGAGGTGAGTCGGCAGCAGATTAACAATAAAGTAACAATACTGACAGCAGTTTTCTCCTATTTTCTAATATCTCTCAGCAACCTGAAGCATATTCTCTTGCGCCTAATCACCTCTTTGAGTGTCCAGTTCAATTCACCTGCATATTTAGCGCTACGTAGGTTGGCGGTTGAAAGCAAGTCGTATCTAAAAGGACCCCATAAGACAATTCAGCATGGATGCGAATACGTGGTAACAGATTAATGAGGAGAAAGAATTCACTGAAAGAATTCTTTTCTCAAAAACTTTACAACAGCGTTGAAATATAGTTAGTATCCATATTATAAAGTAAAAATGTCAATATTTGCCAAATAATAATTATTAGAAGGTTGTGATCACAAATATAATATCGGAATAAAAATCGCTTAAGAAAAATGAATCAGTAAGTGTGGATTAAAACCAAGAATTGGGGAATTCGTAAAGAAGGATGTCAACACTTGCAAGGCTGATAGAGAATGAGAAATCAGTAACTGAGTCAAAAATGCTTACTAAATGACAACATGGAAATTTCAATCTCATCTACATTGATCACATAACCTGTAAAACCTTTGCTCTCAAAGTTATATATAGAAAGAGAAGTAGCTTATCGAAGACAATATATGGTCGCTTAATTCACATTACCGAAGTTATAGCCACTCGAATAGGAAATACATAGGTTCACAAGCACAGAGGAATTATCTAACCATTCCTCCCTCTATGACTCTAATCTTCAACGTTTCTAGGCAACCTTTTTTTCCCTTCCTTCATTCTGTTCATGTCTTAGGTAGTACTAACTCTTGCCTGTTCTCAATTGCCTTTGATAACAATTCCTTCTTCTTCAATTGTTTTTTTCTGTTACGTAAGTTGTGAGAATCTAGTGATTTTTAACCATTTTGCAATAAACTACCTGGTCACCTCAAACGATTAAAATTGACCAGCTGATCCACTGAATTGCTTCCATTTATGAGAACTTTGTGTCCAAACTCAAAATCACTTACTATGGATTTCCGATGCAAGTCATGAACGCTTTGTTCCAAAGGATAACTAAATACCCTAGGCTTATGTCTCTTGATGTAAAAAGTGTGTTTCCTTCTCAGCATCATTATTATTCAGGGTTGTGCTGGTAGTATCCTTTATTGACAATACATGAAAGAAGACAATATGAATACCTGCTCATACATCCACAGTACTAAAAAATAAGCTGTTCCAGTGATCAGAATGGAAAAACAATCAAGCGGAGATGAAAGTATCTTCTCTTCTAATTAAAAAAGGCATTCATCCTCTTTATTAAGTACACACACAATGATGACCTTAAGCGGAATTATGTAAATATCATTAAGTGCCATTACTGTGAGCAGTATGTATACACAGAAAAGCACATGTACTTGTAAACCAGGGCGATGGGTGACAGAGTATTGGACAACAAAGTAATCATGTGTGTTTTTGTCATAATTTCATCTTAAAATAACTGCCTTGTTTGTTGTTGAACTTAACAAAGAAGCGCATTTCGGTAAAATAGTTCTAAATATTTTAAAAGTACGTAGTTTGTGTTCCAAACATTTTCAGTATGATTTAAGGTTACTGGCCTACTAATGATGTTTTTTATAATCTCATGAGGAACCATGTCTAAAAGAACAAACTCCTGCCATAATCTCGGGATGCTACCACTTAATAGTAATGATGAGAAGTGTCAGGTAATGGAACTCAGGACGCACGTTTCGTCAGCTGAATATACCTCCCTTCCAGTGAGCAATACTGACCCGTCCAGGACTCGAACCCGGGATCAATCGCTTCACATGCCAGAGGTTTACACACTGGGTGACCAAGTCGCAACCAACAGGATAAAAACAAACAGTTAGTTCCTGCTAGAATTCAGCAAAATGATGAGTAAGTCTCACACATCAAAGTTCTTGGAATTTCAGTGTGTGAACTACTGAGGATTGCTTCACCTGGAAAAAAAAGCTGTTCACAGTTCCCAGGTGGTTGTTCGTGTGACGTCATTTCACAGTGAAAACTACCACTAGTGGTTTACTTCCGGATATATTTTTGATGGGAAACTATGAGTTATATAGTCCACCAAGTTGTCACTGAGTGCTGAAGCTCAATGATGACGATGAATGACAGTCTTCTTATATGGCAAGTCGACAGAACTGGTAAATAATAGTGTAGTTCCGAATCAAATGGTTGTACGGTGAATTGCTTGCCGTGACAAATGAAGGTCTTGATCCCAACCTAGTGTGAGGTCGGGGGATGAGAACGATTAGAAAGCGTTAACCTGAGATGAAACAACTGAATAGTGCTTCCTAGTTGTTAAAAACCCCAGTAGATACCAGCTTTTGATAGAAAATATATTCACAATGATGAATCCTTCATGAAAGATATAAAGAATAGGAAACAAGAAATGAACAACACTACATGAGAGATATAAATACTGAATACAATAAGATTTCTAGCATTTAGGTTACAGCTGTGAACACTACTAAGCTACTCATGTTAATTTTGATTTGATTGCACCTAAGGTTGCTAGCTATCACAGGAGCCCAAATCACCAGCACTATTAGTATTAGAATATAGGGTTTTATAAGCCTTTCCTTGATTTCAGGCAAGCTAAACGTCATAGACAAATGTAGCAGCTTCCATTTTGTTGTATATGCATGAAAACGGTGCAAACAACAGTCCACGCACTCCTGCTGAGATGGCTCTAAAGTTTCAATTATCTACCCTTACCTCCTTAACAGGGACGGCAGCCAGTCGGATCTCACAATCATCACTCAACTAATACGAACCCCCTCCCATCTTGGTTAAACGGTGGCATCCAGGCATTTCAGTCGTTACTACTTCTGTGGTTAACAGACAATCGATTGACCAGGTTAAGGAGTCAGTCGGCAATTCCTTCCAAAGACCCGTTCACCAAGTATTAGAAGTGATACAAGCCTCATGGCTTGAAGCGTTTGATAGCAACCACTGAAGTAGTCACAAGGGTCGGGCTTATCATTGACATACAGCCCTTACCGGAGACTTGGACCCAATAATATTTCATTCAGGGGAGGCACCCGACATATACCCTACAGACTTCATCACACTCCACATGCACCGTAAGACGCATACTCTCCCTACGCCCATAACATATCAAACATCACATCGCCAAAACAAGTTCCCAGAGTTAACAAATTAGGTGCCTCAAGAGGTTTATGTACTTCCGATCGGCTCCCCCATTACTCACGCTGAAATCAGCTTCTTCATTCCGGTTACCTTAAGAGAGCAATAGTTACTCCATTTAAGGTAATCACTTGTCATAAGAACTCAAATTACTTACGATGTCAGTATTAGTACAGTAGCCATGTTGACCAATTCATTCACTTTCATAACCTAGCTACGACTGAAACCTTCCTGGTGTCATAGGTAGGCCAGCTCAATCAGTTCGTCCATGGTGAATGTGGTTGCACATACTAGAAAATTGATAATACAGTCTCAGAATCTGCAAACGCAACCAGTACAAAAGATTTATCTATACCTAATAACGATTTTTCAATCACAGTTTGAGTCATTGTAATGTTCAAACAGATTCAAGTTTGTTATTCCATTTTATCGAAATATTGGTGGGAAGCTTCCAGTCCGCTTCGACGATAGACAATATGAAACAGTGGGAAGTAAGTTCTACAAGTCATTTCACCAGAGTATCTATTTAAAACCACTCTACCGAAAGAATTTACCTTGTAATACATCTGACAGCCCAAGAAATGCACGAGTAAACAGAAATAGTAGCTGTATATAGTCTTTCGCAATCATTTGGTTGCAAGCGGTTAGTGACTTCATCAGCTTGAATTCAAGTAGCCTAGGAAGCATTCATACAAATTTACTCCATGTAATCGAACGGTTTGAAGTTAATTATCTAACCAACTCAAATTTAGAACCATATCAATTAATGTGACTAACAAAGCAATCGCCAAAATATGTACCTGTGAGCTTACTGTCCTCAACACTATGCAAAATGAAATTTATCGACATTATTATA